TGACTTTCCTAGAAAATGTTGTAATGCGATACCTGGTGGTGCATGAAATGTTCCCACAATGGAGATGGTGAAATTTCAGAAGATGATTCAATAACAGGTGCATTCTCTACCTGCATATGTGTGCTGCGACATGTGTGTGTGTTCATGTGTATGTATGTGTGTGTGTGTGTGTGTGTGTGTGTGTGTGTGTGTGTGTGTGTGTGTGTGTGTGTGTGTGCATGCATGTGTGCGTTCATGCGTGTGTGCGTGCGTGCGTGCGTGCGTGCGTGTGTGTAATGCAACTCAGGAAGCCATAACCATTCGGAAAGAACTACCTCCACCGCTTCTGGTGAGTTCAGGGTCAATGTTGTGAGCAGTGACAGTACTCCCACACCCTCTGTAATCCCCATAGTTTCTGGACGTCATCGAGGTGCATTTCCTTTCTAGATCCATGTAGTAACAGAAAGAGAAGGTGAGACAGAGCCACCGAGATATAGAGGGAAAGCGAAAGAGAGGAAAGAAGAGAGACAGACATACAGACATACAGACATACAGATAGACACACACATAGACAGACACACATACAGACAGACAGACAGACACACACACCTTGAAACCTTGAAACTGCCACCTAAAGGTGATGCAGTGCCTCAAAGAGGCAAGGAGGGCAGAGTTACTTCTTGCATTTGTGTTGAGCCAGGTACTGGAGACGTGTGAACTTCCGAGAGCAGGTCGGGCATGGGATGGTGCGGCGCTCGGAGCCAGAGCTGCATGTTCTGCGGTTGCAGTTGTGCCGGTGGTGCCCAGCTTTGCTCCGGAAACAGCGGTCACAGGTGTGGCAGTGATAATGACATTGGCTGCAATCAGGTGGGCGAGGTGCAACAATCTCTGGAACTGGAGCGTCACCAAGACTGGGAGAGCAGCTGTGCACAGCAAATCCACCTCGGCTGGCAAACCAACGATGGCACGTTTCGCACAACACAGCACCGGCCTGTTCATGGATCGGCTTCAGTCGCTCTTCCCTGCATTTGTGCCGCCGAAGTCCGCTTTCACTGGCGAAGAGTCGCTCACAGATCGCACAACACACTGACTTGGCTGTCGTTTCAAGGCGTAAACGCCGTGCAACAATAGCATCCGAGATGGCCTGGATCCACTCGCCACGTTCAGCTGCGAGGTCGTACCAACCGGTGTATAGACCGAACGCCTTGAGGTCATCGCGTACCACATCACGCCATCGACGCCTGGGGCCATGAGCAGGGCGTGGAGTATGGAGCCACGAGAACAACACTGCCTTTGGAAGCCGGTGGTCGTCCATCCTGGCAATGTGGCCAAGCCACTGCAGCCATCGACGGGCAACCATGTCAGCAACTGGCTCTGTAGCGCACATTCTATGCAGCGAGGCAGATGACAGGTGGTCCTCCCACTGTTTGGAACGCGAGATGCCGAGAATGACACGAACGCAGCGGTTGTGGAATTGTTCAAGGCGACGTATGTCGGCACGCAACAGTGTCCAGTTCTCAGCCCCGTACAACAGCACCGACAACACACAGCATGTGTACGTGTGTTGTTTTGTCTAGGATGTTAGTGAAGTGTTCCGAAAAACTGACGAGTAGAGGCTGCCAAAGGCCTTAGATGCAGCAGCAATGCGGTTGGACACATCGGTGTGGCATCGTCCGTCTGGTGTTACCACTGAGCCGAGATATGTAAACTGGCTGACATGCTGGATGGCGTTGCCTTGTACGCTTAGCGGGGTACGGTCACTGTCGTTGATCTGATGCCCAACAGCCATGAACACTGTCTTTGCCATGTTGAGAGACAGCCCGAATGCTCCACTGACCTCCGCAAATATCTCAAGCATACGCTGAGCATCCGAGTGGCTGGGTGCAAACAAGGCTGCATCATCAGCAAACTCACCATCTGTGATGACCATATCATTACCACGCTTAGATCTCTTGAAAAGCTGACCATCGGCACAGGTACGGAGTGGAAAACCAGACACTCCACGCTCTTGGACGCGTGCGCACCAACGTTCCATCACTGCACCAGCAAACAAGTTGAAAAGGACTGGTGCCATTGTACACCCTTGGCGCAATCCGTTGCACACTGGGAAGCCTTCAGTGGGGGAACCATTAACGATGATCGTGGCTGTCATGTTGTCGTGAAAAGACTTCAGAAGGCTGACCAGTTGCTCCGGGACTCCCAGCTTCAGCAGGACAATCCACAGTGCAGCACGCGGAACAGAATCGTATGCCTTCCTCAAATCGACAAACACCAGGAATCCCTTGGATTGGTGCTCGTGACACTTCTCTACAACCTGGCGAACAACAAACGTCATGTCCGTGCAGGAGCGACCTTTCCGGAAACCACACTGTGATTCAGGCAGCACACTTTCGGCGACTTTCTGCAATCGGTTTTGCAGCAGGCGTCCGAACAGCTTGCCAATGACGTCGAGGAGTGCGATGCCACGCCAGTTGTCGCAGCTAGTGAGGTCACCCTTCTTGGGTATCGGTATTATCTCAGCATTCACCCAATCTTGCGGTACTACGCCCTCCTCCCAAACCGCGGTAATGAGCTTAAACAGATTGGCATAGAATAGGTCGCAGTTGTATTTGACCATTTCCGGTAGAATGCCGGAGCTTCCAGCAGCTTTCCCGTTCGTAAGATAGCGAAGGCAGCGCTGGGCCTCTTCAGCAGTGGGTGAGGTGGCGAGGTGTTCCATGATGTTGCGCTGCTGGACCAAGTCAATTTCAGATCGGACAAAGCCGCTTGGAAGGTTCAGCAGCTTTTCGAAATGTTCAGACCAGCGGTTCTGCTGTGCCTCAACGGACGAGCATGGTGAGCCATCAGTCTGTTTGATCAGGCACGACTTAGTGGGAATCAATCCACGCCGGGCAGTCTGTAGATCCCGGATGCTGTTCCACACAGCCTTACACCCAAACTTCCTAGATTCGGCATCAGACGCAGTCTTACGGAACCAGTCCTCCTTAGCACTGCGTACAGCATCCCTTGCAGCTGAGCGCGCGCGGACAAACTCGCATCAGACGCAGTCTTACGGAACCAGTCCTCCTTAGCACTGCGTACAGCATCCCTTGCAGCTGAGCGCGCGCGGACAAACTCTCGCCGGACCAGAGGTGATGGATCTGCTAAAGATTTCTGGAATAGAGTGTTACGATGTGCAAGGAGAGGCTCGAGAGTGGCAGAACTGGCTGAGAACCAATCTGGCTGACGACGGCGACTCTTGCCTAGGACAGAGGTAGCTGCTTTAACTGTGGCGTCCCGTAGTGAAATCCATTGATCCTGAACTGAGGTCCCTGGTGCAGCGTCTTGCAGACAGTCGGATGAGGTATGGTACCACTCCGCCACAGTTGCTTGCCTTACTAAATCATCATCCTCTGATGCAGTTGGGTCAGCAGGTCCGAGCTGGGATACATCAAAGCGACGGCGATCAGGGGCCTTGCTCTTTGGCGGGTAGAAACGGCGGCGGCAACCAAGTGACAACGTTAGCCCAACAAGTTTGTGATCGGTCCCACACTCAGCAGACCGGTACACACGGCAATCTGTACAGCGCTGAAAATCCCGCTGCCAGGTGATCACATAATCAATACAGTGCCAGTGCTGTGAACGTGGATGCTGCCAGGTAACTTTATGAATGTCCTTTTTCTTGAAGTACGTATTACAGAGTCGAGAGTTGAACATGGATAGAAAGCTCAACAGTTCCTCACCAGCTTCATTCATGGTACCAACGCCATAAGGACCACGCACTTGCCTCCATGCGTCCTCTTCATGACCTGGGCTGCTGCCAACACGGGCGTTGAAGTCACCAAGTACGACGTACAAATCACGCTCCGGGATGGATAACAGACAATCACGAAGTTCGCCATAAAATTTCTCCTTTTCATGGCGAGGCCTCGCGAACGTTGGAGCGTAGCAGGAAATGACATGCAGCCACTGATCGCCAAACAACAGTTTCGCCACAACAACTCGCGAGCTGACAGCTCGCCACTGACACCCACCGTTTTTCCACGCTCGTTGGGCCAAACCTAAAAGAACGATTGCAACTCCCTCGCCGCGATATGCGGGCATTCCTCGCTCTGTTGGGACGGGGCATCCTGCATTTAGAACAGACGCTCCACTGATCAAATACTCGTGATCGCCGAACCATTTCGTCTCCTGAAGACCTGCGACTGAGAAATTCAAATTTTGAATTTGGTGAAGAACAATTTGAATTTTTTTGTCTTCCGCGACGGGCAAGCTTCTTTCGTGACGAGCTGTCTCGATGCTTCCATCATTCTCCACTAAGCTGTTGACGTTCCAGGTACAAAACTTCAACACAAACGCTTCGTTTCTCCGTCTCCTACTTCGTGCAAGGGGGTCTACCTGGAGGTTTGCAAAACCGTCGCAGGTGTTGTGGGTACGTGGCGGGTTGCAAGTGGCAACATCAGGCGTTGCCCCGTCATTGCTTCCCAGGTCTCCACGCACCATACTCACAACCTAGCCAGGGGTGGCCCTAGGCCACCCCTGGGGATATTATAGCTAAGCAAACTTGTGAACCAGCAGAGCTCAAAAAAGTGCTTCCTACTCCAACTAATACAAAACACACACACAGACACACACACACACAAACACACAGGCAGACAGACAGCAAACAGACAGAGATATAGAGAGAAAGAGAGAGACAGAGAGACAGAGAGTAAGTTAGAGAAAGCTATGTGAGCTACACGAACAGCATGTACTTGTAATGCATCCATGACTTGTGACCATCAGTGGAGTTTGCTTAATCCATGAGTGGATCAATCAAGCCTGCAGTTCTGTACCTACATAGTTGATCTGCCAAATTTAATATGAACCAAAATACGACAAAAGGGGGGAGATGGCAACCTCTACCCCCCCCCCCCCCCACCACCACCACCACCACAACCACAGCAACAACCATACCTAACAGCCATGTGAAGGATCGCAGGGAATTGGAATAGAAGTGATACGTGTACTGAAGTAGACTAAAGCTGTGCTGAAAGACCAAACTGCATGCGTGTGATACATTGTCTAGATAATACTTCAAGTAGTACTCCTGGATCACAAGCATTTGAAGCCAGGCAACCCATAATCAATACAAAGATAACCCAGGTTTACTTCGAAATGTCTTCGTTGTTTCCCGTACTTGGACTCCAAGGGTCACCCGGAGTGTTGTTTGTGGCCAACACACTGTTTGACATTCATACAAGTATTTTTTTAACCATTTTGATTTTTGGATCCGTGAGACAAAACAATATAATTATTGTGAACGTCAGTTCACAGCTACTTCCTCCGCGTCATTACAATTGTCGCTTCACACATTGCAATGTTTGTGACTTGCTTGTCTTAGTTGGACTGTCGGAACCAGGGAGTATATGTATTTTACTACTCCCTGGTCGGAACTGTTGTTTTCTGGGTTCGAACATTAGCAATACCCTTCCTATGCAATATCTACTTGTTACGGAAGCCATGGTGGCCTCGGAGCTCTCTCTTCCGCACCAAACAAACTCATCCCGCTCCACGCTATTTCGCCCCAGAGCACGCATCTTTTTCTGGAGTTCTTGCCGACCCACATCGTTCACACAGGCATTTGTCAAGACTACAGGCTCAGGTGTAAGACTCCTGATATCTCTCCTGAATTTGAAATGCTGAAGTTGACAATGGCAAGAACAAAGTTTTCTCAAGTTCCTTAAAAACCCCTTTACGTGTGACGCATGATGCTGCGAAGGTAGCAGGTCTGAAAACACCAACAAAATCAGCGAAGTACTTGTCAAAGAAAGAAGCTGTGGAGCTGCTTACCCTATTCCACTGGAAGGGCGTTATGGTGTAATTCAAAAATGCTAGTTTGCCATCATCGCCTGCCATCTGGAGGCATGGATCGCTTGAAAACGAAGTTTCATGACCTGAATTTGAACGCGCGTTTTGTTCAGCGTGTTTATTTTTTCATTTTTTTTACTACACGTATGTTCACAAAACCAGCTCGAAAAGAATAAGGAAAGACAATGGTACGGAGACTAGGACAAACTGACAAGTAATGAGCAGGCGCTGTGCCGAGATGCAGCAGTGATGGTGGGGCATTGATGACTCTGCCGACCTGAGGTCTCAGCATCACGGCCAAAAACACGCACCAAAACAAAGAAAAAAAGAAGATAGAGCTGTACAGTTCAGAAAGAGGCGAAGAAACCCAAAGCTTAACACAAACGAGTGTGGGGGAGAAACTATCATACTATTCATAGGGAATCAACTGCCCAGAGCCAGTTTGTGCTGCGAAGATGGCGATAAACGTTTGTTTTGAATGATTGCATTCTCTTGCTGTGGGGAGGCTGGGACAGGAGAGCGGCAGGGAGGGAGTTCCAATCGCTGATGCTGCAGTGTGGGAACAGCGCTTCAGCGCCAGCGGGGCAGATGCAGGCAGCTGGTGTTGGAGCTGGTGGTCATGGCCACTGACACTACCGTGCTCGCTGCGGGTTCTAAGGTTGGCAGAGGTGATACGGCGTGGTGGCAACACAGAAAGCAGCTGCGGAGGACCAGGCAAGCAGTGCAGCTTGCACAGGCAGGCAAGCGAGGCAACAGTACGGCGGATGGCTAAGCTGAGTACGTGTGCCCCAGGGCCGATAGCATGGTGTGCGCGGCGCTGAACATTGTTCAGACGCTGGAGGTGACTCTGCGCAGCTCTCATCCATACAAGAGGCGCATACTCCATGACTGGTCGTACAAACGCCTTATGCACTGTCATCCGGCCGGCGGGGGTGAGGATGTGGGCGGCTCTGTTTAGGACCCCAAGCCGTTGGTGTGCGCGGGTGGCTACGGAGCGTAGGTGATCGCCAAAGGTCAACTTGGCGTCCACCTTCACACCAAAAGAGGTTGATGCTGCATGGTTGTCTCGGGCACCAGTGTGCCACCAAACAGGAGTGGGGGAGATCTAAGCCGGCGCATCTGAGGGTGGCTGTCATGGCCTGGGATTTAGTTGGCTCAAAAGTCACTTTCCACGTGCGGCCCCATTCGTGCAGTCGGTCAACGGACACCTGCAGTGACTGCTCTGCGACTTCCGGGGTCCGCTGGGAGGTGACTAAGCTGTATAAAGCTGTGTCATCAGCATTGGCCTCCAAGCTGGCGCCGTCAGCGAGCACGTCTGGCGCGTCATTGACGTACGCCAGGAAAAGCGTTGGACCAAGAATGCTTCCCTGGGGACTCCAGCGGAGCGAAAGGGTCGGCCTCAAACTCTGATGAAGACATCGACCTCAGCTTCAAGTGCCACGAAGCGGGAGGCCACAAACTCAAGCTCAGTCAGTCGACAATGCTCTGCCTCAAATTCTAGCTGAGTTCTTTGCTTCGAGTGGACAAAATAATTTTGTAAAAATCGCTCTGGGAAGCGACAATTGTAATGACGCGGAGGAAGTAGGACTTGACCTGAATCACCCACGCTCGTGTATTTGTAAAGTGCGACTCCGATTTAGCCTGCTACAAATACATATATGTTATATTGTCTGAAGTTGAGAGAAGTTCAGTGTACTTCGAAGTAGATGAGTGTATGTTTTATAATGACAGTATTTAGAGTGTGTGTTGCTTGTTGGTTTAGCCACTATAGTCCAAGGCAAGTTTCGTGCACCAGCACATCTTCTCCAGGCGTCAGGGGCTCAGCCTACCCGCCCATCCGACTCGCCACACACAACAGCGCAACTGAACTAAAAGTTCTACATAATATCTTGACAAGACGAAGACGGACAGACAAGAAGACCGGACACGACGAGGCAAAACTGATAACTGAAGAAAGGGACAAACATTGCGGCAGCATATATGAGCATGCGCGCAAAATAATGTTGCACGCGCGACAATGACGTAAGTGGTCCATGGTGTCTACATGTACAGAAGACTACACATGCAACCAAACCGATGCAACGAAGTCAAGACTACCACTACACAATCACAATAAAACTAAAGAACAACATAAATAAGCCATGAAAAGTCTTTCACTCTAGACCCGTTGCGCAACAGCAAGACATGCTGGATAGAGGTTGACATTTCTGCTTCTTTCTTTGCTCTTTTCTTTTCCATACCTGACTTGTGTCTGCAGCAAGTTTCAACCAGCATCCGCCGGAAAACTAACCAGCAATCGCCACTGGTTGTTCGACTTCTAGGTCACCCTGGTGGAGGAAAGTCATCCCTTCTGAAATCAATTCTACGCCGCCGTCGTTTCTTTGGCAAAGTTAAGAATATCTTCCGCGGTGACCAATGTGACACGATACTGGCCTCCAGGACACGAGGTATGCGACGTTACGTGGATGACGGCACAATATACCTTGACCTTGGAGGTCAGTATCGATTCATGTCCCAACATCAACGACTGACGAAATTCTCCGATGTCTGGGCTCTCAATCTGCTCATGGTGTCGGGCATGGAGTCCATCGTGAACATGAGACGTTGGATCCGCACCTGGGCAGATTTCATTGTCTGCAGCTGTGCAGAGGGCACAACCACTCACAACAAAGCTCTTATTGTTGTGACACGCCGGGACCGTCTCTCCAAGGAGCGCATGACCGCCATTGAGAAGGAGTGTGCGACGCTGCAGAAAGTCTTAGGCGTGCATCTGGAATTCCTGGATGAACCCATCCCATTCGTCAATGCCATCAGCGAGACGTGTGAAGGTGTGGCTGCATTGAAAGAATTGATCCAACGACACAAGGAAAAGATGCAACAAGTGAGTATGACAACGTTGAAGGGGACGCTAACACTAAAATGAAGAGAAAGTAGATGGGGTTAACTATTTTCTTTCTTGTTTATCTGCAAAAACAAACTTCATACCAGAATGTTGTCAAGTTGGGATACCGGTATGGTGCCATATGTCCCGCACCGAGGTTTGAAAAAATATCTGACTGCTTTGGCACAATGGAGGGCGAAAATTTTGCGTTTTTCCAATGTACTCCCATGCAAAGTCTATCTCTCTGACGTCATAAATCCGTCCTAGTTATTATTATTATTACAGGAATCCTGATAATTCGAGTATGGCTTAATTCGAACATACCGCTTAATTAGAAGTTTTTCCAGGACCGATTTCTCTCAATACGATTCCCACATAAAAAATTCTGACAATTCGAACCTCGAACTGGACATGTCCGGTTAATTAGAAGTCCCACAGGTTCCACTCACATAGAAAATGTGTGGGATTTGTGCTGATAATTCGAAGTTAGCAAAGTGTAATTCGAAGTTCACTGTACACTGTATTGGTCAGTTCAGTTTGCATGAGCAGGCTGTGCCGGGCAGTTCAGTATCCGCGAAATCTGTGTCTAAGGTCCATAGCGCAACTCTGCGTGACCATTTGAGCATTTTGACATACATATTGAGTTGTGGGTTCATGTTTGGATAATTAGAATGTCCGGATAATTCGAAGTTTTTTCCTGGCATTTTGAGGTTCGAATTATCAGGATTTCACCTGTATATGCATTTCAGCGGCAATGTCAGCCGCACAATGGCAACCCACATATTCGCATATGCCGGAAATAGAATGTTATGCCATTTCCTAGTTTGGGCAACTTAGTAACCTCATCATGATGTCACCAAATTTAATGAATATTTCAAACCGGTGTAACTCGCCGACGGCTGCTCCGATCAACCTGGTACCATCACCATTGTAATCTGTGCATTTTTTTCTACATGTTGTGAAGTGTTCATTTTAGGGTGAACTTCCCCTTTTTAACAAACCATCCTTTTCGCCTCCCCTCCTCTCCCACTCCCTCTCTTCTTCCTCAACGTGTATTTACCTTGTTTCCAAATGTTATGTTCTCAATAGGCACCTGGACCTGTTTCGGAGGTGGTTGCGTCCATTTCGGAGGCACATCTGGAGAATGTTCGTGATCAATGCAGAGACAGTCCTGCTATCAGCACTGACCAGTTTGTGGAACTCCTGGCTACAGCAATTGCTCGCTTTGATTACAACTGCGATGACTCTTTAACACCAGTTGTACTGAAAGCACTGAAGGAAGTCCTGGATGTCAACATGGAGCTGTACAACCTCCACCAGAAAGCGCTGGTAAGTAACGTTGCTGCTCCAAGTACTGCCTTGTTAATTAATAAGTTTGAGAAGTCTTTTTGGATCCCGCAATATTCTGCCCGAAGTGGAATGTCCAAGGTGCAACAAACTGTTGAGTCCGAACAAGGCCAACTGACAACAGGAACAAGTAGGTTGGTGGAACGTCATTAATAATCACCATGTAGTCGTTTCGTTCGTCTTGGTCTCTTGTCCCGTTTCTAATAAAATTTATTAGAAACCGGACAAGAGACCAAGACGAACGAAACGACTACATGGTGATTATTGAAGAGGGAGATTATTGAAGAGAGCTTATTGAAGAGAGAGAGAGAGAAAGAATTGAAGAGAGCAACGCAATATAAAGGGCCTGGGTAGCTATGGCAAACATGGACGTGCAAGTAGCTACCCAGGCCAAATGAATAATGCATGAACTAATGAATTATATGAATTAGTATATTATTGTAATTACTTGTTGGCCTAACAAAACCATGTGGAAGTACTAATAGGCTATGCTGATAATCAGTGTCAGTCGGGGTAGCTTCAAAGAGTGTTCTATGCAAGTGAGCCAAGAGCAATTTACAGAAATACTGGAAAGTACAGAGAGTGATTGGCTGACAGTAGACACCACGCGTGCAGGCATATGGCTTGTGCCGGGTCAGTGGTGGCAAACTTCGAAAGCATTGATGCATTGATGCAATGCACTAACTTTCGAAGTGCTTTGTATTCTCATAGTGCACACCTGCGACTTGGGGCCTGAAATAGGTCTCCTAAAGTGTGCACTATACCCCGGCAATTACATACATGCAGTGTCTGCTCTAGGATTGTAGGACAGCCGGGTACACGTGTACCTGGCGCAACCATTTCAACCGGGTCGGAGCCGGGTACACATGTACCTGGCGCTGTCTCACCAGCCGAGTCACATGCTTCAACTGGTTGGTTGGTTTATTTTAATTCGGACAATAAACGGGAACTAGGCCCAATGATATAAAGGCGAATGGATAAGCCGCATTTAGAAAAGAGAGGACAGGAATTAGAAAATTACGAAAGAAGAAGAAGTATCTGACACATACAAGCCATGTAGTCAGTCCTTTCAAAGTTCGAAAGTGTAAAGTAACAACAGGGTCACAGTTGACCCGGTACTATATTTTCAACTGGGTCCAAGCGCCGCCCAACCGGTCGGATTACCCGGCTCACCCGGCGCTGGAGCAGACACTGACTTGTACAAGTGTTTGTGTGTAATGTGTATATGCCTGTACAAGCGAGACCGGTTGAGGCAGCTTGAAGCAGAGTCCTTAATGCACAGGTGTGCAGAGCAGTATACACATAGTTACAACGGAGGCAAAAAGCTGTATACCTGGTAGCTGTGAATGCCAGCCCCTGCTGTCTGATGATGGCTGAAATGCGTGAAACTTGAAGTTAATGATAGACAGCCTTTCACGTACATTGTGTGTGTACATGTATATGCATGTATTTGTGTATGCGGGTATGTGTCTATGCGGGTATTTGTGTATGTGTCTATGCGGGTATGTGTCTATGCATGTATGTGTGTATGCGGGTATGTGTCTATGCGGGTATGTGTCTATGCGGGTATGTGCGTATCTATGTGTATTCACTACAGGTATTCTATTTTCCGGATGCCAAGCTGGTGGTTGTTCAACCTCTATGGTTGATGAGTGACATCACAGGAAAATTTTACTCGCCAAAGTCATTTCCTCCACCGATAATTATCTGTGATGAGTTTGGATTCGCTTCACACAGCCATGTCATTGAAGTACTGGCCAAAGATTCGCCGGTGCGTGGTGAAGACGCTCTCGACATTGCCGTACGCCTGGGTATGTGTCATGTGACCGAGGATGGTGAGCAAGTCATGATTCTTCCTGCACAGGCTGAATCACGCACTAGTCTGCACTGGGAGAAAGCCAACCCCGACCAGCACATCTACTACACTGGTCGCCGTCTCTACTGTAGGTCCGGTGTCGCTATCAGCGCAGCGTTGATGCCCACCATACAAATCTCACTCGTCAACTCCTTCACCAACAGGACACGCAAGTTTCCTGTCTGGCAGGGAGGTGTTCGTGTTTCGCTAACTCAGTACGTGAACACGGACACGCTGGTGGAGATCCCACACGGTCAACTTGCGCTCAACATCATAACCAGAGGGCCCGACCAACGTAGCGTGACTTCTCAGCAGGAAACTATCTGGGATCACATCTCTGCTCTTCCTCGCCAACAATCTCCTGGTTCTGACATGTCAACGGTGTTCGTTGATGATGGATGCCTGCCAAGTAGCGAGCTTCTACGACAGCGGGATCTGCAAGGAGATCTGAATGCTACCATGGAGTTCCTTGCCAGTGAGCGACTGCGTGCTCAGTTTGTCATGCCTGATGAGCGGGAGCCCGACACAAGAAAATATCATCCGTATGCTGTGTCTACAAGCTGCTGTAATGCAGGTCAGTGGCACTGTTTGTCATGCCTCGGTGTGTGCGTGTGTGCGTGTGTGTGTACCCTGTACGTGTGTGCGTGTGTATATGTATGTTTATCTGCAGGTGTTTGTGACTGGTTCTCAGCATGTCTCTTTGTCTGTCTCTCTTCGTCTATATATCCATATGGAACGACGTGCAGAAAATCTGGTAACGGTTTTATGACAATAGTCATAGCCCGGATTGCATTTTTGTTCCACTCCATGTGTAGATACGGTTGAGGAACGTCGCAGAGCCGCACGTCTCTGCTCAGCCTTCTATCAGCATCGCATTCTCCTACGCCCCGACTTTCCACTGCGCGACTGTCTTCTCAAACTTATCGAATGTGGACAGGTGAATACATCCTTCCTGGACGACGTGGATGATTGTTTGCGGAAACACCAGGCCAAGATGGCCGCCGATCTGTTTCGCGGGTCGATTTCCGACTTGCCTGACAGCGTGGTACTAACCCTAGTGGATGAAGTCCTTCCCAAGATAGCCAGTGCCAAAGATCTGTATCAGGCAATGCTGGAGTGTCCAGGTCGGGTCCTCTGTACTGTCAGCCCTAGTGATAGCCACTCCACGACTGGTAGGTGGTTGTCTTGCATTGATACATGGACTGGTGTTGTGTGTGCGTTTGTGCGTACGCGGGTACGTACATGCGTGCATGTGTGCTGCGTATGTATGCCGTATTTTCCAGACTATAAGCTGCACTTTAACCCTTTGGAGTCCATAACCTTTTTGCTTCCGAATTTGTGCCGGCACTCACCAAAATGCGCACTCAATTTCCAACATAACTTTGGTTCTACTTTACCGATTGGAAGATCTTGGGCTCGTTGGAAACCGCTTGAAAAAAAAATAGTCCAAACTCGCCAAGAGCACTGCACTTTGTCCACCCCAAAGCGCTTCAAACGCGAGTCCAGTTCCAGATCTGAGACGAAATCGGTCTCCTTCAGCCATTTCACTGAATCTAGCTCCAAACTGCTCATATGTTTTCGAGTGGAAGCTTACCTTGCCATGACTTTGGGCCGCTCCGGCCCTGGCTAGGCTGGGTAGGTGTGCATCTGGGCCGATAACCTGAAGTGTGCAGCGCTGAACATTCTACAGACGTTGGAGGTGACTCTCCACATATGTGTGTGTATGTTTGTGTGTGTGTGTGTGTGTGTGTGTGTGTGTGTGTGTGTGTGTGTGTGTGTGTGTGTATGTGTGTGTGTGTGTGTGTGTGTGTATGTGTGTGTGTGTGTGTGTATGTGTGCATTAGGGCTGAAAGGAATATTCGAATTATTCGAATATTCAAAATGTGCAGATCGGAAAAAGAATATTCTTCGTTAGAGTAGAATAAGAATGTTCGTAAATGTACAGAAACTCGTCTTTTTGATATCGAACAGGTTTATTTGGTGCAGAAAGTGGGTGAGATTGCCACCTTCCATGTGTTGTCATCAGCAAGACAAACGATAACATTGTCCTTTTCAAATGTCCCTCCTGTAAATGGGGTATACGCCAGTTGATGGTCTATGGTTACCATGGATACAACTAGGTATCCATGGATATTGTATGGTTTAGAATATTCGGAATATTCTTCGTTGGTTTGGTTTGGTTTGGTTTGGTTTTTATTATTTCAGTTCGTTGCCTCAACAGTACAAAGTACAAATATCAAGAGGGACGAACGAAAAGAGAAAATAAAACATAGCAGAGAGGAAGATGCAACTGAAAGGAAAGAAAAACGGAGAAGGAATGTGGACTGAGCAGATTCATGAACCATTACTAGAGCAGGGCGATGCATGAACAGAAGGGGCAAGTCCGTCGATATTCATGTTTGAAAAATTCCAAGCCTTATTTTATTGGTGAAATACATTTTCAAAAAGGAGGGGGTATAGCTATATAGGGATATAGTCAATTTGTCGTCATTTAGAGCGTGCAAAAGTTCTGTAGAAAATGATCTAATGTCCTCACTTCCTTTCAAGTGAGCAGGGAGGGCATTCCACATAAGGGATGCTCTGGAGGAAAAGGAATTGTACCCTACCATGGATTTATACAAGCAAATAATAATAATAATAATAATAATAATAGCACATTTCGCGTAGTAGAGCACTAAATAAAGAAATTCAGTGTTTTTTCCGCTTCTGTCTTGTGAGCATCATCAGCTAGGTGTAGTAGCTGCTGATACCGATTTCTCGCCGGGTGTCGAGCTGCACAGTTTCCTCCAGTCTGTCTTGTCTGCTGCTTGTTGTCGGCACCTGGAAAGGTCTTCCATGGTCTTCATTGGCACACCCAGCTTATTCAGCTGAGCAACCAGACTTGTGGCCAGTGTCAACCTTGGCCGTCCACGAGGTGCTTTGTTGCCCTTGTCAAAATAGCCGCTCATGGCTACTTGCGGTGGCGTGTCCGTGTCCATCCGTAGCACATGACCGGTCATTCGTAGTCGCCTATATGCAACTGTGTCTGATATAGGGTTGCTCTTGGTTCTCCGGTATAGGTCGTCGTTTGAAATTGTGTCTGGGTATCGTATTCCAAGGAGTGATCGCATTTGACGCCGGTGGAATGCGTCTGCCTTGGCCATTGCTGTTGACGATAATCCCCAGGTCTCGCAATTGTACAGGAATGTCGGCAGTACGATAGCGTTGTACAGGCGTAAGCGTGTCTTCTCTTCGATACGATTAACCGCCTGAAGCTGCTGGAGGTGATGTCTGCAATCACCAATCCAGATTGCACATGTCTCATCCACCACCTACTCCACAACACAACTATCACTGTTAAGGTTGCAAGTGCCACAGCTGAACCGTTTGAGAGCACTATTGGAACACCACAAGGCGACAGTCTCAGCCCAGTTCTCTTCATCTGCTATCTGGAGGCTGCACTACAGGAATGCAGAACTCGTCTCGCGCCCCGCCCTGCTGGCGACGCAAGTCTACCACCAGAGACGGGTTATGCAGATGACATCTCCTATTATTCAACCTGCAGGCTGTGGCTTGAGAATGCTCTGCCTGTAATAGCAGACACACTGCACGATTGGTCATTAAAAGTAAATCCAGATAAAACAGAGTGGATCCGTGTGTCACCTGAATCCGAGAGCTGGCGGACATCTAGGCAGCTTGGCTCCTTGATGGGGGAGGAAGAGGATGTTCGGCGCAGGATGGAACTTGCCTCTCGCGTGTTTGGCCAGCTGTACGCCCTATGGCTGCGTAGAGATACAAGCAAATTGACAAATTGTTTGTTGTAGTTCCACGAGTTGACCGCTTAGAGGTGGGCAAAGGGAAAAGACTGCGTAAGCATGATGCAGGCTGAACAATATGACAAATAAACGTAAACGTAAGAAATTGATAAATGTATCGATATTCAAGGTGTTTTATTTGAAGAGAAGCAAGAAGGGTCTGGGGGTGAAGGGTGGTGCGAGTGGATTTAGAGTAGACATGTTTACTGATTTGAAGCGTGGTCAGAGGTGATCCTGTCCTGTTAAAAGCGCCATTCTCTTGCAGTGACCTCTGGAGGCCAGAAATCTGGACCGAGGGCTGCTTCCTTGTGTTCCGCTGGAATGACGACGTGGGCGAATGCCACTCCAAAGTACTTGGTTTCAGAGACTGAACACTTGATTACTTGTATTTCTCGTCTTGTACACCACTTGGCAATCGAGTCAGAGGAGCATCCACTCTTTACGTTGCCCAAATATAGTGCGCAACACTTCGTGCGGGACCCTCCTGACAGCTGTTCCGAGGGCTTTGGGCGATTCTCGTAGTACGATGTGACTCGTGTCGAGGGAACGGTGGTCTCATTACGTGTGTCGTATGCCTTATTTGGTCCCTGGTGCCCAGCCTGTACGGTGGTGCTGTACAGTGCTGGAGGATGATAGGTGCCGTTTTTGGCGGGCCTGGTTTCAATCTGGGTTGCATTTGGTGATGTGCGTAGGTTCTGGGGTTGTACGGTGACAGCAGGCAAGGTTGGTTTCAAAAGAGCTCCAGCAGGGTGGTAGCTCTGCAAACTGTCATGGGGTACAGACAATGCACGTAGATCGGCCAAATCTGCCTTCAATGTAAGTATTTCGGCCTTCATTGATGTTATCAAGGATAGCTCCTTGGTGAGGCAAGTGACCTTTTTTTTTTTTTTTCGTTTCACACGTATTCGGAAAGAGAATATTCGTTCGCTTCATTGAGCATTCGTTTCAGCCCTAGCACTGTGTATGTGTGTGTGTGTTTCTGTATATCACTTCTGTATATCACGGATTGCAGACCATGCGTGCTTGCCACTAAACCGACTTGACTCAACCACATTAGCTTAACGTCCAATCCACTCACTCTTTGCATTACGCACGGCAGCTCTGCACTTGCCACGAGCCTCGACAAAGCGACGCCTGTCAGCGTCAGAACCAGAGGCGAGCCATTTGCGATGTAAGGCATTGCGGCTATCCAGCATAGGTGCAAGAACATCAGCACACGCTTCAAACCAATCCGGCTGGCGACGACGTGGACGGCCAAGATGCTTCTCAGCGCTGGTGACGATAGCAGATTTGACGGAAGTGCTATTCGGAATTATCACCTATCTCCATCCCATCCATCCGTGACAGTGACGGAGTTATCTGTAGCTCCCAGGAGGGGCAAGAGAAATGCTGGCTGCAGCATTTTGCCCGTCTATTGAACATTCGCAGCACCTTCGATGCTACCATCTTTGACCACATTGAGCAGCGTGAAGTTGATGAGTCACTCGGCCAACTTCCCTCACTAGAGGACCTCACTATGGCTATACGCCAGCTGGCTAATTGCAAGGCTCCTGGCTCATCTGGAATTGCACCTGAACTGCTTAAAGCTGGTGGTACACCATTGCTTGAGGCTCTGCTTGATGTTATTCACACTGCATGGACCAACGGAACGGTTCCCCAGGATTGGCGGGATGCCCAACTCGTCCCGATTCCCAAAAAGGGTGACTTGACCAACTGCAACAACTGGCGCGGCATTGCCCTCCTAGATGTCGCTGGCAAGGTTTGTGGCCGTCTCATTCAGGACCGTCTCCAACTTGTCGCGGAACAAGAACTTCCAGAATCCCAGTGTGGCTTTCGCCCTGGTCGCGGCTGCGCTGATGCCATCTTTTCCATTCGCCAGCTCATCGAGAAATCGTACCAGCACCGTCAGAAGCTGTTCTGTGTCTTCGTAGACCTGAAGAAAGCATATGATTCCGTACCACGCCCAGCACTCTGGCTAGCATTGGGGAGGCTAGGCATTCCTGAAGGGCTCCTCAATCTAATCCAATCGTTCCACGAGAGCATGCAGGCAGCTGTGCGCGTCGGTGCCAGCACTACCGAGTCGTTTGCGGTCAACAATGGCCTCCGTCAAGGCTGTGTGATGGCCCCAGTACTTTTTAATCTGTACTTCGGTGTTGTGCTTGAGCGGTGGGCACAAGTGATGCAGGACAGCGACCATCCACCTGGCATCCCCATCCAATTTAGCATCAATGGCAACCTTTTCTCTAAGCCCGCTCGCCAGTCTACTGCCGCAATCATCAACGACATTGAGTACGCAGATGACGCGGTCTTGCTCGCTGAAGACCGCCCTGGTGCTGAGAAGTGCCTTGAAACATTATGCACGGTTGCCTCTTCCTTTGGCCTCTGCGTCAACGCTGCTAAAACGAAATTTCTCGTGGCAGGTAGCCAAGTCAACATGCCTGATAGAGCCGATATGAACGTCAACGGTGATACTGTGGAGCACGTTCCATCCTTCATTTATCTGGGGTCCGTCGTGACACCGGATGCCCGCTCCTCTACTGACGTCAGTCGCCGCATAGCTGAGGCTTCCAAAGCCTTTGGAGCTCTTCTTCCAGTCTTGTCGGATCGCTCGCTGTCATTAGTCAGTAAGCGAAAGCTATACGTGGCCTGTGTCTTGTCCATTTTGCTGTACGGCAGTGAGTGCTGGACGCCCTTGAAAGCTGATAGTAGACGTTTGGATGCCTTCCATCATCGCTGCATCCGCACAATATTAGCCATCCCTCGCAGTCAGCAGCAATCCGATCGCATCACGTCTGCGCAGTTACGTCATCACTGGGGTGACCCAGTGCCACTCTCTGTTAAGATGCGCTATCGTCGTTTACAGTGGCTTGGTCATGTGGCTCGGATGTCGGAGGACCGTGTCCTATTGCAGCTGTTGTTTGGTCGTTTGTTGGCTGCGCGCCCCTTCTGCGGTCCCAGGCGTAGGTGGAGAGACGTTGTGGCTACTGACACGAAATCCATTCCAAACTGGTTTGATTGCGCACAAGACCAGTCAGCTTGGCGAGAGCAGGTTCTGGTTTTTCAGCCTCCTCGGGCAGTAGAGAAATCCGTACTCTGCTCATCTTGCAACCGGGCTTTCTCTCGTCCTCAAGACAAGGCACGGCACAAGTGTTTGGCTGAGCGCCAACTTCCCGTCCACCAACAGCGTGGTTCAGCACAGTGCGTCAGTTGCTGCCGATGGTTCCGTAGTAAGGGTGGGCTTGCAGTTCATCGCTGCCAGCCTGCACTCCCTGAACATGCAGATACGGCATTGACGGCGTCTCTCGCTAGCTGCTGCTTTCAGCATTGTCAACGCTGCAATCGCTGCTTCAAGTCCCGGGCTGGTTTTAACCGCCATAACTGCAACCGTGGAAAACGTCTTGCTGCAGCCGATAGGGAATCACTGCCGCTGATCTGCATGCATTGCCCGAAGCGTTTCCGACGACAGCAAGATTTGACGAGGCACCAGAAGTCCTGCCAATGACGGTGCCCTCCAAACTCTGGCCCCCTCCGGGGGTGACATTGACCAATGGGCAGTCATGCTATAGTAGTAGTAGTGTGTTTCTGTGTCTGTATCTGTATCTGTGTGTGTGCATGCGCGCGTGCGTGTGTGCGTGAGTGCGTGTGTGTGTGTGCTGGTAGTGAAACTTGCGAAATGTAATCTTTAGTGAGAGGTTCTCACTTGACTGTACATGTGTGTGGTTCCATGCTGTGCCAATCTGACTGCAGCTGCTTCTGATGACGTCGCCAGATCAGCAACTGATGAGTACAGTACGTTGAAGATTATACATGACTTTTTGTCTTATTTTCTCTAGCGTATTTCATTATTCTTGGTGTGACTGTGCTCTGGATAAGACCCATACCAAGGTACAATCATGCTCTGTTTCTCTGTAGTTCTCTATGCAGATAACAGTAGATATATTTGCCTGGATTGTGTTCTGTTCTGTATTCCCCTAGATCCCTGGGACCATCCAGATTTCTGCCTGGACAAGTACCGAAGATGGATTATCTCACTGAACTCCAGAACGTTCCGTGACAAAGTCATAGCACGGAGACTTCTTGCAGACAACCTGATTATCAGGCGCTTCATTGAACTAGAGAGACGTGATGGCTCAGATGTACACAACGAGCAACTGCTGCAGCACATGCAGGGATTCGGGCGTGCATCGTTCATCATTTTCTTAGACATCATCACAGACATGAACTCACTCTGGGCGTTCAAGCGTACTGAGTTTGAGGCTCTGCTTCATCGGCCATGATGCCCTTGTTGTCATGACTACCCAGGTAAGCCAAGTGCATTTTAACTGGACTTTGCTTTGAGTTCTGAGAGCAATTCATTGGGCAGAATACACTTCTTCATGCTGATCTATGGCAATGCTAATAAATTGTCAAATTGGCCGAATTCACTGACCATCCAGTTTTGCTATATATCTACATGATTATGGAGTATACAAGCGGAGTTGCTTAGTGCATGCATTTTCACAAGGTGCTCGATATAGCGAGGGCAGGGACAAATCACTCATGTCATTCCCAAAGCTATGCACACGACCAGGGGCGTCAGAAGGTATTCGACATTGGTGCGGCCACATGAGTACGTGGGGTCCAGGGGTCCCCCAGGAAAAACTTTAGGGAAATTGGGCCCAAATAGCCCATATGCCATTGCTTCTAAAAGTCACAAGATGAAATTATTGGTGCGGTTTTGGCCGGACCCGCCACACTGGTTCCGATGCCCCTGAAGACGTTACGTTTGTAGTGTCTAGCGTAGCCGGTGTCCACGCTGCTTGAAGTATTCCGTATGTTTGTGTGTTCACACATTCACATATCACATGACACACCCCGTATATCCCGTACATATCCCATACCGCTGGCCAGGATTCATGGACATATTCAAATAGGGCTTTCAACGGCAGGATGATGATGTGACATATCTTTGTAGAATGTGTATGTATGAGATGTGTATCCGGGGAATGCATGCTAGGCAATAGCAGGGCAATAGCAGGGCAATAGCAGGGCTGGTTTGAATATCATGACTGTTATTTTCGGAACAAGTTTTTTTAAGGGAAAGAAAAAAATCAGAAAAGAAGATAAGATCACAGTGTGAAACGGTACAGCTGCCAAGCTCATAGCCCTCACTATGCTTCGTTTTTACTTACGTCCTCATGGGTGTTATTCGAATTGCTAGTAACGTCCTTGCAATACGATCGGGTACATGTGGCTCACTGTTGCCTGATGCCCCCAAGCACTGCTCAAACACTGCTCAAGCACTGCTCAAGCACTGCTCAAGCACTGCTCAAGCACTGCTCAAACAAACCAGTCATCACATACTTGTTGCGCATAAAATAGCTCTGGACAGGGGAAACATTTACAGCACGTCACGTTCCAAACACCGGCGTCGTCTCCCTTGGCAGTACGGCTCCCTAACTTACTGGCAATCAATCATCTTTGAAATCAGTACCACGCCTCCAGATTATGTCTTTCTTGTGTTGGTCCAATACAGGCGATGTTTCTCTGGGATCTTCCGCTACTGCTGACTTCCAGTTGTCCATTAGATTTGTATCGATCGTCTCCACTTGGACCTACCCTGTGAAGTATAGGTCCAGGATGGATTGATGAAAAGCTGATGTATTATGATTTCCTGCATGCAGTTTATAGTCGCATTTCAACAGATGTTTTCCAACTTGTTCCCTTGAGACTGAAATATTCCAGCAACATGTGTTCTGTTTGCTCTGGCAAGTGCCACAGTTGTGCATTGCTGTTCACTGTCCCCAAGTTCATGATGATGATGTCATGCCCATAGTAATGCTATCATTTCCATAGTGATGATGTCATGCCCATAGTGATGATGTCATGCCCCACAGTAATGATGTTGTGCCCATAGGCCATAGTGATGCTATTATGTCCATAGTGATGATGTCATGCCCATAGTGGTGATGTCATACCCCACAGTAATGATGTTATGCCCATAGTGATGATGCTATTCCCACATTGTTGTGCATTACATCCCCCTAATCTATAGTGCTCTTCTTGCATTACATCCCCCTAATCTGTAGTGCTCTCTTCAAATTCCTTTTGGAGCTGTACATTTTGTATCCACTCACTCACTTGTATTATCAGCTCAGTCCACTGGACATTGAGCGCTCTGAACAGTCCGAAGTTTTCGCGAAGATTCTTGGACACTTGAACTTATACCTTTGTATTTGGCACAATGTGTTATAACTGACACTTGAACTTCCACCCATGTATTTAGCATACCTAGTTTACCACCCCCCCCCCCTCCCCCCTCTGTTGATTTCCTAAATCCCACACTGCCACAGGCCCCTGATGTGCCCTGCAATTGATATTTAATTTTTTATGTCGCTGGCACTTGATTATATACTTTATAATAATAATTATTATTGCTATGAATGCAGGAGAGCCAGTCTGCATCACTATCAGCTCTGTCACATAGTCACATAGTCACATAGTCATTGCCTTCGTCACATTCTCCTGTACTAGTGCAGTGCTGCCCAATGAAATCCTGTCGCGAGAGTCAAGTCACAGTTTGCACCCTGCTGCACCGGTGAATAATCCAAGGACATTTAATATGTACCAGCGTTGGCAGGTCACTAGGCTTGGTCTGCAAGGCGCCTGGCATGGCTGTTGATTTTAAGGAGGTTCGCGACGGTTAGCGCCATGTTGGATTTCCGAATTTTTTTCTGAAAAATAATGCCTTTCGGAGTGGAAAAATGGGACGCGATCATGCACAGAATTCTAGAAAATAGTTTGACCATGACTTCGCAGCGCGTGCTCGATCGAGTCGAGACAAGATTTGAGGAAGAAGCTCAGCCACTAGTGGACTTGCGGATTTGTTTTGAAATTGGCGGTTTTTGGATAGCTCGGTTCTCCTGCCGACGTGTCGTGGAGATGAAGACGCGGGAGAGTAATCCGTCACCCACGACGCGGCCTCTCATTCTGCGTACTGGACGATGCAAGAAGCCGAGGAGGGGGACGCTTCGCAAACTCAAACGATCGATCGAGTTCCTGAAAAACGGAAAGGGCGATCTCCATCACTAACGCCACTGGATTCGACTCCCGCGAAGAGGTCGTTCAGTGCCCCTCTTCACGGTCGACGAATCGTTCATCTCAGGTATCTGGCTGTGGGATTGTCTGCGTGCCAGAATCCTGGATGTGGCAAACCTCTGGCGCTCATTGATTGCGTTGAAGAGAAGAGGTACGACCTGGGCAGCGTACTTGTCATTCCGTGTCAGCAGTGTGGGATGGAGAATTTTATAGATACAGATAGCCCTGTAACTGCTCAACACCCTGGCCCCCGTGCTTCCACAAGCAACACCAAAGCTGCTTTGGGTAAGTGCGTTTTTCAATCTCATAAGATTTATTCATGATAAATATCATGAAAATGCGAGTCATTGCCACCCTATGGCTATGGAAATGTATGAGCACACTGTATGCGCGGCGGCCGCGAGCGTCTGTGTGTTTGCATAGACCTGCATGTTTATGCATGTGTGCACCATACGCATGTATGAACATGCACATGCATATGCGCTCATGTGGACGTGCCCTCGCACACATACTATACACACGTGCATGACCGCTCCCAGGGCATGTTGGTGTGACATGTGTATGCAGGCATCTCCACTCATGCACATGAGTGTGCACATGCATGTGGGTGGGTACGCACACGTGCGTGAATGTATGTGTGTGTGTACGCGCGCGTGTGTTCTATTGCGTGTGAGAGCATGCATGTGTTTGTGTGTGTGTGTGTGTGTGTGTGTGTGTGTGTGTGTGTGTGTTCCAATCGAGAGGTTGCGGGTTCAATTCCCGACGATTATGGTCGCACACGTCTTTCTTCTCTTTCTCGGACTCTTCCTGACTTTTCTTTCATTCTCCTGGGTGGTTACCAACAGCCAGTGTATGCCGGAGTATGTGGTGTGGTGTGTGTGCGTAAAAAAATGGAAAAATGAAAAATAGGGATTCACTGGCCAGAAAAAGTCACTTCAAACAGCTGTGTGGTGGATACCAGGCTAAAAATAGTGGCGGTCAATTCATCAGCCTTGCAAGCTGTTGAATGGTGTAATCCCAGCACAAGTTGCTATGTCTAACATAGCTGTTCGCTATCATCGCTTCCGCGATGGGCATGTCTGAGGTGTGTGTGTGTGTGTGTGTATGTGTGCACAGATGTGTGTGTCGATGGTGTGCATTTTGTGATTGGTGAACACTCTGATCCCTAAACCGCGATACCGGAGCTCCCAAGCTACAGCCTCACATTGATTTATAGTTCATCGTTGGGAATGAGTTCACTGCTCATGATGCTGTTGCGGATGTTGCGGCCCTAGCTGAAATTGTCGAAGCTCGCCCTGATGCCAGTATCCTGTAGCACTCTGTCACTTTTGCATCAGCATGTTCGGCGATGGAGTTTGCAGAACATCAGCAAATGCGGCTGGCCACCCTTCAACCGTTGGTCCAAGCAACGTGCTTCTCTAAATCAGTTGCAGTGCGGGCAGCTGCCAGTGGGTTGGTGATGAAGCACTTTGTCTTGTCCTACTAACAAAGTGGTGAGCCAGCCATTTCCAGACTGATGAAGGAGCAAGTCGGAGGTAAGAAGCGGGTGACAGTCTCAAGGAAGATTATATTAGTGGTGGCTGAACACCTAGCGAAGAACCAGCAGCAACCCAACTGTAAGGAACGCCCTGTGGCACAGTGCTTCACTTGTTTGTGCGCACCGTAAAATACCATCATTTTTGCCAGTGTGGGGACACGTTCTAGCTCACATAGTTGAAGAACAAGAGGACTCAATGTTGTCTGATTCGTTCCAACATGTCAGCTTTCATTGTAGTTTGATATGGGGCAGTGCTAAGCGCTATCATAGCTACATGTACATGTATCACAACCAAGTACCAACAGGAGAGTAATCATGGAGAAAAGTACCTATCGATAATGCGTGCACCCAGGGTTTTCCGGCAAATTTACTAGTTCAGCTATTCCATCCTTGTATTGTTCTGAACGCCGAGGGCTCTAGTGAGTTTATGCAACACCTAACAGCCAAAAATCCAATAAGTTATGACCAAAGCAGCAGCAGAGAAGTACAAGCAATATAGATAAGTGAATTTACCAATTTTAGGCAAATTTTCACAGGTTTTTGGATTTTTCTCCAGAATATGCACGGTGACCCCTATTTTCGCCGCGGTAAACCTGTTCCAACCCACTTATAGAACGTGTTTGAAGTATCCACATATGGGGCAAACTCAAAAATAAGCTGCAAAAAATATTCAAAGTTTCATTTTTTGCGTCTTTTTGTTCTTCTCCAGGAAATGACGACCTGGATCCCATCGTCAACCAAAGTGTACATTTTTCGGTGTTGATATCATCTTAGTCAATACCTCGAACAGTCTGTAAAATTTTATGTCATATTTTCTGTCCTAACTGATGTTATGGACGATTTCTCATCAATTTTGGGATTTTGTGTCATTTTGTGTCATCAAGGAAAATTGTGTTTTTGGCAAGACCTATTCAGGCAATTGAAAAACTGATGTTACTAAGTGAAAATATAAGGCTGTACCTATTCAAACCTGATGTCAGATTGGGCTGATGTTGAAATTAAATTTTTGGGCCTAACTGTCCCGAACCCCCCTAACCCTTCTTTCAGAAAGTCCAAGGGCCGGCGGAACAAAGCAAGCAAACCAAGCATACAATCGCCGGCCCGACGCGAGGCGCGGTTGGCGCCGATACGGTAAAGCTAATGCATGCGGGGGGGGGGGGGTGGCGCGAAAGGATTCAGTAGATATACTACCCTTGTCGACAGTTAGTTCTGGTGCAGATTTGTCGCGTACATGTTGGAAGCCGGTCACGGCGGTCAGCCTCAGCTCACACGATCACCTTGTCCTAGATCCTTGGCTTCAGAAGTGACCATGGTGACAGTTCAGCTGCTGTGTACTAGCGTGTTCATGGTGTTATTTACGGAAAAAGTCAGTTCATGTGCACATGTGACAAGAAGAAGCGAGAGGGCCATGGGGAGTTGTATCACTATGCCGAGTACTGTGACTACAGTCCTCATTATTATTTTTTGTCTGGAAGTGGAAGACCTGCTGCCTGTGCTGGCAGACACTAGTGCCAGACACTAGTGCCAGGCAGTAGTGGGCCTTTGTATGCATTATGTCGAACAAGGTTTCCCCACTATCCTTCTCCTTCTCAATGCCTGTGTTTTATAAAAGAAACAAAAAGTTTGGCTGTGATAAGAGCAGAACTCATGTTGAGTTAGCTTGGAGAAGCGCTGGTGCGTGCGAGGCCGGGCCCCCAGCAGCCTTAGTCACACAGTAGGCGACAGCCTACCTGTACTATGATATCGCCATTATCGGCAACCATTGACTTTGGCCGAAGCATTCTCCTTTCGTATGGGTAAGTGGAATTGTATGTGTAAAAAAAATAAAGGTGGATGTGTGAGTATTGAGTAGGCCTGCACGTTCTTTTTTTTTAAACCAGTCCAGTACATGTTTTACGAACTTTTAAATTTAAATTGCTTCCACACTCCAATCACCTTGTGATTTTGATGATAAAAGAGGAGTGTCGTGGTCGTGGTGGGGCTGAGCACACTTGGTCAACCTGAGGTCTCGACCACGATGTACATGTATGCCCAGTGCACCAAGCGAAGAGAAACAAGAGAAGTGAGACATTGCTTATCAATACTCGGACAATCGTGGGCAAACAATTCCGGCCAATGCTGTATATGGTAGGTACACATGCACCACCACTGCCCATGTCCATCACATACACTATACTGTACACTGTGCCTGCCAACCTTTGCAGACCTGAGACCGGGACAATGGGCGCGTTCGATTACACACATTTCAGTCAATTCTTGAATTAGTTATTGTGTATGCACCGTTTGATTACACAAATTCCGTTGTTAGAATCATCGAAATCCGAGTCCGTCAATTCTGAAGAGAGGGCGGAATTGCTGATTGCAGAATTGACGCACTCCATGTATAACGCCATGCTAGGTCCACGTGCGCGCAAGGGTGCACGGGATTCCACGTGATCCCCTTTTGCGATTTTTACGCGTAGTCGTTCGTTTACATGGCCGCAATCCGTTCATTCTGTTCATGCAAGAATTATAAAACCTGGACCCAAATGTGTAATCGAAAGCGCCCAGTGACATACCTACGTGTATGAAAATGTATACACATGTAGCTGGAATGCATGCTACAAATGCGCTTTTTGGGTGCATATCAACACCCTCGATATCGGAACGATCCCGGTGCGATAATAGGGCACAAAACTGACAGGCTACTGAGACTTTCAGCGACTCGAGACCTTTCTTGAAGTAAAAATATTTCAAGTATGGCAAAAAGCAAGAAAGGTGAAGAAAATCCATTAAACTGGGAACGGTAACGGTAGCTGAGGGTAACAATGGTCGGCTTTGGAGCGCATGGAGGAGGAGAGTTCGTTGTAAAGTTGAAGAAACTCATTTTGTATGAATAGTTTGTCACGCGAGATAGTGGTAGCGAGCTCGGCGATGATTACACAGGCAAAGTCTTTACATAGGGAAAGTGTTTGCTCCTCACACCGAAGCTCGCGCTTTCCGCCGACGTGACTGACTCATGACTACCATCCAGAGCACTCAAGAAGTCCATCGAACCTTCCACTCAGCAAACGGTAGCTGAGGGTAACAATGGTCGGCTTTGGAGCGCATGGAGGAGGAGAGTTCGTTGTAAAGTTGAAGAAACTCATTTTGTATGAATAGTTTGTCACGCGAGATAGTGGTAGCGAGCTCGGCGATGATTACACAGGCAAAGTCTTTACATAGGGAAAGTGTTTGCTCCTCACACCGAAGCTCGCGCTTTCCGCCGACGTGACTGACTCATGACTACCATCCAGAGCACTCAAGAAGTCCATCGAACCTTCCACTCAGCAAACCTGCAAGAACGCACTAGGCCTAGAAAGAACTACTCCCTGCTCAACACACAGTGCTTCGGGGAATTCTCCCCACATCAGTTGAGCTTTAGTAGGCTGAGGAAGACTGTGTCTGTATTGATTGCAATATTTAAGTAAATAACTTGGTTCTTCAGTTTTCTTGCGCGTGTGATTGTTGTACAGGTGGATGGCGGCCATCGCAGCAGCCAGATGAGGAGAAGGAGGACAGTCAGCAGCAAGCCAGCAAGAAGCAAGCCGGCGGAGAAAATTCATGCGAAGAAAATTCTAAAATAATAGCCATCCCGAACCCCGACCACCATCCCCTACCAGAAAAATTACTTATATAGCCTACCCTAGCTCAGAGATTCACACTTGATGATTGGTCAACTGTCCCCGGCCAATCAGAGTCTAGCACATAGGTCATGAAATCGAGTCACTTAGCACTTCCTGTGACCATTTTGACCAGTGTAGGCCTATCTATTCACACAGAATAAGTAATGATTCACTGAATCCTGAAATAGACTCTGATTGACATGTTGAACAGCTGAACAACCATAACCTAGGCAACCCATGACGACAACACCCACAACACCCGTACAAGCGCGCCTGACATGCAAGTTCAAGTTTCCTGGAGTATATGACAGTCATCACTGTGAATGCAGGCTGCCAATTCAGACACTACCCGGGGCAGCACTGCATGACTCCATCACCCCGGCAGCACTGCATGACCCCACACCCACACAAGCAACACTCAGAAGGGAAACTCACCAGGCAAGCACCATGAGTAGTGCATGGTGACAAAAGAAAAAAGAAAGAAATGAGGATGGCATGATTCAGAAAAAACACTATGGATGAGACCACATGCATGATTGACGCAAATCCAGCCAAAGCAGCAGCAGACAAAACACACTATTAATGGACACCAACATTGTCAACGTCTTTATAAAACAGTAGATGGGGAGGGGGAGAGGGGAAGGCCAGAACTGGCAATCATGACTGATGACAATCACTACCTGCTAGCATGATATCATTGACATGTACACAGCATAGGAAGTCCGTTCCCTCTACTTGACTACATGGCATACCAGTACCCGGCGGAAGCAGTTCTGGATTGGCCCTAGCCCGATATCACAGCCTGATATCACAGCCCGATATCATAGCCCGATATCACAGCCCTTCACACATGGTACATGGTATGTCGGCCGGGTGCACATGACGTCTTACATGTTGGTGGCCAGAACGTTGGTCCGGTCAGGGCCTGACCAACCGGACTGGTTCCGCCGGACCTGCATACGGGTTGCACGGAGTTAGTTCCATGTAATTTACACTTACTTACACATCTCGGTAAGTCTGGTTGCCACCGGCCACAGTATAGCACAGAATGTACAGTCAGACGTCGCTTATCCGGTCCTCGTTTATCCGGATCCCTCGCCATCCAGAAGAAAGTCGTTGGTTACCAATTTACAGCATATGGCATGCATACATACAGTATGTGTGTTCGATTATCCGGTTCCCTCGACAATTCCGGATAGTTTTGTGGAAAACGGATGTGTGCGGTTATGCGCGGTCTGACTGTACCTGCATACGCAGACCACTCCGGTAAACAGGTCTGCGCGAATCACATGTGCAGTACAGTGAGTGTTCCACTCACTGGTCCTGCCTTAGTACAGTGCTCAATCAAGCCATGCACAGCAGCACTGTGATGTCATCACCATCACCACCAACCAACCAACCGTCCATGTATCCTGTTACATAGCTTGTAGCTTTGCGAGCCTGTCAAGAGGAGCAGATATGCACACATGGACCAGCACAGATCACAAACAGGCACACATGAATGCAAAATACGCACACACACGCGCACGCACACACACCATGTACACACACACACACACGCACACGCACGCACGCACACACACCATGTACACACACACACAATCACACACACGCACACAGTGCAAACATACATGTACGAATATGACCGCACGCTCCAGCAGTCTGATAGCAATGCTGTTCCAGCACATATACAAAAAGCACATTATCTTACAATAGTCATAGTACTGCAGCTCATACCTTGGCCTGGAACAACCTGGAACAACTAGAGCATTTTCACTTTCCTATGCATTTCCTGTTGGTTAACACCTCGTGAAAAAGGTGACTGGCCCCAAACATCATACAGTACTGTCGAGCGCCGAAGAACTAGAACGGAAACCGTAATGTACACTATTATGTACACTCAGATGTATAACTCTGCATAAATGTACATGTAAGACTGTCAGTGTTGCCACATCATTAAAGCCAAATATCAGTAGGATAAAAAACCAAAATGCATCACCCTCCCCTATATAGCGACCTCAATACACACACACGCGTGCGCGGCACTGATAAGAAAAAAATTCACGTTTTGCGTGAGACTCAGGCTGAGTTTGCCGATTTTTCTCGAGACAGATGATGATTTCGCTTTGCGCCTTAGGAGAGAGCTATGGAAACACGCATAATGAGCAGTAAAAGCCAAAAATCTGGATCATGACTTCTAAACCACGCATAAGGTCAAACTTGGACACTTTCATGGCTGTTGTCGGCAGGAGAAGGTCAATTGTCGGCAGGTCGTGACATGCCTCAAAAATCGGCAGGCTACTGACATGTCGGCAGGTGTGGCAACACAGGACTGTACCATTGAATAAGAACGAAGCTGCTGTGTTGGCTAAAAAAGGAACGGGCCAGGCTAGAACCCTGACCCTCCCCCCAGTTCTTCGGCGACCAACAGTATTGTAATATGACTGTACTGTGATATGACATCAATAAAAGAATTTTCAATTCAGCGTGGATCGTGAAAAGCAACTGAATAGAGTAGTTGGCAGTTGACAATCGCCTTTTCCTGCTTGATAATGATGCAGTTGTGTGATGTCCATAAATTTGCACCGAAGATATTGTCCTTTGGAGGTTATGCGTTTACATCATAATTTGGGATTCTTCGGAAAAGTCGCGGCACATCACTGCATTAGTGACACACCAACCACTAACACTGTATGTACACACAGTCAACTTTGAATATGACGACACTTGGCCAGCATCAGAAAAGTGTCCTTATACCCGACGTCTCTTTATATGCGTACAGTTAGAAGGGACTTTGCTCTGGGCATGGACGTTCTGTCGTTATTCGCGAATTGTCGTTATATCCGCAGTCGTACTAATAGCGAAGTTGACTGTAGCCCCATGAGCAGTTCCACTCACTCATGCTGTATGTACATAGCCCAGGGCTGCCACACTTGGAGGGGGAGAAATCAGACGGGGGTCGGGGGGTGTTCCCGGTGAAAATGTTTAGGAAAATGGCTTGCTGTTGGGGCCCCAGAACACATTTTTAACTGTCCACACACATGCAAGCACGCGTGAATTTTACAGCTACATGTACATGTACAATGACTGGCCAAACGCGACCTGGAAGCGCCGAATGGCCAACTGGACTAAAAAGCACTCAAAATAGAATAATCGGTTGTCCCTCTTTGGGAACAAAATCGGTCGGTTTGTCCGACAGGCGATCAAAAATCGGACGATTTCCGAAAAATCGGAGCAAGTGGCAGCCCTGAATTAGCCTCATAAGCAGTTTCACTCACTCATACTGTATGTGCATAGCACCAATACACGGTTCCGCTGACTAGCGACTATGACATCATTTGAATACCTTCTATACTCAGATTTTATCTAAGACTAAAGTGGTTTCTTCTCTGCCTCTCACTCTCTATTTTCTCGCTCTCTTTCTCTCTCTCTCTCCTTCTCTCTCTCTCTCTGTCTCAATCTCTCACTCTCTCTCTCTCTCTCTCTCCCTATTATTTACCAAAATTGTGAGTGTGAACTTCATCGTTGCACATCAAAGCATCAATTTCTGTGTAAAGTTATCACAGCATCTATTCTGCATTCTAAACATTTCTGCTATTCAATTATTGTATCTTCACTGTGGAAGCCTCCTTGGTAGGCCCTGGCCTTCCTGCCATCCCATACATAAATACAAACACAAAACATTCCCTGGTTTGAGGGAAAAACACAAATGGGAAAAGTCTGAAGAAAAAATTGACTGTCACCACCAGGACTCGAACCAGGGACCCTCGCTTGTAGCCAGCGATGCTCTAACCACTGAGCTATGGTGTAGTCGTCATCCCAGCAGAGACCGTTCAACATATTCTTCAGACTTCGTAACTCACACTTCCTGTGAATCCACACAGGGGGGTGGGACGCAGCCCTCACTGTAACCCACACACTTCACGTACAAACTAGCACACGGGAAGCCCCAAGTCATAAGATATTCACTGGTTTGAGGGAAAGACACAAACGAGAAAAGTCTGAAGAAAAACTTGACTGACACCACCAGGACTCGAACCATTCCTCACGTAGTAGATCACTCGTTCATTGGGTCGCTCTCTTACTGTACAAACCCATTAGCTAGAATGGTGGCTACTGAAATCAGACCCAAAATTTTCGTGCTCGAGTGCGGCGCCGATTCTAGCGGTCTCTATTGCGTAGTGTCACAATCCCATGCTGGGTGTTTGCACCGCTCCAGGGGTTGGAGTTCTTTTGCCAACAATTTACATGGCAGAGCATTGCACCAAAGTTCCAGGCTGCTGCACATACGGCAGACATTGACTACAAGGAGGAAAACTTCCCTCTGCCAGCGGAGAGGGCTCAGCGACAAATTTGTAAACCTCCGTCGTGCCTTTTGTGTGAGGACATTGACTATGTGTATGATTGTGCACGGTTGTGCATGGTTGTGTATGTTTTGTATGTTTGTCAATATAGTAACAGTTAGAACCTCTCTTTCCCGGTGTCCCACGACTGGACAGGTATGGACTCAATACCAAGCAAATGTCTGTCATAGTTAGCAGGACCGCCGGAGGTTCAGCGGTCCGGTAGTTTCTGTGCCTTTCATACTTTGTGTATGATATGGCGGGTACACATGACCTCCATTGCAGTAAACATGTGTTTGTGACTAAAAGGTTGGTCCGGTGAAAACCTGACCAAGCAGACCGGTTACCATCAAAAAAACAATGTTCAGTTCATAACTTACCATCACTGTGGTACAACATGGCTTGTCCTGTAGCAGCTAGCTGCACTGTGCTTGATCAAATCCTCCACTTCCTCCGTCTCTGCAACCAGCCTCATTCAGCCTGCACTGCAGCACCAACGTCGACTGGGGTACAAGCCTCGGAGGCAGTACGATCGAAGCATGCCGTCAAGATGTGCAATCTTTGTTCCGGGCTTGTGCTTGTGCAAGTATTGTGTCACATACGAGCAACGGACAAGACTCCCAGAGCTGGGGAAGTACGAGTCAAGCTGTGCGAGTGTCGTTGGTTGGTTCATGGCGGAATGAGTCTGAATCAGAATGCCGTGGTGTTAGCTACAACACCGTCTTCCGTGAAGGAATCCTAATGAGCGTGTCATCCACACCGTCGAAGAGCGTGCAGAGACTGCAACCGAACCAACATTGCCATTTTGCCAATGCGCCTCAGCATGAACATCGCTTCGTTTGCCTGTCCCACCGTCCAAAAAGGCTTCGTGCCGTGTCCTCTTTCTGGATATTCTCAAGCGGTAAGCGCAGCAACCCTAATTACCTTGATTGCCAGACTCCTACGGCAAGAGTGGAATCATTATGTTCTTCTTAGCGGTTGCATTTGGCCACAAAGCGACGCTTCTAAATTGGACTCTTCCAAACTCCACAGTAATAATTATGGTAATGGAGGCCAAAACGCCCTGGAGCTTTCGCCATTTGGGGAGAAAGCAAGGTAACTCGTTGCTTTAGTTTAGTACGTAGCTTCTTCATCAAAAACTTTCTTCCTGCATGCAGGATGTGAAAATGAATGAATATCCAGAAAATAATCATGCTTATTTTCTGAATATTCATTCATTTTCAAAATAATTTTCATGACTTCAATCCTCATCGATCATCATCAGGGAGTCGTGTATATACGACGTACATGTATATGACTCCCTTATCATCATCATGTCGACATGTCAAGCCAGGATTATGTGTCTTGCCGGCGCGAAGCAGTGGCCGCTGAACTGGCCGGGCCCTAGCTACATTGTATTTGTAGCTCGAGAAGTACCGGTAGCAGCGCGGCGTGAATGAGCGCTCGGGCGCCGATCGCAGGTATCTACTCAGCCGTCAGTACAGGTGGAAGACCATGGACTGGTACAGTGGCAGATCTACTGTAGACCATACTGCACGTACATGCAGAGCTACGCATTACAACGACAGAGCACTGACCAGGGAGTAGTAAAAGTATTTTACTACTCCCTGGCACTGACTGTATATGGATGGTGGAACTAAGTGGAAGCCGGATCTGTAATTTTGACAAGCTAGCATCCTTCTTTCGTGAAGTCGTTGGCTCACAGGAAAGAAAAGAAGGTGAAGATCCTGCTTTGTTGAGCCACACAGCTGCTGAGCAGACAACCTGTAGCATGGCAGTTTGGTTTGTTTTTAAATATCTAATGATGATTTCCCCCGTCGAACATAGTTATTCTTAGTGTGTGACATCGTATTCACCATCGCCGGCACGCGTAGATCTACTGGTGGGAGATGAAGTATACAACGCCATCATAGCTTTAACAGCGTGCAGGGATTGGGTTTCAACCCGCAACATTTGTATTGATAACGTGATGTAATGTGTACTAACTTATATTTCTGCCAACATTAACAGCATAGTACGCACAAGTAATTACGCAATGCGCTTCGAAGATTCTGCAAAGTCGTGTTTTGCTGGTCAGATTCAGAGCATTAGTGTTGTAGAACTGGCATTGCAGACGAACTTGGAAGCAATCGTGTATAATATTATATACTACTCTAAACGTGCAACGGTCGGATAGATAGGGTGTGATGATAGATAGGGTGTGATGATAGATAGGGTGTGATGATAGATAGGGTGTGATGCAGCGTCAGAAAGAAGTGAACAAACAGAGGGGAAAGAGAGAGAGTGTGTGTAAGTGTGCGTGTGTGTAAGTGTGTGTGTGTCTGTGTGTCTGTGTGTGTCTGTGTATGTGTGTGTTGTCGACAGAGGCTCGAGAAGGAAGCCCCAGACATCCCTAGCCCCAACTACCGCTGTAACAGAGTGTTCCATCGTCCTGGTGACCTCAAGCGGAATGCGCCATACTGCAGATTTCGGGTTTAGAGCCTCAGCGTGAGGAAGCCATCGCTATCATTGCTACGGCGATGGGCGTTCAAGGTTCAAGGTGTGTGTGTGTGCGTGCGTGTGTGTGTGAGAGAGAGAGAGAGAGAGAGAGAGAGAGAGAGAGAGAGAGAGAGAGAGAGAGAGAGAGAGAGAGAGAGAGAGAGAGAGAGAGAGAGAGAGAGAGAGAGAGAGAGAGAGAGAGAGAGAGAGAGAGAGAGAGAGAGAGAGAGAGAGAGAGAGAGAGAGAGAGAGAGAGAGAGAGAGAGAGAGAGAGAGAGAGAGAGAGAGAGAGAGAGAGAGAGTGAGAGAGAGAGTGAGAGAGAGCGGAGAGAGGGAGAGCTAGACAGAGGAGAGAGAGCTCACATCGCTTAGTGTCTACTAAACTGCCGTGAACACGTGTGCTCAGTCCAAATTCACATCCAGTTCGTTACCCGTACTAGTAGTACAGGTATTCAGCAGTTAGTACCGAGAAAACGGTATCTGACAGAAACTGGAATTCCTGCGCAAGAAAAGGCCTCCTTCAGTGCACGCCGGTCTGAAACACTCGGGGAACACGACTATTTCCAGACGCAACCGCTGACTCATAATCTTTCCAGACAAAATGTGACAGGATGGTGTGGTGCCATCCAAGAAACAATACACTGGTCATGGGACTGAGATTGCGCCCATTTGAGGTTCCTAGAACTCTTGACTTCCAGAATTCAATAGGAAATTATCCATTCCTGCAATGGCTCGCCTGTACAATGTGCTGTTATACATGACTTTGTAATTATTTTCAGAAACATGATTGCTCTTGTGCGTGATCGGCAACGCTGTACAGCACTTTGAACTGGAAGGGCAAAACACGCACGCAGAAGAAATGTTGCTTTGTTTCGCTCAATGGGTGAGAACTGGCCGGATGTTTGAAATACAATTACCACCGTACGTAACAAACGAACAGCAGTAATAACACCTTGAACTAAGACTAGACCATGTCATGTGTCTAATTCCCCCTCATTCTACGTACACACTGTAGACAATGTAGTGTATCACATCAAGTGTGAGTATTAGAGCGCTAAAGCGCAGGGGGTTAAGTGGATATTCAGGGAGCCTCGTCATCATGTTCTCAGTATCGCTAGATTAGAGTGACAGTTCAATTTCAAGGAAGACGACGATCGAATGATCAACAGCAGGTTTGCGTAGGGAGTCAGTCGTCCATGAAACGCCCCAGGTCTAAACTATAATGCTCGCATTGCACAAGTGCAAAGTGGACTCATGGCGCGGCCATATTCACAGCCGCATTACTTGGAACTGTCAGCAAAGTCATAACATAGTGTCATTAGTGGCACGTCCTCCAGGTCAGCACTGCATTGCACTCTGTTGTCCTGCTTGCCGAGAAATACCACAAAGACCTCGACCTAGCACTAGTGCTAGCGGTAAATACATGTAGCGCCTGTATTGGATCATTGAATACCAGTTTGGAATCATTGCACGTCGCCTTCTGATCTATGGATGTCGTTCGCCACAGCAGTACACTGTACAGTACACTGTACAGTGAGATCATGTCTTTCTAATTCTCAATACCACGGCCATGCATGGGAGTGAAATGCATGGATGTATTAGGTCACACATACCAATTGAGTTATTCGAATCGAGGGGTGTGCAATATAGATGTACGTGTTGTGTGGTATGTATCCGGGGTCAGCCTACTGACTGTCTTGCAAAGGCGGTAGGCGGTTACGTGGCGTGAGCAGGAATCTGGGAGCAGCCCCGATCAGATGTTGAGGATTATTCTAAATGTGTTACTGTAATGGTACGATACTAGACACATTGTCTGCCAACCCTGTATCCATTGTCATATATGTACATGTATAACGATTATGTAGTGCGTGCTTGGTTGGTTGACTGGGCACTGTGAGCAGCTGGAAGGGACCCACCTATTAACCGGCTTTGGAACTGCATAAATATGGTGGAACGTTGACGATCGATTTGCACTGATCACGACTACATGTATGTACATGCAATTGTTAGATTGACAGCATGAAACAAGGAGGAGGACACTGTGTTCGAAAACAGTGACCTTACTACAACCTTCCGCGGTTTTCATGCTGTCAATCTAACAATTGCGTGAACTACAACAAGGTTTATCTAATACTGGTTTACCAGTTTTGGATTATATCATATGTATGGACATGTATACCGAACAGGTCCCAAGCGGCGATGGGCGACGCCACTGACAGAAGCCTGCATGTGTAGTTATCAGTATCAAAGTCACCATTCACCAGTCACAACAACCAATGATAACGTTCTAACATCCCACGATAAATCTCACTGGCCGTACCGTGTCAATACGGTTCTTGAACTGTTCTTGACCTGTTCTCGTAAACGTGAAGCGTCTACCACACGGCCACAGACATGATGAATGAACACTTGAACTGTTGAAGGCAAACAGATACATACTACTTGCACTATGGACTCTGAATTATTCTTTGTTGCACCTTGTTTCTGTTTTTTTGGCTCAACAAGACTGATCTGTGATCACACAGCATGAGACTGTGTTCCCAAAAATTGGGTAAAGAGGGAAGCGAGAAATGGCAACTAATCTCGAGAGATATGGGCTTCCGGCACTGCCAGAGCGTGGGATACCTCACTAGCAGCAGCACGATGCCTAACACGAGGGTCACGCAAACAAGCAATGCACTTTGTCGAATGCTTTGTTGTTCACTAGATTTCAGTACGATCGCTTCGTCCAGTCACTCCGGCTTCCGCGGAGGAGCCATCAGTTAGAAGATCCAAACTTGTGCTGTACAGCACTGGTGTAGAGTATAGACCTTCTAGTCCGGAGATAGCGAACCACAAAGTACATTGTACGTTGTACGTGCAGCGTCAGGCTTGCAGTCAACCTCGCATTCCTGATACAAGTTCATCGAATACGTGTAACTAATTTACTTTACTACGGCTTAGACTTAGAGTTTGGCTATTGAATCCAGTCCAGGCAGCACCACCAGGGCACGTTAAAAAACTGTGATTTTTAATACAATCATATAGGAGTGAGAACAGCCTCTTTTTACTGGCAACCAAAACACAATTTGCAATTTATGGAGGAGTAGAACACAATTCAAGTACTTGTACTGAAAACAATTTCATGAAAGGAAGAATATGATAAGTAAATTGGAACCCTACTCAAATTCCACCAGGCACGTAGTCTAGTGATTTTCTACCCATCGTCGGGAATACATGTACAAGTCATGTAAATGTACAGTCATGTACATGTACATGTCTACGATTTTGCACGAACAGAACGTGAACATACATCATTACATGTACACGAAGTTCTCAGAAGACCATGGCACGTACATCAACAGACAGACAGACTGACAGACAGACTGAGTGACTGACTGACAGTGCAGTGACGGGCTGGTGGCTATTCAATGCATCACCGCGACGCCGTCATCTCTCAGTTCCCGGAGACACCTCACTGCCATGACCGGATTTGGTGATGTCCTCTTCAAGTGTTAATTCGCTCGAGTCACAGGCAGTAATGCATGCCTTCTCACAGGAGATGAGACTGTCCTACCGAAGCGAAGTACATGATGGAATGAGAAGGATAATGAAAACAACTTAGTTGGATACAATTATGAAAGACAAGACCACGTCAGGGTCTCCTGGGCCGGGGTTACCACTCAATGTTCCGTGATATTGATATGATAGATCATGCCCATTCGAATCTTCAGGTAACCGAGGAGTTGTTGTCTTTTCTTCCATGCGTGCATATGTGTACTGGTACACCGGTACATGTACATGCATTTACAGTTGTCTTGGATGATCCTCACGCTGGATGATAGCGCTCTTGGTCGGGTGGACATAGCCTGTTATACAATACTCACATAGCAAAGGCACAATCAAATCTTTCTCTAAATTCTAGGTCACCCTCAGAGGTTCGTGTTAGAAACACTCATCAGACAGCTGCTATGCGCCTGTGTGTACCGGTAATGCGCCTGTGTGTACCGGTATATTGTATGCGCCTGTGTGCACCGGTACATTGTATGCGCCTGTGTGCATGTGTGCATGTGTACATGTGTGCTTGTGCGGGGAAAACTCTGCACCCAGCGAACGTAGCACTACTCCAGCCACTCTTTGCTGATTTCGTTTCTGCTCCTGGACCTATCAACTTTCCGCCACTATGGAGGAAGTGTAGAGCGTTGATTATGTTGTGCTGAGTTCGATGAGAAGCGTACGCGAGATACATGGACGTGATCATCACTGTTCGTCACCGTGGCTATATATCTGTAGGATGGGCAATATCTGGGTGTGCGCATGAGCAACTGGAAGAACACAGATTCTGAAAGGAATGCTATGAATAAGTATCACCTCCAGCACTGCAACAGTCAGCAGTTTACGGTCATTGAATCTGCTTGCAGTTACCGCTGTAGGAGGAATATTATAATCTGGAACATTGTCATGCAGCATGAAGCACATGTCTGGGAATGGTGCTGTTACCATGTCTGAAGTAATGACCTGCTTCAAACTCAGTTACATGATTGTGCATGCGTAAGGTGCTATTGATATTAGCTGCTGATTTCAATCTGATGCAGGCATGTAAAACAGGACAAGTAGAACAACACCCAAGACATGCCAGAGTGTGCGCAGCGCACTAATTCAGCACACAATGACAGATCCGCGTCAACACGGCGTTCTTTCTCGGTCACGTCGCTCATTCGTCACCTGCTTCATGACCTTATCTCCAACACGTATTGCAGACACGACACAAAAATTATTGCAGCAACTCATCTCATAGAACAGCAGTAAAACTGATGAGCAAAGTCACCTGTAACCGAGCTGCCAAAGGACGTGGATTGCCAATAGGCAATACTGCAATAGTGACGTGTGGTTTGTTCATGCCAGGACCGAAGTCTCACGCCCCTTGGGCCGCAGATCTGTGCTGATCATCACGCGGGGGAGTCCTTACTTACATAATGTACTCCTTACCTACCGTGGAGTCGTGATGCCTCAGCTGGCGTGTTGGAGTCGTGATGCCTCAGCTGGCGTGTTGGAGTCGTGCAGTGCCTTGTGGGTGGCCAAGTCGCCTGCCACTGTACAGCTGTGCCAGTGCTGGCTAGGAGCCTAGCACTCAGCAGAACCCAGCACTACAGACACAATCGTATTGGCGGCGGAGATGCAGATCGATGGCGTTGCAGTGGCGCCGTCTCAGGTATCCGATCGGAGAAGCACACCAGTCCTCTTCTCCGAATTGTCCGTATAATCTCGTGATCTCCACCAATAAGCTGATGCCATGTTCATAGGTATGCTGAGCACTGCGTAGCACTGGCATGGACCAGCGGGACGTCTTCCTTATTCGAGCATTTCTAAATCGGACTTCCAGGAACGGGCTGTCAATGAATAGATGGCGCATTGCATCTCGTTGGAGGTGGATTCTGCCATAAAATCACTCGCACGCCTCCCCAAGAATCACAACTGAGCTTGCAGCCCAAGTAACTCTTTCGTTTCAGTGCTCCATATTTCTCAACCAACAACCCTCTTCCAAAATGTGTGACGACGACGTTGCCGCTCTTGTCGTAGACAATGGCTCCGGTATGTGCAAAGCCGGTTTCGCCGGTGATGACGCACCCCGTGCCGTCTTCCCCTCCATCGTCGGCCGTCCCCGCCATCAGGGTGTGATGGTCGGTATGGGCCAGAAGGACAGCTACGTCGGAGACGAGGCTCAGTCCAAGAGAGGTATCCTGACGCTCAAGTACCCCATTGAGCACGGTATCGTCACCAACTGGGACGACATGGAGAAGGTAAGCTCATTGCCAGTCACAGTTTTTGGTAGCAGTGCCTAGATTGCATGTACTTGCTAAACTCGGGCACCGCCCCCAAACGTCGTTACGGGACGAGCCTACCCGAGACGAGTACCGACACTGTCCTCGGACGCCACTCTACAGTCCTCGACTTGGACAATAGGTTTTCGCTCACATATGATATGTATCATGGTATTGTGACCTATTGAAGCACTCCAGGATCTATTTTCCCAACTAACTTGTGTGCATTGGTCTGTTTCTTACATCCAGATCTGGCATCACACTTTCTACAACGAGCTGCGTGTTGCACCAGAGGAGCACCCGGTCCTCCTGACCGAGGCTCCCCTCAACCCCAAGGCTAACCGCGAGAAGATGACTCAGGTAAGACTCAGCTGCAGTCATAGTGTCATCACCGGCGATGTGTGTTCTATTGCTTTGCTTCATCAGCGTTGTTGTTTGATGTTTGTGTATGCATGTCTGAGAACTGTGCTTGCACTCCCCGCTACAGGATTGCTGTTAGGGTTAGGTGTTGATAACGGATTGTGGTGATGAAGATCTCTAAAATAATCGCTGCCTCGGTTTTGCCTATCTGTTTGGTGTATGTAGATCATGTTCGAGACGTTCAACACCCCGGCTATGTACGTCGCCATCCAGGCTGTGCTCTCCCTGTACGCCTCCGGCCGTACCACCGGTATCGTCTTGGACTCCGGTGATGGTGTGTCCCACACCGTCCCAATCTATGAGGGATACGCTCTGCCCCACGCCATCCTCCGTCTCGACTTGGCTGGCCGTGACTTGACCGACTACCTCATGAAGATCCTCACGGAGCGTGGATACTCTTTCACCACCACTGCTGAGCGTGAAATCGTCCGCGACATCAAGGAGAAGCTTGCTTTCGTCGCCCTCGACTTCGAGCAGGAGATGGCCACCTCTGCCCAGAGCTCCTCCCTGGAGAAGAGCTACGAGCTCCCCGACGGTCAGGTCATCACCATCGGCAACGAGCGATTCCGCTGCCCTGAGGCTCTCTTCCAGCCATCTTTCCTCGGAATGGAGCAGGCTGGTATTCACGAGACCACCTACAACTCCATCATGAAGTGCGACGTGGACATCCGTAAGGACCTGTACGCCAACATCGTCCTGTCCGGTGGCACCACCATGTACCCAGGTATTGCCGACCGTATGCAGAAGGAGATCGTTGCCCTGGCACCACCCACCATGAAGATCAAGATCATTGCCCCACCAGAGCGCAAGTACTCCGTTTGGATCGGAGGCTCCATCCTGGCCTCGCTCTCCACCTTCCAGCAGATGTGGATCTCCAAGCAGGAGTATGATGAGTCTGGCCCCAGCATTGTCCACCGCAAGTGCTTCTAAAGTGCTGCTGTGTGCAGCTGATGAAATTGCACAGCTAAGACAAGACTGGTCCTGAACCATAATACATGCTTGGCTTGATTGCGCGTCGCCATCTTGTCCAGGCATTCTGCTATACTGATCTATCTACATAATGCCCACCTCTGATCTCCAGTACGATAGGCATTTCTCGAGTTGAATTATCCAAAGATCATCTTTTATAAATATTTTCTATCAAAACCTCTTTTTGGCCATCTCGTAGTTCTACCTTTTATTTCTCACTCTCTCCTTCTCGATCTGTAATGTACAGAGATTCATAATTATCATTATTTTCTGGTATTGAAGACTGCTGGTCAGCACGGATAAATTGTACAAAAAAAGGAGAAAACATATCGACAACATCATGTGTGTTTTTATTTTAGTGTGTTTATGTGTGATGATCGTGTTGCATGATGGGTCAAGTTTCCGTGGTTGCCTTGGGATGGTATTTTCACCAGGAGCACTGATGACCAGGTTCCTTGCATACGGTCATGTACGCAATGAGTATGCACTAGTACAAGTCCCCTGCCTCCAGTGCTTTCCTATTCCGCAACCCTTTGCTTGTTCTTGCCTCTTGGGCTCAGTGTTCGGAGCACCAACTGAAGCTACTGAAGGTTTTACTTGAATTGTGTTCATGTTTCAAGATCGGAACCTGTACATGTACATGTACGTAGTCTACAGACTCCGGTTAACTACGTGTACATTGTGTATTGTGTTTATGGACATGCACACGACGGATGAGTCTGAGGGCTCGTAGTCGTAGGCCCTGGCGGATAATGCTCGAATATTGTAAGATTCTGCTCGAAAAGCATTGGTTGCAATCACGGAGTCGTGATCGTGAAAGCCTGCTTGGCTATCATGGGCTTTCACGACTTCCATTGGCAGCGTACAACCATAGAATCATAGAATAGTTAAGGTCTTTATCCTACTACTAATACTAGCAATGTTTTTTTGGTTTTTTTACTGAATGCCACAGAACCATCAGATGCTGCCCAGCGGGGCCGGTGACATATTGCATGGAAGTGGGGGGGGGGGGGGGCGGGGCAAAAGTAACTCCTCCGACCAAAGGTCTCGCCTCTCGGATTCATCGTTACTCATGTGCGCCGATACATCGGAGAAAAGAACATGTGCATCCAAGAGGGAAGCACCGGCTTTGCAAACGATAATGGGGAGATTTTGAGATTGAGATAGGACATACATGTACATGTCACAATAGTAAAAGCAGTGCACCGTGGAATTAGGAAAATGGAGAGAACTGATAATCGCAAATCGAAGGGGATCAGAGAGAGGTAGAAGGGAGCTGGAGTGCGGTCAGTATTCTCCCTGCGACCCTGGGAGCATACTATTAATTTTTTTATACTCTTGCTAGAGCACAGAAAGCTACTGCCTTGTACTGCCTACTATACTACAGTAACTACAGGGTCAATGATGTCATCAGATAGAGCATGGCCATATGGGCGTCATCTTGAACATGGTGCCGGTTCGGGGAAATCCCCGCAAAACTCACCTCATTCGCGGCGTCTTTTTGTCACACGCCGTTCTGGCTTTTAGAGTAAAATACAGTTTAACTTTTAGCTTTGTCACTTCCAGATCAGAAACTACAATAGCCGGCTGTTCCTCTCTTCAAATGCTGCGTGCGATCGAGTAATTGAACTCGCCTTGGGAAGACATTGCTACTTGTTGGCGCTGTTGAGCTGCCGCGAGTCGCGATCAAACGTTCCAAAACCAAGTTTCTCTCTGCAATATTTTGCTGTCTTGGCCAGTTTGGTTAGGACTTGGAGCACAGATCGCTGCTGACACTAGTGGAAACTAAACTAAAGATTAGGGTGATCGGTGATAATGTCAGCAAAGACAGAGTCGTCCAATGAGCATGTTGAGACTGGACCTGCATCTGGGGCCATTGTGATTGATGACGGTACTTCCACGTGCCGTGTAGGATTGGCATGTGACGACGCACCGCGAGCGGTGATACCTTCCTTTGTCGCTACTCCCCGAGCTCAAGCCCTGGTCAGTGGCATGGGACAGATGCATAGCTATGTCGGCGAAGAAGCGCTGCAAATGCGAGGTCAAATCACCATCAAGCATCCAGTTGAACAAGGCGTCGTCACCAACTGGGACGATATGGAGAAGGTCAGGGGCACCATATAAAATGTACATGATTGTACAGGCTAAGTTCGCCCTGCTACAGTATCTCGTTTGAAATCTGTTCTATTTTTAAACACAACCCTATTACCACCGTATTAACTACAATCAGAATTATTAGTTCACGTTCATCAACACGAACAGACCACGTGCGGTTGAGTAGTGAAGTAGAGCATCGATTATCCGGCACCTGCTATTCGAATGATCAATTATCCGGAATTACTGGGACCAAACATAAAATATTATGATCAGTCACCAACACTACACAAAGGTCGTTGACGTTGACTGATCATAATAATAATATTATGAATTGGCTGCAGTGGAGCCTCCGTATTCTAAAAAACAAACATAAAATATACATATAAATTCGGTTTGAAGAAGAGGTTGGTGCGACTTCGGCGATACTTGGGGAGTTGTGTGTTGCTCCCTACGTGGGAGCTTGCGCCATTCATGCCGACTTGAATTCTCACTTGACTGACTCACGACTGCCATCCAGAGCACACGAGAAGTCCATCGAACCTTCCCGTATAAATTCAGCATACAAGAATGAATGGCATTCGCATGCCGCGGGCAGCACGTGAGTTCACCACCATATTCCACTGCAGACGTGAAGTCGTTGGATCTACCAGATGTGTGTGTGCGTGCGTGCGCTGCAGCCATGTCCGTCAACGCATGGTAGAACGGCTTGTACTGTATATGTAAATGTGCATGGCAATGTACTGTACCTACATGGTCGATACACAATTTGATGTATCACGTGCATATACCGTATTTCCCCAAATGTAAGTCGCACCTTTTTACATCAAACTTCAAAGGCAAAGAAGGGGATGAGACTTACAATCAAGTGTGACTTCTTACTTATGTGGATATATTGATACCATTTGGTTCAGACCTGAAAATGGGCCTGTGACTTATAACCGGGGAAATACGGTACATGAGCATACTGCATGCGGAGCTATGTCCATGGTTGGTACTATCGAAACATTGACCTTATCGGAACTTACCCTGACTGCGTTTACCCGAAGGGTTCGGATAATCGATGCTGTAGTAGTAGATTATCGTATCCGTTCCCGAAGGGAACTCACGACGGCCGCTAACACCCGATAAACCCTAGCGGCAGATGCAGCGCCTAACGGTGGGGGTGAGTGGGTAAGCCTCACAACCACTGGCACAAGTGCCGAAAAATACAATACAGCAAAACCTGGAAGCTACCTCTGTGTTTAGCTACCTCTGTGTTTAGCGACCTCTGTGTTTAGCGACCTCTGTGTTTAGCTACCTCTGTGTTTAGCGACCTCTGTGTTTAGCGACCTCTGTGTTTAGCGACCTCTGTGTTTAGCGACCTCTGTGTTTAGCGACCTCTGTGTTTAGCGACCTCTGTGTTTAGCGACCTCTGTGTTTAGCGACCTCTGTGTTTAGCGACCACCTGCTCTTATTAACGACAGTTTTTCCATGCACCAACAGTTCTACACAGACACTGTGTGACCTGGTTCTAAAGACCACCTGGCTTTAACGACCGCTTTTGCTTGCACCGTGGGGTGGTCGCTTAAACCAGGTTTCACTGTACATTGTGTTACTGCTGTACAGCATCATCGATGTTAGTTGCTAGATTTACCTGTACAGCATCGATGTTAGTTGCTAGATTTACTGGCTGCTGTCATTCTGGCATGCATCCTGAGATTCCTGACTGATGCAATGCAGCGAAACTGAGAATGACTAGGTATAGCCTGTTGGCACGGCAATGGGATCTGGACAGGCTAGGTAGTGTTGATGTGCTGGTCGCAGTGTGTGTGTGTGTGTGTGTGTGTGTGTGTGTGTGTGTGTGTGTGTGTGTGTGTGTGTGTGTTGTGGTGGTCGCAACATGCATAGTCAGATCAGACAATGTCTAATTGGTGTTCTCATACGCACCCATGTGTATGATTTGACAATTATGTCCAAGTAGATCAAGCAGCACATTTGTGTTATGTGTGTGTGTGTGTGTGTGTGTGTGTGTGTGTGTGTGTGTGTGTGTGTGTGTGTGTGTGTGCATGTGTGTGTGTGTGTGTGTGTGTGAATACTGATTCACTGGCCAGAATAAGCCACTTCGATCAGCTGTGTGGTGGATACCAGGCTAAAGTTAGTGGCAGTCAATTCATCAGCCTTGCAAGCTGTTGCATGGTGTAATCCCAGCACAAGTTGCTATGTCTAACATAGCTGTTCGCTATCATCGCTTCCGCGATGGGCATGTCTAAGGTCTAAGGTGTGTGTGTGTGTGTGTATGTGTGTGTGCATGTAAGTACATGTGTGTGTGTGTGCATGTGTGTTTGCCGGTGGTTCTTGCCCGAGCAGGTTTGGCATCATGCGCTGTACAAAAAGCTGGAATGCCAGGATTCGGTGGAGCAGCATGTGCTGCTGTCTGAGCCACCTCTGAATCCCATCATGAACAGGGAGAAAGCCGCACAGGTAGGCGATTTAGCACTACACACTCTACAATGTGACAGCAGCAGGACCTGGCTGAGGTTTCACTTGAAAAGATCCATGCCTGTTCTTGCGCCAGATTGGAGACATGCAATATTTGCTGTTCATTCTTGTTCTGTATGTAGCGACAGCATGTCAATTTCACGAGAACATATGACTGATTAACAACATTATATGTGAATGCTCTAATGTGTGTGTGTGTCCGCACGTGTGAACGTTTATCCGTTTGTGTGCACACGTGTGGACATGCATTCGCGTGCATATGCATCCGTGTGTGCGTGCACGCATGTGCGCGCATCCGTGTTGCCGTCACAGATCTTCTTTGAATCGTTCGACGTGCCTGGATTCTACCTAGCCAATCACCTAGTACTGTCTTTACTCTCCACGGGCCGTGTGTCGGGTATCGTGCTGGGCAGTGGTGACTGTGTATCGTACGCCATGCCGGTGTACGAAGGCTGTGCCCTGCGCTACGGCACAAAGCACTCTTACCTGGGTGGCAGGGAGATGACAGAGGCGCTAGCCACACTACTCACCCGCCGCGGTGTGGAAATGCGCACAAGTGCCGATTACAACGTGGCCAGAACTATCAAGGAACAGCTAGCATTCGTGGCAGCAGCGGATGCGGATGCACACCCACACCCAGACGGCATCACGGATCTAGAAAAAACATACACCACTCCGGACGGAAAGGTGATCACGTTGGATCATGAGCGCTACAAGTGTGCGGAAGTGTTCTTCAAGCCAGTCGAGGATGAACTCGATCGCCTGTTGTTGCCTGACCTGGTGCGTCGCTGCCTTGCCATGGGTCCTGATACCTTGCCAGAGCCAGCAAAGAACATCGTTGCGGCGGGCGGACCAACCCAGTGTCCTGGCTTCACCGAGCGCCTGCAGTCTGAGCTAGTTGACTGTGGTGGAGAAGTGCACCGTGCAAAGCAGCACTCCGCCTGGCTTGGCGGGGCTTTGCTGGCTAGTTCACCGCACTTCCAGGAGATGTGCATCACCAAGGAGGAGTACGATGAAGTGGGGCCAAGTATGGTAGAGCGGAGGTGCTTCTAAACTACTGAAACACTGCTATGAAATGACGGATGCTGTAAAACCGGAAAGTCTAACGAGTCACAAAGTCTAACGTTTTAAAGACCAGTGTTTTTCGTACTTCCTAGCCGAACACCCGCGCTGAGGTTTAGTGTGCCCAGCTTTCGTCAACTGCAAAAAGTACGTAGAAGACAATAGTATAAAAACCTTCAGTACGTACTCTAAGCAGTTTTGACTGTAGAATAGTAACTGGTTCGGGATCCTCCAGCTCAACGTGTCCCTTGAAAAATCGGACTTTCTGCAACGCTCTTGGATCATAGTCATAGATCATAGACCATAGATCATAGACCAGACTTGTAGTTTCCAGGAACTGTCCCATGATAATTCTATTTGCTAAACCTATCTGCTTGTGTATAGTATAGCGCATACTCCACTTTGGTTGAGGCACACAGCAAGCCTTGACTGCTGACTCGTACGGATGCTATATTGCATGAGATTTTAATCGGACTGTGTGAATGAATGCATGAATGCGTGTATGCATGATTTAGACACCCATTGTCATGAGTTACAATACAGCGGAGGTTATATTACGATTACACAAGTTGCAGATCGCTGCCAAGGAGCAACACACCCGTGGGCACTGTACATACTACGTGGATCATAGTGTAGTCACATCCAGGAGTTCTGTCCTATGCACTCCGGTACAGCATTTTACAAACACTGAAATATTTTCCGAAACATTGCTGATTTTTACCTCTCTCCGCACTGCAAATAGAGATTTCATTGTCGGATTATCGATAGTCTCATTACAATCATAGTCTCAGTGCTATTTTCCACCACCAGTTTGCAGATTTCTCATTTCTACTTGTAGCTATTTTCTTGTGATTCGCGTCGAAGTAGCATTTCAACACAACGTCTACTTTCCTTGCTTAGGCGAGACCAAAATAAAATCGAGATTCCCGGGCAGGACCCATGTGAAATTGGTGCGGGCGGGCGAATTTTATTTTTATTTTTTTCCGGTGTATGTATGTGTGCATGCCATGAACTTTTTTTACAGCATTTTCCGGTAATTTTTATTCAATTTTTTTAACAGACAACAGGTACGTACGCGGTTTACCCGTTCAATTTTTCTATATTTCGGCCAACGATGACCCTGATCTGTACATCTGGGAGTCGTACAAGCTCGGGTTTGTGTGACTCCACGTCACAGATCTACTCACATGATCAGTACTCTGTACATGTATGAACTGTTAAAAAATAAATAAAAAATTGGCATTGGCTCGATTTTGCTGCGGGAGGACCCGGGAATCTCTAATTTTTTTTGGTCTCGCCTTACTAGCAGCTTCATGATGGAAAGTTTGCTAGGTGTTGACCACTGCAGCTTTGAATTTCCAGTCTCCCACACTGGCAACGTGCTGGTAATGTAAGATGACCCGCTGTCATTAAGCACATGATGATAACGGTCTCTGATATGCCAACATCACAGCTGGCTCATAGCAAGCAAACTGGCTATGATTCCCAACTCAAAGTTTTTTTTTTAAATCTTTCCATTGATCATTGATGGGTCTTTGAATTACGTCATTCTGTGTGGCTGATAATGTCATTCATTTAGTAGGCTGAACAAGTCAGTGGCATTCGTAGTCAATACGCACGATCTGAATGCCGACCGACCATTACAGCGAATTAGAGCTGAATGCTAGTCACACAAACCTCATCGGGTCACGCCACAGTCAATATGTTTCAACAAACCGTTATAACTGCGTTTTTAGGCGAGCAACCATGGAGGTTCTCATATGATTAACTCTCATCTCACAGCTTGCAGAACTGCATTATTCATATTATAGAACATACGTCACGATGTCCATGGATAGAATTTAACATGCGTGAGTAGTTATCATGCATATCAGGGTAAACGCAGTGAATTAATACATGAAAGATTCACAACTTTATTTGGCGATAATGAGCAGAATTCAAGTGTCTCATTCGTTAGAGATCATGATGCTGTGAGACCAGCGGTGCTGTTGAAATGGCAAGCAAACATACTGTGTGGTGCAATCATAACAAATAATATTATATGGCACATGGCCTGACTGTGTGTCACATCGCTGGCAGGGCACAGTGCATGCATGCATGCCTATTCTGCTAGCTTCGGCATAGTACATCGGTATCATACAGATGACACTGTTGACCTACTTGACTCCACATACAGATGCCAGTGGCAAAGTCAAACAGCATGCCACGTGCCTTCCAGTTCGTCAATGAATATGGCTCAAGCCGAACGTTGCAGACGTGCCTGTGCTCGTGCTGGTCAGTCCTCAACCTCATGATGCTGAAAAAAAATGGTTGCACATATTACGCACAAGTAGCAGAACACACAAGAGCACACATGTACACGCACACCAGAAACCACATTTAAAAAATACACATCAGGGTATGGACTCGGATGGAGACCCAAGGATTAACTGGTGGTGTGAGTGGACATTATAGCGTAACTTGTAGTTCCTTGGTCCTTTTCTTTCTTACACATAAGGGACATTGACATGAGACTGAAGCACCTAGCTTTCAGTGATCAGCTCATGGTAAAGTGAGGCAGCAGTCCTGACATGTGACTCAGTGGAGGTAGGAAATGTCCTCTGGCAATAGCATAATGCCCTGCTATCCCCAGAGAAAGATAAGGGAAGGTTCGGTGGACATCGGGCAATATCCCTTGGAGGTAACGCCATTCATTTCATCATCAATGGGTCTGCAATGGCCTAAACGAATCACTTTTTCGATGTAACCGCTCAAGTCGACTTCACAACTTGATATTCTATGTGAAAGAACGCTCTACCACCTAGCCACACACACTCTATACAGGAAACCACACACATTCCGATTTCGAACCAACCAGTGCATGCTAGGACTAAACATTTCAGAGAGCCTGCGCCAAATGATAAATAGACAAGCATTCAGAGCAAGTGGTTGTGGGTTTGAACTCAACGTAGTTTTCATGCCCCCAGCCCATGTAACATGGCAGGTACTGCCATGTAGTCACCAACATTAAAAAATAAATTAAATTTCACGGTTTGCGTGAGATCCGGCTGGAAGCCGAGTTTTCCGCATCCACCACACCACCACCCTCTAGGATCAAGGCCAACATTATCACAACATTAATTACCACAAAAATGACAATGTACAGGGTTGGCATGACTACTGACTGACCTTGACATGTAGGTAACGTTCCAGTCCATTGTCCTGACGGTTGACACGAGCGTGTGATATCACCAATCAGACTATAGCCACTCTCACAGTTGTACGTCACCGTGTCATTCACCTGGTACACTTCACCAGGGTTGCTGGTACGACCACCGTTCTGGGGAATCCCTGGCGCAAAGCAGCCGCTTGCTGGTGCAGTCACGTGATTGGATTCTGTGGAGACGTCGTCGACTGAGCTAGCTGAGCTTGACACAGCAGTGTCTGTGGTGGCTGTAGTTGTCGCTGCCGCTGCACCAGTGGTAGATTGCGAGGTGGTGGTGGTGGTGGACTCGGAGGTAGTGGATGCAGGAAGCGGTGCTTGTCCAACCGAGCCAGATGAACCCGATGATGCAGGAGCTACAGAATACGTACCAATACGCAGAAAACAAGACCAGCACATCAACTTGAAGGTCAATCGCATGCGTCAATCCAAACAGAAAAGGGTGATTTCATTTGCAGAGTTTAAAATGTCAAGGACATGTGACGCATTGAAACCCCGAGAATGTAAGATATTTTGAATTGTTAGCATGAGCCATCAGCGGAGCTGAACCATTCGACAGCCTGCAAGGCTCGGGGCTGACAATAATCAGCTTGGTCTTGCAGCACCGTACAGCTGGGTAGAGGCAAGCCCATGTACTCACACATATGGAAGGACGTATACCCACACGAGCACATGTGTGACGCTCCAATTACTTCAAAAACTCATGTGCACTCATCAATAAAAACCCGAACAATAACTAAACGTACCACAAGCTACACTGGCGTCTTCACTGTGCGCACAGTTATGTTGTCCAAGACCGGGATGACTGCACTGCAGTAGTGACTGCTCAGTGCCTGTACAGCGTACATCATCCAGCCAGATAGATCCTGTACCCTGACCGTGGTTACTACAGCAATGTGCAGCCAGTGGGTTGCCAAGACTGTACACACAACACAACATTGAACACATGCACAGAAACTAGATATGCTTAGGCCATGAGCAGCACAGACTGGGCTCAGAGTACAGAGTTCTTGCAACATATACTAGTACGTACATGTAATACTTGCAATAGATACAGGCCGAATGTTGACTGCTGGCATGATACATTGTGCTGGTACACACCCGAAGAATGCTTGCACTTGAGTACTTGCACAGAAAACAAAATTCTACCACTAAACCCAAAGTTGTTGCACTCAATACAGAGTTATGCTGCTGAAAGGAGAGTGGCTGAAGCCAGTAGATGGTGCTTACAGCAGTTACAGTTTCCCTGCACTGAACACATGTTCCAGGCAGGACAGAATAGAAGCCAACACGCCCAGAGCAAAACCAGTACTAGTGCTGATATCATGAAGCCCGGTTGCCTGAACAGAAGCTGGCACTTTGTGTCTACATAAATATTATGGCAAGTAACGCCATTATGTTCATTCATTGATGTACCACATTGGGTAGTGATTTGTTCAGAGTTAAGACGCATTGCGCAACACTGTACAATGATGGATGGAAAAAGGTGAATATGATTTCAAGCGGCTAGTACAATCGTGATAGAATTGGTACAGTAGATCTGACAGAACATGCTTTAGTACGTTGTTTCGTGTACGTGGTGTTGGTGCATGCACGTGTTGCTGTGTGTGCGTCTTCAATTCGTCATGTCTAGTTGTGTTTCCGTCGTCTTGTCACAAATACAGTCTTTCAAAATGTACTTATCTCGTCGTTCATTGTCTGAGTGTGGAGATGGCACGGGACTGGGAGCAGGTGTGAAAAGTACAGTACGACTGACAGAACATACACGTACCCAAGTTGTTTGCAGACCACGGCAGCCTCTGTCAGTGTCCAGTGATCATCACACACAGTACCCCACTGGTTCTGTGCAAACACTTCAACACGGCCACTCAGCTGATTCGGACCACCCACCAGACGTACACCTGAACACATGAATACAGTCCAAGACAACATTAAAATACTAAATACACACACACACACCATGTACCATGTATATGCCCGTCGCAAGAGAAGCACGCAAATCTGCAAAGGCACTGGATGTGCACCCACAGATTTTCTCTTATAGCAACGCGCGCGCGCGCACACACACACACACACACACACACACACACACACACACACACACACACACACACACACACACACACACACACACACACACACACACACACACTATTTGACCATTAGACGCCCATTGCCGGAGGCGATGATAGCGATCCTACAGCAGAAGCCATAGCAACTTGTGCTTGGATTGCACCATTCAACAGCTTGCAAGGCTGAAGAATTGACCACCACTATTCAGCCTGGTCTACACCACACAGCTATGAAGTGGCTTTTTTTGGCCAGTGAATCCCTTTTGGTCTTTTTCATTTTTTTACTACACACACACACACACACACACACACACACACACACACACACACACACACACACACACATATGATTACACATGTAGCAAGAAATTAGAGGGAACAGTCTCAACCTGAACGCGGCAAACACACAGATGCCAACCAACAAACAAACTATCCTATTCCACTCCTGAATCTACTGAGACTTACGTCGAGATGTTGTACTCTGCGGTGTAGTGCCCGAACCTGAACACGACAAAGCAGACAAACTAACTTGCACTTTTACCTCATATAGGCACTTGCACATGTGCCCTGATTTTATTATCCTGGACCACATCTACTTCGACACGGCAACCTCACCAGCATCACTACAATAATAATGATGGTGATGCTTAGGAGTGTACAGAGAGTGTCTTGGATGACTGGGTCACGCTAATGGGCTTATGGGCATGTACTAACCGCCATTTTCAGACCATCAACTTTGCATGCGTCTTTAGAAAAATCCTAGTTTCAAATGACCATCAACGGCCCAATCATCAAAAATGAATATTCCTGGTAGAAGTGGAATTTCCGGCCCAATGTTGACTTTTTCAAACAAGATATTATAAAATTTGCTGTGGTCTTGTTTGGTCACTTTCCACATAAGCAGCATACACGCTTGATTCTGGGACACAGAGTGTACACCTCAATCATGGGTGGAAGCTGGCAGTAGCCCCGGATCACATCCTATTCGATGCAGGGAAGCGGCGGGAAGTGGTGACGCGTGTACAACTGAGCCACAGTTGGGCAGCATGAGACCAGCTTGAGTCCTACTCACATGCATATTGGGCATGTCTAAAACAATGTAATCCAGGTATTTTACTAGTACTACAGTAACCCATTGAAGCTGCACAGATTATATTTTCATAATACTCTTGATCATGGTCAGTACTGCTTTCAAGCGCTGCATCCCATGGTGGAAGAAGGGGGTTCAACATACAATCGCATGTCACACACTACTCAAGCAAACACACTGGACCATGACTCAAGTCTGAAGATGAGAGTGCGACTTATAACCGGGGAGATATGCGACTCACCTGAGCAGGTAACACCCGCGTCCTCTGAGTGCAGACAGTTATGAATACCAAGACCAGAATGACGACAACCCGTCAGTGATTGTTCATTTCCAGCACACTGCAACTCATCAAGCCAGATCTGACCGGCTCCATTACCTTCCCTGGAAATATAGTACACACACACAGACACACACACACACATGCACGTACACGCACGCACGCGCACACACACACACACACACACACACACACACATACACACACACACACACAAACACACACACACACACACACACACACAAACACAGTTTGGACATCATGCATCCAAAAAACATAAAGACTCACCAGTGGAACACTCCCTACAAATGGAATGCACAGTGAGACATAATCCCGAATTCACCAGGTTGAGTGCATGCAACAAACACTACAAACACCATCCCCAGATCCATGTAGCACTCCACATCAAACATAGGCACAAACACCATTAATTTTATCTTCATCATTTTGAGAACTGTGGCAATACACCCAGCGAGAAGGCAGATTTTGCCTGTGTTTCTGATGAAGTAAAATAAAGCTAAACAAACAAACAAACACCGCTGCAGACTGTGGTCATAGTATCAGGATGTGAAATTCATCCCCATGAACACCATCATACCACATACTACACCGGCTTTTGCACTGTAAATATTGGATTTTGCTCTCCAGAAGAGCACTGCAATATTTACAGAGGCCAACTTCAATGACCGACATAAGACTTCAACATGGGCTTGACCTACAAATCGCTAGTGGCCACCAAAGATAATAGTATTATTGGGTCCAGGGATATAGCCAGAACCAAAGTGAAGGGGGGGGGGGGATCATCGGACCCAAAATGTTGTGATTTTACTGCCATTTTGTGCCACCATTTTTATATGCTGTGCTACTTCATGATGTGTACTTATCATGCATATAAAAAAGTGGCGCTCACACTCTGAAGGGTGGTGCATTCATTCTGAAAGGGGGCGGTCAAAAAGTGAAGGAGGGTGCAGTGCCCCGCCATGTCGCGTTGGCGAGAACCCTGGGTTCAGCCTCACAAGACACTACATACAAGCCTATACTCCTCGTGTAATCAGTGGCTCATCCGACTATCATGAGAGTTGTAAGGATCTGGGACACACTAGAATCCTGGACCAGTCCAACCCAACATACGGGGATGGCATCCGGCACCACACAGTTATAACAACAAAGGCACTGCATGGTTTGTAAAGTCTACACACATATTCTCAGGCAGGGACATGACACTATTCACTGGCAGGGGATTTCATTGAGCCTTAACTGCACAGAAATTTAGAAATTCCTACCAACTAATACAGATTTAACGCAACCTCCATGCTTGTCGTTCAGCTTTCAGGTATATAATTATCACAGGCAACAGAGCACTGTAGGCTAAACACAACATAGAATTACAAACACACAACACAACCACACAAGCCCACAACTCACAACACAAAACACACACGCCCCACGACACACAGTACACACACCACACACCCGCAGGTTTCTTTCTTACTGTCCACAGCATGAGACGTCCGTGGCGTATCCCAGACCAAGCTGTCTGCACACGACGTTGCCCTCATTGAAGTCCCAGCGATCGTCGCAAACCGTTCCCCACACGCCGTTGACGCGTACTTCCACACGTCCACTCAGTGTGTTATTGTCACGACTGACAAGACGAACATCTGGACCAGATGGTGCTTGTGTTGTGATCGGTTGGGGTTGAGTAGTCGGAGTAGCAGATCCTATGCAGGAACACACACAAGCGAATACAGAGGCATGCATAGATGCACGCACATACCCACACAAACAAACACAGATACATGCACAGATGCACACACATAAAAAAATAATAAAAAAATTCGACGGGTTCGCGTACCGGGTAGGTCAAGAACAAGGAGTCGTACAACTCCCTGGTCAAGAACCACCTTTCCGTTTCCGTGGGACGCCACCACCCCATGATCAGGCGTCAGATGCGGCTCCTAAACGGTGGGGGAGGATAGATCAGATCCACCAACCAGAGGCCAAAGGCCTAAATCCCATTTGCCACATCCATGTACACACATACCCACACACAAAGTTTCATTGATAAACATCAACAATGAGGAGGTTTTGGTGTATCGTAAAACCGGGAGAAAAAATCTTGATATGCCAACTATTCCTAGGTAGGAGCAGGTGTTTCAAAGCAAGGACATGTTGTATGTGTGAGAGGTGGGGAGGGGGGGGGGAGAGGGGAGGGGTGAGGGGAGGAGGGTGCACACATGCCTGTATGTCCAAATAATTGGAAGCGTGCAAACACAGACCAACACAGTAGAACGCACACTGGCAAGTATCTAACACATAACCACAGAATCTCCAGGCAAATACACGATCGTATCTCATAGCTATGTGCTATGGCTGATGGCTTCACAGCAAACAGGACAATACCATAACCAAACACAGGGTAATCTGCTCATAACTCATAACAGTTCCAAATGGTGAATGCCATCTGCTCCTACCTTGTGTGTTGGAATTTCCCTGTGGAGGTCCCGAGACAAGTCGCTTTCCTGTGATGGTTGTGCCGGTGTAGTGGAACATGACGGTGGCATCATTGTTATCATAGCGTTCCTCTGGGGCAATGCGTGCAGGGTTGATGTGTACCGTCAGCCAATAGACTCCAGGCGACAGCCCCGTCATATCCACCCACTGGCAGTCTAGATTAGCACCGTATGCATCGGAACAGTTGATGGAAATACCCTGGACACACCACACATGAACACGAAAAGACACATGCATGAACAGAAACGACACATTGAGAGAGAGCGAGAACAATTGAAAAAGAAGAAGGAAAGAGGTGAAGAAGAGAAAGAGAGTGTAAGATGTGATAGAGAGTGTGTGTGTGTGTGCGCGGGTGTATGTGTGCACGTGTGCACGTGTGTGTGTATATAATATACTGTGACTGTGTGTGTATATGTTCATGCGTACGCATATGCCCTTGTAGGCGATGACCTTTCCCCAACCGAGTCTTGCGGTCCTTGGTGGAATGCAGTTTCTGAACACACGGACAGACAGCCGTTCACGCTATCTTCACTTTTCATGACCCTTGTTTGCAAAAGACTTGGCACTACATACCTGGTTGTTGAGTCCACATTCATACTTTGGCTGCACACCGGGATCACATGCTGAGTCTGTCAGGCAGAAACTAGCCTTGTGACCGAATCCCCGCTTCACACCTGCAGCAGAGCGGGACATGCAAAGAGTACAATGTCCAGGATGAGGAGGGATAGAAGGATGCGTTAACAAGAGCAGTCACTGAGAATGAGATCTTGCCAATGAGATTTCCCTCTCTTCTCTCCGAGAAGCTGGTCAACAACTTTGGAAGTCTTAGATATGTACCGGGTTGCACACCAGGGGTGTCGGAACCGATGCGGCAGGTGCGGCCAAAGCAGCACCAATAATTTCATATTGTGCTTTTGGAAGCAATACAATTTTAAATATGGGCTATTTGGGCCTAATTTCCAATTTTTCTGGGGAGGGGAGGGTCCCCGTCTCTTCATGGCCACAGCAATGTTGAATACCTTCCGACGCCACTATACTCACACAGTCACCACACAAGGAACAAGCAGTGCAGTAACAAGCCTTCACTGCTACAGAACGCATACTGCACGAACAATTGTTCACCTCTTTTCCCCCATGATGAGCCTTATCCCGGCCAGTGGATCCCAATTTACAAGACTAGTTCACCGCATGAAACAACAAGAGTGTGTTGCCTGATAGTTGCTCAGTGTGAAACTCGGAGTTTCACCCGATTATTCTGAAGTCCATATAAAACAACAGTATCTACAGATTAGGCCAGACAAATCCAACGTCACATGACTAAAGTAGCACTGTGTTCGAGTGCACAGAACAGTGTTTGTAGTGATAAGACCGTGGTGGCACCCCGTGTTAATCTATTCATGAGGCTGGATGTCTTTGTCCATTGTAGATTACTAGGCTTGGTGAGTGCAGTGTAAGTGTATGAAGCAGAACATGCCCTGCGTTCCTAACCTGCAGAGTCAACCAGGTCATACGTAGCGTAGTCATCAAAGGAATGATAATGCCTATGACACGCATGCCACTGTGGCTCGGCTGGAGGTGGTGTAAAGTCGGCGCTGCCTCGATTCCACGCCGATGTAGTGAATCTGAGGAGATGGCGACTGGATAGACGTCCACCTGCACTGGCCTGTAGTATATCTGCCCGCGTGACACTGAGGCAGTTCTCCTCGGCACTGCAGATCACCTGCTCGGCAGTCAGCTGTTCGATGTAGAGATTCATGGAGCTGAGCATCTCTGCGTCGTTGAACACCAGGTCAGCTTGAGCTGTGCATGCACAATGGCACAGACACACACACGCACACACAGGCACACACATGGGCGCACATACGGGCACATGTGCACACACACACACACAAACACTCAGACTTAGACTCAGATATACCCTTCGCGGAAGCGATGATAGCAAACAGCTATGTTAGACATAGCAAATTGTGCTGGGATTGCACCATTCAACAGCTAGCAACGTTGATGAATTGACCGCCACTAATTTTAGCCTGGTCTACACCACACAGCTACAACCCTCCCCCCCCCCCCCCCCCACACACACACAAGCATGCACATGTGCATGGCACACACGGTACCCAAATATCAGTCACGTTAAATTACCTGGAATTGAGTATGTAAACACACCAAGCACAGGCAAGGGTAGATCTGGATTTAAGTTACTAAGTATGTACAGTAAAACCTGTCAAGGTGACCACCTGTCCTAAAAGACCACTGAAACCAGGACCAAGGGATGCTATTTCCAGTCAAATGACCCTGGATATGGAGACCACCTGGTAACAGAGACCGCACTTTGAAGGTCCCTTGAGCGGTGGTCTTAGACCGGTTTCACTGTACATGAATACTGCATAGTACTGCACTACAGTAGTAGTATGAGAGTCCAGGGATTCCCCCATGGATCACTACACACAATGTACTTACGAGCAGTGGGATCTACCGTTGGACGCGTGGGCAGTGCACCTGAACCCGACAGTGAGAGCAGAAAGAACACACACATGTACACACAAACACACACACACACACACACACACACACACACACACACATCCACAGACATGCGCACGCTGGTATGCATAAAGACATACACAATAGAAACGATAACAGTAAGACCTACTTACATAGTCAATAACTTTCCGACTGAAACAGACCCCCTAGAAGACAGCAGTTAGGTGAAATTCCTTTACAAGGTTTCAAATCCCATTCACAAAGAGATACTAGTACATACCCGAGCAGACAACAGCAGCATCTTCTCCATGGCCACAGTCATGTGCTCCCCAGGCATTGAAGATACAGTCCGTCAACGACGATTCCTGACCATTGCATCTGTACATCAACACAAATACGCATGTCGGCATGTAGAAACACACCTTTTGACCTATCAACGCCCATCACCGGAAGCGATGCTACAGCAGAAGCCATAGCAACTGGTACTGGGATTGCACCATTCAACGGCTTACAAGGCTGAAGAATTGATCGCCACTATTCAGCCAGGTCTACACCACACAGCTATAAATACACACGCACACACACACGCACACAATGATGAAGTCACTCCAACCGACTTCAAACTGAGTATTTCCAGAGCACGTACAGTGTGTAAAACTCAACCCATATCATCTTCTTCCTGTGATGCTTAAAAAACTGTACAGTGCTTCGGCTCAAAGAAATTCTACAAAGTGAATCAAATACACCCTGGATTCTGCAAAAATGTAATCTGAACTGGTACAGGGTGCAAATTTAACTCAAATGATCGGATTTCAGTGAGCAGTACTTTAAAGTTCTAAACACAACGTAGCAGAAGTAACAAACAATACACATATGCTAGTGAAGTGAACTAACCTGAGTTCATCCATCCAGATTCTACCACTGCCACGACCAGCAGACGCACAGCACTGAGCTGACTCTGCCAGGCCATAGCCTAAACTGCGACACACAACGTTAGCGTCACGGATCTACAACACAGGATGGAGAAGGAGACATGGAGAGAGAGAAAGAGAGAGAGAGAGAGAAAGAGAGAGAGAGAGAGAGAGAAAACTGGTAGAATGAAACCGGGGAAAGCTAAACAGTAGAAGATCGATGGAGACAAAGCAGAGAAAGAATCCGACAAATCTAGGGAGCCATACACATGGTGAGGAAAATGGCTGAATCAGAGTGGATCTGATATAGGTTTCACTAGCACCATTCATTACACAACAGTCACACACATGCACATGTATAGCAAAACCTGTGACTAAAGACCACCCCTTGGGGCCAGAAAAAGCGGTCTTCAGTGGCAGGTGGTCTTTAGTTAGAGGTTTGCACAGCACAACTATAATAATATGAGACCGTCCGTGCCTGGCGAAGTGGTCTGTAGTACCAGGCTGGTCGCTAGTTACGGTGGTCTGTAGTACCAGGCTGGTCGCTAGTCACGGTGGTCTGTAGTACCAGGCTGGTCGCTAGTCACGGTGGTCTGTAGTTACAGGTTTTACTATATACAGTCATGCAATATAAATGCATGCATGTTGTAAAACATACCTCCCATTGATCATCGCACACTGTACCCCACTCTCCCAGGTGGTAAACCTCCACACGGCCAGACATTGCATTGGCACCACCAACCAGGCGAACCCTAGAAGATGTTCCTAAGCAAAAAAAGAAACAAAGAAACAAGCAGCCACAAAAACGCACACTTACACGGATAAGGAAGAGATAATGTACCAATCAAATCCATGCAAGATCACGTGCATTGTAAAGGAAATGCAGTAGATCTGATTTCCTTCTGATAAACTGCATGTGCTTTACACAAGAATATTCTCTCATTGCCTTGTCAGTTTTGTTCCGCCAAATCAAATCTCTGGATCGCGTCAACTCCTTAGAATGTGAATAAAGAGTCATGAAGATGTTTTGTTTCTGCAGGAAGTAGATAAGAGTTCCAAGTAGGTAACTCTGCAGACAGCTGTGCAGGATCACTGCAAAGAACCACATTGAGTAGACCTACAACATGCATGCTCATTGGGTAAAAGACTAGCAAAATCTCAGCATAATGCTCATACCTGGAGGAGCTGTTGTTGCAGACGTAGCTGCAACGGAAAATCAAATCAAAGGCATACACACCTTTTTTAGAACACAATACACAGTCCTAGTAGCAGCATCAGGCCTAGTTCAAGTCCTGGGGATGAGCAATCTTTTCTACAGACCATTCTTGCCATATTTCAATTACCTAAATATAATGTATGCGCTTACAGAGAGAAGAGAGAGAGAGAAAAGGGGGGGGGGAGGGGCCGCTATCTTGCAACTCAGAGTTCCACGCTCTTCGAAGGTCATCACGTGACCATAATTGTATATCTGAGAGTGGCCGGCATGCCAATAACAAAGTATACGAAACAACCTTCGGAACAATACAGTCGGATGTGATCAAGATAGCCTTCTCCCCTGCTCACACACATGGTCTTACCACACATGGTCTTACCACACATGGTCTTACCACACATGGTCTTACCACACATGGTCTTACCACACATGGTCTTACCACACATGGTCTTACCACACATGGTCTTACCACACATGGTACAGTACAAAGTGACATAGCCTAGTGTCGTTCATCATCATTCCTCTCCAAGTACAGAGGGGCACTGCATTTTCGGAAAATAACTCCCCCTCAGCCTGTACACATAATCTGTTTGTTTTCTCTTCGGAAATGACTCCCAGGAGCGTAGCTGGTCCCCCTTTCATGGGGGGGGGGGGGGGGGGGTGCACGGCCGCCTGCATGTATGTGTAGGATGGCTGGCGCATGTCATTCATGGTCATTATGTGCATGCTGAACCTAGGTCAAGAATTTATGGGATACAAGTGCCCCCCTGCCCAATACGGGCTACGGACCTGACTGCCCCCTGTACACACACACACACACTACACTTACAAGGCAAACCGGTGCAGCCGACAAACTCTACATCATCGATGGCAATGTCACTGCTGAAGCGTGTACCGCGGATAGCCTGGAAGATGATGAAGAAATCTCCCTCGCTGGCCGGAAGATTAACAGTGGCTGTGTGCCACCGATTGCCACGATTACCCGACACGGAAAATACCTACACAATTATCAGAACAAATACACACAAACATACACACACACACACACACGGTACACACGGACAACCCCCCCCCCCCCCCCCACACACACACACACATACACACACACACACACACGCAGACACACACACCCAGGAAACAATCGTACAAATGCACGCAGATCCATTCATACAGTACACACATTGTGCTGGGATAAAACACAAGTCAAAACTCACAGAAATACAGGGACAGGAAGAAAGTAGAATTGACGTGTGTAAAGTCATGTATTAAGCATTTCAGCACTCAGCCAACCCACTCATTGAATCAACGCATGTGCCAATATGTCTAAAGTTGGGCTGTCCCACTTGAGGCTCCATTTTTCCTTGGAGTAAAACAGTAAAGCTCATAATTCCACAATCAAAATCTTGAACCCCACTCTAAGTTACACCTAGAGCCTGTCAGGCATCTGAAGCCCTTCTTTTAGCGTACCTAACATGACAGGCAGTAGCAAAACACCACCATGACATTCCTCTATTCATCATAACTATCACGAGATGATTGGAGTATGGAAGTTCCCAAAAGAACAACAAAAAAACAAGTAAAAGCAATATTTTTAGAAAAGCGATAAATAAAACGAGCTGACCCGACATTTCACAAAGGCTGTATTGTATTCAAAAAACGAAATGTCGTTGTGAAATGTCGGTTTAGCTCGTTTTGTTGATCGCAATTCTCAAACGATTGTCGCCTCTACGCTTATTTTAGGAAGGCAATAGGTTATGAGAGTACTCAATCTGCGGACAGAACTGTATCGTCCTTTGTGGACTCATCAGCGCAGCACAGAGGAAACGAGAGTAAGTATGAACAGCACTGTCTGAATCTTACCTGTGGTCTGGGTCTCTGACCCGGTGTATGCACAGCCAACACTCTCAACGAACCCATCCCACTGCCATACATATGGTAGGAGAAGCGCAGCCGACAGCCATTCGTAACCGCCGGCAACATGGGACTCATCAGCTCACCACGGTCGCCTTGACGACGAGGGTAGCTTGCCTCGAAGAACATGTACGTTCCTGTAAAGTAAAGAAAGGGAAAATATATTTCCAGATTATTACACCGCAATTGCACTATCTCTACTAATAGTGCTGAACGCTTTTGTTGTATTCAGGCTCACCAGAACCTGAAAATGACTACAGACCAACACAAGATACATTTCTACTGCTACTGATATCACAGTCCTGCTCAGTATACCCCATGGAGTGAGTTAAGTGTGCCCCTGTGTTGTGAGGCCCTAGACCACAGGTAAGATACAGACCATTGCATAGAGCAATATTCTAGCTTATAAGTGTGTGCACTCACTGCACACGGTTTTGCAGAAGTATCCACCCAGTTGTTTTATGACGAACGCCTGGCAAACACAGGGGATATACGCCATGAGGACTCTCTGTATTGGGTGTGTGGGGGGGGGGGGGGAGGGATGATCGGTTGGTTTACCTTGCGCTGTTCCCGTGGTCTTGTCCACCGCAGGTCCAGTTCCCCGAGACGGAGTACTCCCTTGTTCTGCCAACCACGACCATGTTGCACCGGGCTGGCTGCCTGTTCTCCATTGTACTCTGCATTGGCGATTGTCAAAGTTACAGTTGAACTCAGATAACGATGTCGGCATACACCCTACAGATATCATACGGAGAAAAGAACATGTAGATGATGACGTGAGTGCGAGCATCTATAGTACAGGAAATATCTTCCCCATCAGAAATGAAATTCCCAAAAATGAAATAATCCACCAAGGTATACATGTCGTGAAGCAACGAGTCAAATGAGCAACAAAACAATATGATTCTACATTTCACAAACAAGGCCGGTCTAGGCAGCTCGAGGTAATGCTGCTGTCTGATGATCGATCGCTGAAATTCGTGAAACTTGTAACTTTAAAAAGTTTCAGCTTCACAGCCTTTCGCCTCTGTTGTCTGTGATTCTAAATTTCTAATGCAGAATCAATTCAACAGATTTTCGTAGCAAACTTTGCAATTGTTTACCGTATCAGGTTTCATAACATCTGCATCAGCATGGCACGCCTCCATCATGTCCATGTCTTGCCCAGTGTTACCGTTAGGTTTCTAGACTCGCTACTAGCGCCAATAAAGTCTTGCTACGAAAATTAATATAATTATTTCGAAGATAACAATGTCGTCAGTGAGAGAAGCGAGAGAACACGATTCTATACTTCTTTCTGAGTTCAAAGACGCTAATCATGGCGTCCTGTGATCGGCAAACTCTGATTCAGCCCCTGTGCTATTACTGTTCATCCGTAAAACATTGCCTGGGCTTCTCCCCAGTTTCCAAAACTTCCATACTATAGTAAGCAGCTCGGCTTCATTCCGACACAGCAAAAAAACGATGGAGACACACTAAACAATTTTGTTACATGACTAGACTGTACTGTGTGACACTGTCAGGGTTGTTGACTGCAGAGCTAGAGTGCAGTTCGGAGCACACGACCTGAGCTGAGGCTGAGCTGAGCGGGTTGACATAATACTTGCAATGCCGGTGGCATGTCGGACTACACTGCCAGGCCCAGACTGGGCCAAAACTTCCTGAGAATGCCCAGGGCCAGGGCCAGACTCAGACTGAGTGGATGTAGTGGATGTTCAGCAAAGCGTGTCAAGACTCAAGACTCAAGAGTAGATCTACGACGTATGAACATGAACATGGAGCTGAGGATGAACCTCCCGCTGCCACCGCCTGAGCAAGGTCTTTGAGGTCGGTTTTTCGAGATACCGTAAAGCCTAAAGTAAAGGTGTTGGGAATCATTGTGCTGGATGTACAATCATGTTACTGTAAATGTGCGATCTTTGCGAAAATGGCGCCACGCGATAGTGTTGGCTACTCAGTACTGTCAGTACTGTCTTCATTATCAAGATTGTTAGCAACAAAACAGTAGTATTGTTACGACTCCCTGGTTGATGATTTCCACAGGATAAAATACCTCTGACTGCTGGACACAGTGCGCATACTGGTTTAGATAACTGTACATCAAGACGTGAAGCCCTTAAACATGTGAATACGGACACTTGAACAAGAATGTATGCGCCTCAGGCTCAGGCCGTCAGGGTTACTGACTCAGTGAGCACCGGCCCATTGCACTAGACATAGCAGGACTGCATGACGTTTTCCTGACTACATACATGTACATGTAAGTAGCTCCTCTTCCTCTCGACCAACCCTCCCTAGGGTGGTCCTTGCTATCGACCGCACTATCCGAGACACGCTATTTTTCCTAAATGGAAATTGAAAGGGAAGGATTGCTGTGTAAAACGGGATATTGTAGTTGGAGAATTGTTTTCAGAAGAGCACAGTTTAGTGATTGAACACTCGTTGCAGTGCAGTGCAAATCCTTGACCGCAACAATACTTACAATTACAATCAAGATACAGTACACGGTGGTTAGAGCATATCCGGCCTCAAGCGAGGGTCCCTGGTTCGAGTCCTGGTGGTGTCAGTCAATTTTTCTTCGTGCTGTTCCCTTTTTCCATTCCTCAACCAGTGAATGCAGAACGTATCATTTCAAGTGACGGTGACGGGTTATGGTCTATGATATGTACATACATCTTTTTAAGTATATTTCATAGACAATTACACTACACCGTCACTTGACATGGCCGTTCGCGCACTAAAAGCAGTCCATGGTCATGAACGAATTACATAGCTTGCTTACTTTTAAGTTTAACCCTAGAACAGCCAGCGGTGTCATTTTCAACCACGCGCCTCCAATAATATGACTGTCATGCCTACCACCAAGCAAGCATATCAGTGTTACTGACAATACAACAGCACTCACATGATCCTGTAGCCATTAGACACAGCAGAACGCATGCCCGAAGTGCATGGAAACTCCACCGTGAAGACATCAGACTCTTCATGTCTGCTCGAGCTGAATACGATATCCAATCCGCAAACCAACCACCAATGGATCCACCAGGATACGTCACACTTGTGGCTTGTCCTGTTCTAAAACGCACGCACAACACCCACAGCTGTGGTCTAACGCTAGTCCAAGGTAAGGGACGTAACTATTGAGGTCTAACTCTCTAGCTAAAGATGATAGACTTCGCAATCCGTCCCACAGGACTATGCCTTCTCCTTAGGAAACGCCTTCAACTCGATTCGAGCAGAAACCAACTGTTCAAAAGAACTTGATAGAACATTCACTAACATCCACAACGAAGAGAAGGTGATGTCTGCCCTGGCGTGTTTCCCGAACCAGGACTTTGACCGAGCAAGGTACTATACTCTCACTATTTCCCGCTTTCTGGCTAAATCTGATGCGGCAGGATGCAGCAAGACACTAATGAACTTGGTGGTGTGACGTTGATTAACCGTCCTGGAAGTGATCTCGTCCTGGCAATTCTATCAGGCTATTTGTACCTACCGGATCCCGGGCTAGAGGCAAGTGTCGCCGCGGCCGGACACAGAGATGAAGCGATCTGTTCAGCCATTGATCTTCAGCCGGCGGTCTGAGGCAAGGTTCGAAGTAGCATGGTGGATCGCGGACATTTGCTTGTCGGTCGTTGCTGTTTGTGCATCCCGCGACATAACATTGCATATCCAAATATAGGTGGCAACATCGCCAAGCCATTGCCTGCGCGATACGCGCTGCACAGCCAGACAGACATTGCACAAGACATGAATGCACTGTTGTGCTATTCAGGTAGGTAGAAGAGAGGACGTGAGACTCGACCACTGTTCAGAATACCATGCTGACTACTGGCGACTTCCACTGCGCTGTTATGTGAGACTGGAGATCTAACAGTTGCTCTGGGATCGGCAGTTGTGAGTGGAACGATGTCGGCGAACACTTCGACACAGTGCAAGTCAGTCGCATTTTACCGATGGTGTGGATTTGTCCATGTATGCGTGCTTTGCGTAAGGGTACATTGATTTCGCGTTCCGTTAGCGTTGTGTCCGGACCCGGCATAGTTCCGTTGTCTGGGCAAGATGGACAATGTCATGTTTAAAGTGCAGTGCACGCTGTTCTGTCTGATCGCATACAGCACGATGTCTCTTAGTAAAGGCTCTCTCATTCCATGTCTCTAGATGAGCCGTTGTCATCCGATGAAGAAAAGCAGAGACACAATGACGTAATGAACGCGAACAGCTCTAGCTCTGTTGTTGTCATTATTGTTACTCTTTCTTTTCATGATGACGACTCGCACCAATTGTTGTTGTTGTCGTTGTTCAGCCCTCGGCCAGCGGTGGTGAGTAGGGCATTACACCTCGAACATTATCGATTTTAAAAAGGAGGTCCACATGGTCTGACAAATCGAAGGTCTTGAGCATTGCTATTGCGACCACCACGAGAGTGAGTATTAAACGCTTTGGTCACTAGTCGAAATGATGAGAATGTCGAATTATACAATCTTCGGCCAGTTAGTTGTATCTGTAGTGTAACAGTAACGTTAGTGATCGTGTTAGGTCTCATCAGCGGAGTTCAGAGTAACTGGAAGAACAGATCTCAACGAAGGCAGGTGAAGAACAACACGTTTCTGAACTACCTCAAAGCACCAAGCCAAGGGCAGAGTGCTCCTACTACTGGAGACACAGCGAGCCGCGAGTTTGCACTCAGGCAAAGGTCTATGTGGTCCACTACAACAATATCACACACAGACGTCTCTGCTGTAAGCACGGTGGCTCGCCAATGGCGAAGCAAATGGTGGTTGGAAAGCGTACCAACTTTGACGCTAACCATATGCACCTTGCAAACGCCAAAGCCTGATAGTTACATCATTGGCAATGACAAGGATGGTAAACAAGATGTCGATTCATATTGTACGCAGATTGTTCAACTATTGATATAATTTTATTAAGAAATCATGGGAAGGTGGTTCTTGACCCTCCCTGTACGCGAACCCGTAGTGTATTTTGTTGTTGCGGGTGCCTTGTGATATGCTGTGTAGAGAACTACAACGTACAAGTATACATGTAGTGGAGCACAGACGTTTCAGCAGAGGCCAAGCAAGATGGTTTCGCAAAGTAGTACAGTAGTGTAGTTGAAAGACACGTCAAAGCCAATGCTCTCCATGAGCAAGGCCAGCAAATCCAACCCTAAGGAAGTAGGCACCGTTGCTGTTGCTGAATAGAAGGCTCACTGCACTATACACACTACCTCAAGCACAAGTGTTAGAGATACCTTCACACTCTATTCAATCCGCACAGTAATGTTACTACACCAAACCAGCAGGTACCGGCACATAGAAGTAGTAATGCAACAACTACATGTATATACGGCAATGCCAGCCACTGGCTGTGTAGCTCTGTTTTTGTGTTGTGTTGTGCAGGCGGAGCACAAAAACATGGGAATAGTTATGTAACAATTGTGCGCATGACTCGTGAAGTTGCGACAGGTCCAATCTAATCCTATGTCATGTACAATGTAAATAATATTATGAACATGTGCGGATTATGTTTTGGTGTAGCTGCAGACCGGCATAACCGTAGCGCCCAGGCCGATGGATACCGATTCGCCTCCATCACCAAGCCGCACACTGTTGCACGAGTATGAAGGCATTGAGCTGAGACACAGCCAGGTTATGCAGCTAAGCTTTACACTTTGTAGAGACCAATCAAGGAGTAGAGTTTAGACCTGTCATACTTACTATGGGAGTATGGGTGCCGGGTGGCCACTTCACATTAGAATGTCCGGGCAGGGCATACGGCACTGTACTACAATCATTATTGTTCTGCAAACACCACACAGCTCACTCACCTCTACACAATCATACATACGGCACACAATATTCGGATACTACTACTACTAGTACGTGTAGTTGGATGTACATGTGTGGGTGTGCGTGCATGTGCGTCCGTGTGTATGCACGCGCGCGCGCGTGTGTGTGTGCGTGTATGCAAATGCAGATTTCGTTGCGATCGGTTCCTCCGGACCCTCGTATCTCTTCGGATAATAATACCTAACAAGGTGGAAACAGCTAGATGACAGTCCGTAGATTGAGTAACTCTGTAATGTATGTCTGGAGGTCTACGCGTGCAGGCTAGATTAGGAAGAGCCGGACTATTGACTATTGTGCAGTGAATCTCCACTATGTATAAAGTTGAAACATGGAAATTGTAGGCACAAGTTATGCGATCGAGTCCACCAACTCAAACAGATTTTGAACAGTCAGACGTGCACAATCTAGCACAAAACTGACAAGGAGTACGGAGACATTCCACGGAATGAAAGTCAGTTTGAGCACTGCTCGATAGCGCTAACCAACGCCTTTCCAACTTGAAAGGTTCATGAATATTGGTGCTAATTCCAAAGAGGGGAGCCGTGCTCAAGCTGACTTTCATGCCGTGGAATGTCTCAGTACTCCTCGTCAGTGTTGTGCTAGATTGTGCACGTCTGACTGTTCAAAATCTGGTTTAGTTGGTGGACTCGATCGCATAACTTGTGCACACAATTTCCATGTTACAATTATTTTCCTTGGCTCACCATCTGAGTTCTTTATGTATAAAGTACTCAGGTTAAAACTCGGGTTATGACTACAATCATGTACCTTGCAGACCGGCTAAAAATAATGCAGAAGATCACGGGCCTTGGCTTGGAGTTACGTTTTGCTGTAGTTTCACGGTGACTGTATCTCATTGCCGTTGTATCATATCTGCTTATCATCATCGCAAGTAATGATCCGCTGAACCTTGCTCATACAATGTACATGCACATGCACATGTAATCTAGGTGGGCTGCTTGACTGTACATGTGTATGTCACAATGCTGTGGAGTAGTCGCTACTCTCTTGATTTTAATAAGCACAGAAAGTCAGGGAAGTAGTGAGCATGGAAATCGAAATTGTTGTTGAGTGCGGACGAATCGTACAACGTCATAAGACCTTTGACATAACCACTCGTTGTTAGTGACACTTGTCGATAACGTCACTGGTCAATAGTTTCACTGGTACGGTTGATGTCCTATAACTTTTTGAACGTAAAAAAGTAATTATCGTGTCCGTTCCCGAAAGGAACTCACGACGGCCGCAACACTAGGTAAACTTTGAACGGTAAAGAGCCCAAATGAATGGAAGAGAAGGTTTATGCAACGAAGCGCCCCTTGGTGATTGCCTGTATATGGAAATTGCAACCATATTCAACCTTGATTGTCCGGTAATCTTGTGGTCGTCCGCAGCTTTCCTGGTTGGGCAAGATTCGCAAGTGGGCGGGCTAACATTTGCCCTCGTTTTGGTTTGAAGGGCGCGTTCGTCACTCTTTTGACTTTTCGTGTAGTTTCGTTTTTCTGAAGAGGGGGCTTATTGGCCTCTTCAGAAACGAAAGTCTCCTCGAAACTCCGCAACCTCATCCGATGGGAGAGGTGGATTAGTTCCGAAGAGTTTGGAATATGATGGTCGATCGGATCGGACGTCATTATCGCCATGAAAATTCCACTGAAAAACTCTAAAAAGGATACAAACCTTCACTTCAGCTAATCCCCTTTTTAAGAATCTGTTCGAAAAGTTGATCAAGACAATTCGAACGCACTCTAAGTGCAGTGCACGAATCATCAAACAACTGAGTAGATCTCTAGCGCGATATCCGCTGTATCTACTTCAAAGTACAGCTGTAGGATTACGATAGTATTTGACGAGGATAGCATTATCTATTCCGCTTCTGTATTTCTGTATATGAAGGAAACCCCGCAGTCATACTGACCTGTTGAGTGTTGTTACATGAACTACATTGTACTTGAAAGCACGCATCTCCCCGGATTTACCCTTCACCTACGCCACGGTTGTTTGTTTTTGTGTTGTTTTAGGGACTGTAGATCTAAACTGTACTTCAAATTCCAATAAAATGATCTGACACATGGCGGGTGTCACGTGAATACCAGGGAGTCGTATAATATACGACTCCCTGGTGAAAAATATGTCACTTCACTCGTCGACAAAAATATTTGGATGGCTCGCACACCCCCATTTGGACTGCTGAGACCTCTGAGAATGTTCATTCAAAAACAAAGTGAGACCGCAATGGTTTGAGCCACTTGCGCTTCGGCGTGGAGTTTGCTTGCACATTGTTGTCTACAAGCCAGTGCAGGAAGCCATGGACCGCACATACTTCCCATCTGTTATTGTGCTGCTGATTGTTGCGGCAAGTCTGAGAGGCTGCTGGTCCAAATCTCCCAACATCATTTTCATTCTTTCTGACGATCTGGGATATGGAGATGTGAGTATTTCTGCAATGGTGAATCGTACCAATGAGATACCCACACCGAACATTCAGCGGCTGGCTGACGAAGGAATGAGGTTTCTGCGTGGCTACAGTGGTCAAGTGTGCGCACCGAGCCGCTGCACTCTGATGACTGGCAAACACCTGGGACATTGCAGAGTGCGAGGCAACGGCGGGGCATACACTCCGTTGCGTAAAACTGACGTCACTGTGGCGAGCGTCCTGCGGGAGAAGTACACCACTGGTATAGTGGGCAAGTGGGGCCTGGGCGATTTCAACTCATCTGGGTATCCACTGGATCAAGGGTTTGACTACTATGTGGGTCAAGCCAATCAGATCGATTGTCATAACTGGTACCCTGAGGTCATACAGAACAACACAGTCGGAAACTGTCCAGTACCCCTGAACGCTAATGCAAGTCAAACAACGTGCGGCGATCACCATTCTAAATGTACATGGGTGAATGACTTGATGAGCAGGGAGGCCGTCGACTTTATCCGCCGAAACGGACAGCCCAGCGCCGCCAAGCCATTCTTTCTTTACTTCAGCACAACCACACCGCATACAGGATTTCTGGCCGGTGACAAATCGACATACGCCATTCCGGCACCGTACGATTCCCGGTTCCACTATGCCGATGACATGCTGTCAATGTTTGCCGGCGCAACGAGCGCCCAAGATGACTTTGTTGGAGCCGTGCTGGATGAAGTCAAGTCACTTGGCATCGACCAAGACACTATCATATTCTTCAGCGGTGACAACGGGCCCGACAGCCACCCATTGGGTTTCTTCGACGACCCGGGTCCGTTCCGTGGAAAGAAGAGGAGTCTGCACGAGGGCGGTATACGACAGACTATTGTTGCACGCTGGCCAGGTCACGTCACGCCCAACACGACCACTCAACACATGTTTGCATTCTGGGACTTCCTACCGACTGCAGCTGAGCTCGGCGGCATCAGTATTCCAGCAGGGATTGATGGTGTTTCGGCGGCCCCACTGTTGACAGGACGAGGACTGGAGCAGAAGCCACACGAGTATCTCTACTGGGAGTTCTGCCACGGTGCACGCATTAAGGGCCTCCTTCCGCAGCAGTACCAACCCGGCTGGATTCAAGCGGTGCGCTATGACGTCATCGACAAATATGACGGCATCACCGAGTGGAAGGGAATACGCTCAGACCGGGGTGAATTGCTGCTCTACAACCTGACCGGTGACGTTTCCGAAACTTACAATCTATCTTCCAAGTTTCCCGATGTCGTGCAGCACATCGTGTCGATAATGGATGGCGCTCACGTCGAGGATCCGTACTGGAAGTCCAGCCAGAATCGCACGGATAAATGCTGTGGACAATGCGGCAGTGAGGCTGGCTGTAAATATCCCTGCATCCTGATCAACTCATCATCGCTTGATGGAAAGCCACGCGTTAGCCCGCCACTGTACCACATTGCACCATACCACCTTGAAGGAACATGGTATGCTGTGAGCGATTACGACGAGAATATCACTAGTGAAAAAGAGTTGCAGTCCATCAGCATCCAACTCAAGCCAACACATAAAACACTGACCATCAGCTCTGCAGACAACTGTTTTCACGATTCCGTGATCGTCTTGAAAGCCGATAGGCAAAGTCGGCAACACCAGGTTCTACTCCAATCAGGCACAGATGTGCACACTCAATGCCATGGTTACGAGAGAGTTGGCAGTCTCCATAGAGATGGAAACACACTCTACATACACTGGCATGATGGCAAAACGGCCGGTTTATCCTCGTCGCAATGGGAACACAAGATCTGGAAAATGCCCGATTTTGACTTTGACTAAACTCTACTTCATTATTTTGCATGCACACCTGTTTCAAAATATGCATGTACAGTGTGGTTCAAAAATAGGTGCCATGACATGGTTTTTCGATTGTCAAGTCACACACCTGGACATACAACTTATCGCCTCACGCAATGCTGCCTCGGTGATCGATCGTTGTAATCGAGAAACGATCAAATCCTAGTATTGCCAAAGATGTATTGCCTATTGGCTCTCAATCCATGATCCTACATAAATATATTGTCAAACAGTATTGCAAATTAATCATGACTTTATAAGTTCGTTTGAGGGATTTCAAAAAGGGAAAAAAGAGAAAAAAGGAAAGGTCAGAAGAAGGAACATGGCAGTCCCCATCAGGACTCAAACTAGGGAGCATCTGCAACAAGAGCAGACCAAACACAGCGCCTCTGTATGACTATGCATTGCACTGTGGAAAGCAGTCCTGATGACCAAGAAGCCTATATTTGATGCAGGGAATTGCTTGGCATACAGAAGATAAGAGAGTTAATCAAAGTCAAAGTGTGGTTTCTTCCAAATGCTGGCTACCGGATTTTGATTATCGATGGGTCCGCGTGGCTCTCTCCACACGATGAACAAACTGCTTCCATCTGTGTGTAGTTTTCCTGTGGAGAGCTTCCGGCAGGATGCAGACGCATTGGTTTGGGATAGCATGGCTTGCTGGTAGCTGTTGGTGTCATCGGGGTGGAGGTCAATTCGAGCTTTGTGGATGCAAGCGTCGGTCGGGGAGTCCACATGCATCGCTATACCGCTTGAATCGATATGGATGCGGAACTCAGAGTCACGTTTCTCCACATCTACACCAGTATCATAGTCAGCCTGCAGCCAGTCTCCCAGGAGGTAATACGGAGAGAGATACAGCAGGGGCTCGCTGAGCTCTGGGTAGTGTGCGTCGTACACACTCTCCACCTCTGCCGTGGTGTTGATTTGGACACACGGATATTTGCAGCCTTTGTGATTGAAGCACGACGCACAGCACCTATCACTCATGTTCTTGCTGGACTTCCAGTAGGGATTCTCCACATGCGACTCTGCCATTATGCTAGTAATCTTGGTTACGATGTCAGGGTACTTTGTCGACACGTTCACCGACTCGGATATGTCATCGGTCAGGTTGTAGAGCTGGATCTCGCCATAGGCAGTGCGTATACCCTTCCACTCTGTGCGCACACCCGCTGCGTCCACAGCATCATATCGCACGGCCTGTATCCAGCCGGGCTCGTACTGCTGTGGTAGGAGACCGTCCTCTCGTCCATAGTTGCAGAATTCCCAGTACAGGTAATCATGCTGCTTCTGTGCCGTTTGGCCCTGCAGGACAGCTGCGGCAGATATGCCATCAACATTGTCCGGAACGTCAACGCCAGCCAGTTCGGCTGCCGTGGGCAGGAAGTCCCAGAACGCGAAAAGGTGCTCGGTGGTGCTGTTTGCCGCAATGTGACCCGGCCAGCGTGCCGTGATGGTTTGACGAACACCGCCCTCGTGCAGACTCCTCTTCTTTCCACGGAATGGACCCGGATCGTCGAAGAACGTGAACGGGTGGCTGTCGGGGCCATTGTCACCACTGAAGAATACGATAGTGTCTTGGTCGATACCAAGTGACTTGACTTCATCCAGCACGGCTCCAACAAAGTCATCCTGGGCGCTGGTGGCGGCAGCAAACGCCGACTCGACCGTATCAAAGTGAAAGCGTGTATCGTACGGTGCGGGCACCGCCCAAGAAGTCTTAGCTCCGGCCAGAAATCCCGTGTGTGGTGTGGTCGTACTGAAGTAAAGGAAGAATGGCTTCTCCACGCTTGCCTGGCCGTTTTCACGAATAAAGCGAATGGCCTCGCGATTGAAGAGGTCATTGGCCCACGTGCACTTTGAGTGGTGCTCGCCACAGTTAGCTTGACTAGCATGTTCATTGCCGGCGATTGGATAGTTCCCAAGTGTATTGTTTTGCATCGTGGCTGGATACCAGTTGTGACAGGCAACCTGGGAGGCCTGGCCGATGTAGTGATCAAACCCCTGTTCCAGGGGATATCCAGTCGTGTTGAAATCGCCCAGGCCCCACTTGCCCACAATGCCTGTCGTGTACTTCTCGCGAAGTACGTGAGCAACTGTGGTTTCGGAGGGAAGCAGCGGGCAGTAGCTACCATCATTGCCTCGCACTCTGCAATGTCCCAGGTGTTTGCCAGTCATCAGAGTGCAGCGGCTCGGTGCGCACACTTGACCGCTGTAGCCACGCAGAAACCGCATTCCTTCGTCAGCCAGCCGCTGAATGTTCGGAGTGGGTATCTCATTGGTACGATTCACCATTGCAGAAATACTCACATCTCCATATCCCAGATCGTCAGACAGAATGAAAATGATGTTGGGCGGTTTGGACAAGCAGCAAGTCCATTGACTGGCTACTGCAATCAGCAGGAAAACTGACTCAATTCTCCTCATCGCCGATCCTCCTGAGGTTTCTCTGGGTGTACAGCCACCAATTGGTCTCTCAGTCGAAAAGACGTCTCAAGGAGTATTTGCATGAACAAATAATTTTTAAATTTACTAAGTTACTTCAGATCAGAAACTGATGTGTGGCCTAGATGCTGCCCAAAGCCAAATAATTGCATGATTATCAATCTGATCAGCACACGTACACAGACAGCTCATCTTCCTATTGACAGCAGCGCCGCCTTGGCGTTTCACACCTCTTTCCAAATTTCTGGGCAATGACTTTTGGAATTTGGATACTGAACGAGCCCAATATTAATCTCCGCAAATGACCTCATTACTACGACATTAGCTCAAAATCAAAGACCTAGACAGTGTATCTAAAGAGGTTCGACTGTACCCGCAAAATGTACCCACACTTGCCCCATTACTATTATTGTTATGAGCTCGGAAAAATGAGAAAACTTTCACAAAGTACACCAAGCGATGTATCCAGATGTTGTGACTGTGGATAGTTCCTTGCCGCTATGCAAAGTAAATAGTAACTTATTTATGAACATGTAGGTGTTCATATGCAGGTAAAAGTCAGGCATTGCCCTGAGCAAAGAATATGCACATATTAATACCCTCTAAACCATTGGCCATCATCACACCATGGAGTGTATAAAAGACCATGATGAATGCCAGTTAATCTACGCTGCGACCTGAATGCAACGCTCACCCCAGCACAACCACCCATACCCCCCCCCCCCCCCCCCCCCGGCCCCCTCCCCTTACACCAAGTGCCTATGTTGTACGTATGTTGCTGGTTGTACATGCTCCAGCATGCCAGTGTGTGCTAGCCATATGCACATCATTTCAGGGCTGCCACAGCAAACAATACATGGCGCTTACACCAGCATCATGCTTTCATATACAAGACCACCAGACCACACGTGTACTCATGTCAACTACAGGCCAGGGAATTTCATAATCGGCACCAGTTAGTCTGCACAGAGCCACACACACTGTGAAACCACTACCGGCACAAAATCATACAAAGCGGCCGTGACTCCAGCCCCGCTATTGACCTGTCTGAATGGTATTGACCGGCCTTATACATGCCGGTACTTATACATCCATACTGTACACTCACATGCACAAAGTAACAGTATGATATTCAGTACAATTCCCATTGAGCTCCAAAGGAAACCATGCGTGGTTAGAATGGGTGGATCACATCAGCAACCGACAAATCGCAATACTCAGGAAGCAGACAGAAGAATGAAGAAAGAGCAGAGTACACAATAGGATATGCAGCATCTCCCCAAAAACGAATTTCCTGGCTTTAGAGTATGGCGTTGAATGTGGGCCAAGAGCGCAATGTGGAGTGGTGGAGTGTTTCAAAATTTCAAATGGCCGAGTTTGTCGCAGCTTCTATGTTATGTAATAGGAGTTCGAATAATTATGGAGTTACACTTTGATGAAAGTTGCCTCAGCCACAACAATAGGTGTCACATTTGCTGCTAACGCCACAGCCTTGATATGGGTGATAGCAGACACAGCCAGACCCTTCACTGTATCATAGACCGGTGACTGTGCAGTGGGAGCACTACCATCCAGTGTGTAGTGAATAGCAGCAGTGCTGTCACTATCCAATAACAATGATCTCATCATTATGTTAGCTGTGCTGTGAAAGAATCCACCAGTGGCATTGTTATAGCACACAGCACTACTGATATTCATACAGCTAATGCGTACAAAGTTATGCATGTTCCAATATGATGACGCATAGAACAACGGATAATCATTCTCATTCACTAGCTGATAATCCATGAAGGTGTAATACATACGTGGGAATACCGGTGGCAGCCGGATAGCTTGTGTCGAGATCTGCTTCAGTGCCACAAAGGCTTGACGCACCAGCGACCGTGCACGGTGAAAGTCGGCGAGATGCGAGTGCATGAAGAGCCCACGCCAGTGTGATGTCTCCGCTCCACGCTGTGCACTGAAGAATGCATCGAAGTACTGCAACGCCTCGTTGATGTTCAGGGTAGCATTCGTCACATCACCACCAGCCATGGATATAATGGACAATGCCAGGGAGTTCTGTACTTCGCATCCGTAACGCTGCATGGCGGCTTGCCCAAGCAGGTGGGCTACAAAGAAGTTGCGTCGATCACTGGTCATACTGCTCTCAATCTTGTTGAAGAATGTGGTGACGTTGGCATGAAGACTACGTACATACCCAAGTGATGCAGGGATTGCCGTGTGCGCGCGTGCCAGGAGGGCGGCAGATACATTTCTCGTGTGCTGTAAGTCAGAGCTGTAGGTCCCGGCCATGCCGATTACATACGTTGCGCGGATGTTATCGCCGTTTCCCTGCTGAATGAACGGAATGGAGAAATAGTGATTGTATAACTCTGCAATACTGCTGGCTGTCTCCTGGTCCACACCGTACTTCTGCATAGACCATTGCGTGATGAACTGCGTCTGTGCCTCGTCTGTACTGGCGGCCGTCATAAACGGTTTGGGATCCCAGGCAAAGCGCATCACAGCCTCGGTGGTCAGTGGCACGGGACGCAAGTCGGAAGTGTTCAGTATGATGTACTTGGTGCGACGACCCTTCTGCACCAGTGTGCCAAGCTGGTCAAAGTGCCGCGATGGTGGCACCATCTCCGTCACTTGATTTGCATGTCCATTCAACATAGCCACATGGGTGTAGACACCATCAGATATATTGGCGTACGCGTCCAAACCGAATATTTCTCCAGGCCCGGCGTCGGTCAGGAGAATGCTGACGTCATCGGGAATAGTCAAATACCCCTTCTCTAGATATCCGATACCTTCAGACCACATGAAAGTGATGAACTTTGCATCGGACCGGACCATCTCCTTCACCCACTGAGTCTGATTGCCAATCGCTTCGCTGATGTAGCGACCCTTCTCTGCATCAGTACAGCCCGGACATGGGGCGGGGTAGTCCCATAGACCGCGGTATCCAACACTCCATATGACGTCATCCAACGGTTTCATGGCGGCAATCGAGGCTTTCCAGGCATAGGCCATGCTGGCAGGATGGTCCCTCCAGGACCACTCATCCTTCATGCTAGCTGGCCAGCGCAGCGTGTTGATTCCCAGTGTGTTGAAATGGCTGTCAGTCACAATGAGACCACGACGGGATGCCAGTGTCAAGCTCTGCTCATCCGGGTACGGGACCGTACCTGGCTGGAACGTATTGATTTTCAAACGCAGCGATGTCTCGTACAGCCAGTTGAATGTCGTCAAACTGAACACAGATCTCCCCAGTGGATCAGGCGTGAACCCGCCAAGCAAATCTTCATCGTTTGTGAAAATAGCCCGGTATTCGAACTGGGGTGAGGCGAATGTAAGTGAGTTGATGAGTGCCACACTGGTATTGATGATGGGTCGATAGTCTGGTTGTATGTCGGTAAAGCGATACATGGGATCCACACCGAGAATCTGCTCACTGAATGTGTATGCTGCGTATATAGCACCGCGTACATTAGCACCAATAGCTAGCAACCAGTAGTGAGAATGACTTGTGTCGTGTTGATCAGCAACAAGACGTAAGCAATGCGACTCTGCACCGGACAGACAGGATGATAGCTCTGTCAGCTCTGCTAAGTAAGCTGCATTGTCTGGTGTTCCAATGTAGATACGTGTCACGGAGTTGGCCTCCAATAGTAGGTCTGTTGTATCGTTATGTACAGTGGCTATTGGAGCATATCCAAACACTTTATACATGTCCTGGGTCACATCCAGTATGGTCATGTTCAGTGCAAAACTGGACATGTCCTGCGGGCTAACAACCAGGTTCATATCACCAGTAAACTGCACCTGGTCGGGGACAATAGACCCCTGCGCTGTGCTTATCAACGCAGTAACCAGCATGAAAAGCATGCTCAATTGAATCCAAATCATCGTCATCTTGAGGTGCCGCATGTATAAACCTGCACACAAGAAGTACAGAGCATAAAACATGATCAGTGCTACGCCGATATCAAAGTAAACCACACAACTGTTGTTACACACAAAATTGCTGTAATGCTGCTCAGCTTGTTTTAAATTGTGACGTCGCTCCGACACAGCCATTAACTCTCTCAGTCCTTCTACCAGACTGTCTCTTTGTTATAAGCACGACTATAGATTTGTCCACGTGAAGACCAGAGTTCAGGTGCCATTAGGTGAGGGGAGGTACAGGAGGTAGTACATGACATTACGATCTACCCTATTTCCCCGATTGTAAGTCGCATTCCCATGTTCATGTCCATGTTTTATCATTTCAATAAGTTCACTTCAGTAGTAAGTCACGCTCGACTGTAAGTCGCACCCCCTTTGTTAACCCTTTGTTAACCCTTTGTTAACCCTTTGTTAGGCCTGAAGTTTATTGTATAACGTTTAGGCTTATATTCAGGGGAATACGGTAGGTGACAGGTGACAGTGCAATACTGTATGTACTGTGTTTCCTAAAGTTACCGCCGGTCTTCTATTACCGCGTGTCTCCCATATGTGCAACGTCATTTCTCGTAAGTTGGTTGACAACTGAGACCTTGCAAACTCCTATGCATCTCTGCCAAAACTACCCTAAATGGTAGTATAATTGTGTGTTTTGTGCGTGTGTGTGTGGGGGGGGGGGGTGTGGGGTGTGTGTGTGGGTGTGTGTGTGTGTGTGTGTTGTTGTTGTTTTATTTTACTTCATCAGATTTACAGGCAAGGATGCCTTCTCACCGGCCACGGGCCAGTTCCTAGAAATGATGTGTGTGTGTGTGTGTTACTTGTCTTTGAGATAGTGCCGGTATTGGCGGGTTGTTGTTGTTGTTCACAAGGCTGACTGTATAGGTCAATGATGAAGTGAGGGATAGATTAGGAACTGGAAAAGGCCCTAATTCATGCAATTGCCACCAGGTCCTACGTGTACAAATTTGCACCTGTTCAGTGATGACGAACAAGATAACGTAGAGTACAACAAGCCAATGGGAGTCTAGTCATTTTCCTACATCAGTCAGCACATTTCTAAACCTTTCTTGCCTGAAAAATACCCAGGACTGGAGTTTGCACTTTTCATTCAATAAATTCAACATTTACCTGATTTCCGAGCTGTTCGGAGTGGGTCCGGGTAAGATGCGGGTAGCGTGTCAGCGCCGGTCGATCATGCTGGTGACCACCAAGCTAGGAGTAAAGCAAGCTGTGTGGTCCGCAGGGTACTAGGGTGAGCGTTCGAGACAAGGAACTTTGTGAAATTCTGATCTCAGCCTCATTCTTTTGAAAACACTGCGGTAATCCACGGTGATACTGCGCAGTTATTCACATGATCAGACGCTTTCTTGCTCGCTACTGTCAAACACGACACTGAGCCTGTACAATCATGGCATGTAGTTAGAGGGCTGGCTCGCCGTCGGTGTCTTATGCAGATCACGTGCATACCTGTCTTACGAAGCAAAGCAAGAAAAGGAGCGCAGGTCTACTTGTAGGAGGGTAGGTCGAGCCAGCCAGACAACCACGTCCATGCCCATCGTCAACAATCAAACAGTCTGTCAGTCTGGCTGTGGTAGTTTGCCGTCTGAAAAGGCAGATTGAAGTTCTGGAAATGATGAGAAATTGGCTGGTCGGATGAGAAGGCATTTCCAAGACAGTACATTTGCAATAGTTCTGTACTAGTACCGATTGGCCGATCACTCCAGCGGTTCGCGGATTGGCCATCCCCGGCTTGAATGTGCGGACCTTCTCGTAGGTGAGTTGGATACTCTAATTTCTAAACGAATATTATACCCCAGGAGACGTAAATTAGATGTTTATTGCAGAATGCTGGAGAAATATCAATGAAATATTTCAGCGACCATGCGTTTCATCAAACTGCAGATGGCTACAGACTCAATAGTCATGTGTAGGGTATAAGGTGATGGAAACATTGACAAAGGGAACATCTCAACGGCATTACTGTTCTAGTGCTGTGAGAAAAGCACAGAACATAGACTGGAGTGGAGCAAACTACTTTCATACAGTTATACGTGGTTCTTCAATAGCAGAAGGAAATTTTTACTTGTAGATCTCATATCTCTTTTATCCGGGCGCCGCTGTGGCTGGGACCGGGCACTACCCATAACTAACTTGGAAATGTCCGTGACTACAGTGCTGGCAACTGAAATCCGACCCCTGAGCGGTGCGCTCACATCGCAAAGAATGTGAACCCACCGCTCAGAGGGTCGGATTTCAGTTGCCAGCACTGTATGAATTGCGTACGTTTTGATGGGGGAGTGCCAGAGGTCTGGCATGCGACGAAACTTTTACCACAAAATTGGCATAAGAGTAGAAAATTAATATTTCCACTAACACTCACCGACAGCAGGGTGCCCGTAACTTCGAGATCCGGATAAGAGAGATATGTAGATCCAACTCAAAAGCATGATTTGGACAGGGCACATGGACTAATCAGAGCCTTTCATTTTACACTGGCCTCGTGTTTTGTTGCTAGTGCAGTTTGTTCTGCTTTGCTTGCTCCAGTTGAAACACACCTCATTTTAGCCATTATCCGACAAGTTCTACTACATTCTTCTAAGCACTCTACTACATATACAATCATGTACATTGCTATTTCTGTGTATTGCGTATAGCTGGAGTGTGTGTGAACTTGAAATTGTTCATTGCTGCATCAGTCTAGGTGATACGTGTAGTATGGAAGAATACATGTGAAATCACCACGATGAATCCTGTCATGCAATGTTGTCATAGGAGACCTACATACCCATATAGAAAGGGACCGAAGAGCCAAGAGTTGGGGGAAGGGGAGGGGAGGGGGAGGAGGGAGGAGAGAGGCTGCAGTGTGATGGAAGCCGAGACCTCCGGCTTATCAAAACTGCTGCTAGTGCAGCTGCTGTGATTCCCTCTCCAATGAAAAGAACTTGCACACGCATACACATACATTGTACACGTATATTTATTCTCGGAGACCCCCTTGATTTAGGCTTCGGCCTTTGGGGAATCCCTCAAATACAAATTATAATACATAATATACACACGCATACGCTGTTGGGAATTCCCTAGTCAAATAAGAATACCCTATAAGAATCCCGTTTGTCTCTTTCCCTCAAACCAGTTAATATTTTATGACTTGGGGCTCCCCGCGTGCTAGTTTGTACGTGAAGTGTGTGGGTTACAGTGAGGGCTGCGTCCCACCCGCCTGTGTGGATTCACAGGAAGTGTGAGTTACGAAGTCTGAAGAAAATGTTGAACGGCCTCTGCTGGGATGACGACTACACCATAGGTCAGTGGTTAGAGCATCGCTGGCTTCAAGCGAAGGTCCCTGGTTCGAGTCCTGGTGGTGACAGTCAATTTTTTCTTCAGACTTTTCCCGTTTGTCTCTTTCCCTCAAACCTGTTCATTTTAAAAGAATAAAAAATAAATAATAATAAATACCCATAGATATTGCTAGCCCTGAACAATTTTGTCGAAAGCTTGCTATTTCTACTCTGCTGTGCTTTGCTCTTGTGCCCATTGCAGGAGACCATAACATCCTCGTTCAAGCACTGGTACACTATTGATGAAGATGTCTGCAGCCATCCTGGGTATGATCACATGCCTGGTACTAACAGGTGGAGAAGCTGCTATGGGGTCTATTGTCCCCGACCATGTGCAGTTTACTGGTGATATGAACCTGATTGTTAGCCCGCAGGACATGTCCAGTTTTGCACTGAACATGACTATACTGGATGTGACCCAGGACATGTATAAAGTGTTTGGATATGCTCCAATAGCCACTGTACATAACGATACAACAGACCTACTATTGGAGGCCAACTCCGTGACACGTATCTACATTGGAACACCAGACAATGCAGCGTACCTAGCAGAGCTGACAGAGCTATCATCCTGTCTGTCCGGTGCAGAGTCGCATTGTTTACGTCTTGTTCCTGATCAACACGACACAAGTCATTCTCACTACTGGTTGCTAGCTATTGGTGCTGATGTACGCGGTGCTATATACGCAGCATACACGTTCAGTGAGCAGATTCTCGGTGTGGATCCCATGTATCGCTTTACCGACATACAACCCGACTATCAACCCATCATCAATACCAGTGTGGCACTCATCAACTCACTTACATTTGCCTCACCCCAGTTTGAGTACCGCGTCATCTTCGCTAATGACGAAGACTTGCTGGGTGGCTTCACGCCGGACCCACTCGGCGAATCCGTGTTCAGCCTGACCACATTTAACTGGCTTTATGAGACGACCCTGCGCATCAAGGCAAACGCGTTTCTCGTCGGAACTGTACCGTATCCCGATGAGAAGAGCCTGACGTTGGCCTCTCGTCGAGGCCTGGTCGTGACCAACCATCACTTCAACTTGTTGGGAATTAATACATTCCGATGGCCGTCGGCCATCAAGGACGAGTGGTCGTGGAGCGGTGCCCCCGCCACAATGGCGTACGCGTGGAAGGCGTCGATTTCGGCCATGAGTCGTCTGGATGACGTCATCTGGAGCGTCGGTTACCGCGGTCTGAACGACTATCCTGCACCGTGTGAAGGGTGCTCGGCTGCCGACAAGGGCGAGTACATCAGCCAAGTCATTGCTAACCAGACACAATGGGTGAATCAGATCAAGGGAGCCAACCAGAAGTACATGACGTACTTGTGGCAGGAGGGGCTTGGCTACTTGCAGAAGGGGTTTCTTACCTTGCCAGAGGAGGTGAGTGTGATCTTGACTGATTCCGGCCCGGGACATATATTTGGTCTGGATGATTACGCTAACATATCCGATGGTGTCTACACGCATGTTGCCATGTACAATGGAAATGCAAATCAGCTAACAGAGATGGTGCCTCCATCGCGGCACTTCGACCAGCTTGGCACGTTTGTGCAGAAAGGTCGTCGCACCAAGTACATCATACTGAACACTTCCGACTTGCGTCCCGTGCCACTGACCACCGAGGCCGTAATGCGCTTTGCCTGGGATCCTAAACCGTTCATGACGGCCGCTAGTACAGACGAGGCACAGACACAGTTCATTACGGAATGGGCTATGCAGAAGTATGGCGTGAGCGAAGCCGTAGCGGGAGACATAGCCCAGCTTTACAATGAATACTTCCAAGTACCGTACATACAGACAGGTAACAGCGATAACCATCTCTCTACGACCATCATGGACTTGGCAGACGCATACAGTCAAAGCCTGCAAAAGACCAGGAAAGTGTCGTCCGAAGTACTGGTCCGAGCTCATTCGGCGATTCCGATATCCCTAGCCGACGTTCGCACACTCCACAACAAGACCATGATGCTTCTAAGCCGAGTGAGCAGCCTCATGACTGCCGATCGGCTGAACTTCTTCGTAGCGCATCTCGTTGGACAGACTGGCATGCAGCGTTACGGATGCGAAGTACAGAACTCCCTGGCAATGTCCATTATCGCCATGGCCAAAGATGATGTGACCAATGCCACTACGAGTATCAACGAGGCGTTGCAGTACTTTGATGCATTCTTCAGTGCACAGCGTGGTGCGGAGACGTCCCACTGGCGCGGTGTGTTCATGCACTCGCATCTTGCCGACTTCCAGCGTGCACGATCCTTTGTGCGCCGTTCACTGGTGGCGCTGAAAGAACTCTCTGCTCAAGCCATCGCTCTGCCGCCTGCCTTTCCTGGCTTGTACTACACTTTCACATTCTATCAGCTGGTCAACGAGGATCACTATCCATTGTTCTATGCTTCATCAGATTGGAACATGCATAACTTTGTACGTATTAGCTGTATGAATATCAGTAGTGCTGTGTGCTATAACAACGCCACTGGTGGATTCTTTCACAGCACAGCTAACATAATGATGAAGTCATTGTTATTGGATAGTGACAGCACTGCTGCTATTCACTACACACTGGATGGTAGTGCTCCCACTGCACAGTCACCGGTCTTTGACCCGAGCAAAGCGCTGCAAATCACGCAATCCACACATATCAAGGCAGTTGCACTGGCCGCCAACACATCTCCCGTCATCGTTTCAGAAGCTGTTTACGCAAAGGTCTGAACCTGCAAACGTCAGGCTATTACTCTATGTATTGCACTGGACAACGAAGTCAATGTATCTTCCACATATTTTAATTTTCCGGATTGCATTTCCCAGAAAGGTTTGATATGTTTCGGATTGATTTACATGTAGATTGTTCAGTTGTTCCTGCATTGTGGACGTTATTGAAATGATGTTGTTCTCTTCTTTGACCATACAACAAGCCGCGTTTACTTTCAAGTCTAGCACCTTACAGCATCGTATTCACAATTCCACAGATCTTCATCATAATTATACTACTTTTTACTGGTAGACACTAGAAATGCAGTGTTTCTGACTTGGTGATTCCTTGACCTTATCCTATTCGATCGGCTGTGGTCTACGTGTGTGTGCACGTTTGCATGTGTGGACTTTGTGTGTCACGATCTATTCTTCAGCCTGGCAAGCCGTGTGAACACAACTGTGCATGCTGTCCTAGCGCTGCATACTACTACAGCTTTACCACACCATTACACAGCAGGACTGCCACGGTGAATCCACTCGCTGTGTACCGTGGTCTAGTCTTCACGCATCCGGAAGAAAATCATCGGTTACCGATTTGCAGCATATGCCCCATGCATACATAGTATGTGTGTTCGATTATCCGGTTTCCTCGTCTATCCGGATATTTTTTCGTGGAAAACGGATGTGTGCGGTTATGTGAGGTCTGACTGTACATTGCAACATATGTAGTACGAGCTCTGACATTACATACGCTACTAGCTTGCTTGTTCGTGCATTGTCCGGAACGGGCCGACAGGCTTCCTATCTGCTTCAGAACATGATAGATGCACAGGTGTTTGTGCCATTGTGTTGAATATACTACGTACAGAGAGAAATCCGGCGCATATAACTACAGTCAACTTTGCGTATAACGACACTCGGCGGCGGGGCATCAGAAAAGTGTCGTTATTCGCGAAGTGTCGTTATACCCGAAGTCTCATTATAATGTATTCAGGTAGAATGGACTGTGCTCTGGGCATGGAAACTCTGTCGTTATTCGCGAATTGTCGTTATAATTATCCGCAGTCATTATTAGCGAAGTTGACTGTATTGGCCACCAATATGTACATGTACATGTACACGCTATAACGCATCATTCATCACATACATGAAAATCTACATACAATTGTCTAGCAGGTGGTTACGCGAACAGGTTACATGCAAACTTGTTTTCTACATACATGTACATGTATACGGCAGGGGACAGTACACAACATAGCTTGGTCAACATCCTTCCCTGATGACCTGTATGACATCACTTGCTCGCACAGAAACTGCACACTAGAATTATGCACATCAGCCTCCGTAACACTCTCGCACTGGCAAAGCTACACGGATTTTGCTTTGCATTATCCTCGGTCCCGAGCAAGCTCGGCAGGGAGCAGCGCAAGCAAACACGCAGACACACGCACCCCGCCCCTCCCCCCCCCCCCCGCACACACACACACACGATACACCAGTCCCGAGTGCAATCAGTGGCAATCACCGACTAAGACACCTCCAGCAAGAGGCAGCATCTCCTGTGTCAGTGTGCATTTGAAAAAAATCTTCCTTGGGACAGCCCCCCCCCCCTTCCTTCCCCACACACAGTTGAATATACTAATTATATCATGGAATGATATAGCTGTGCTGTGCAATAGGTATAAAGCCCAGCATCATAGACACAAACAACCTGCCACAGCGCCCGCAGCACGAGACCCCATGGACTCCATACCTTTAGGAACCCCATGGAGAATACGTTTAAACAACTACATTGGACCAGTATCATTCCAGGGCAGGACCTTCGTAAATCACGCCCTTAATCGTACCGTCGCCAAGACAAATTTGGAAAGTTGGGCGCTGGTCCATCCATAGATAGATACGCTGCTTAACCCCTGGCAACTGCGGCAACGATACCCACTGGGACACAACGCTGACGTTACATTAGACGTCTGTCTAAAAACATGTGATGGCACTATTATTTCATAGCCGAAATTATCACCACGCATTACGTACTCAGACTTAATCTATAAATTGAAGTATAAAAGAAATGAAACAGCCTATAACACCGGGGATTGTAAACTTTCGACCCCTCTACCGTCAGGAGAGAGTAGATACATGAGCTTCTTAAGATGAGCTGCAAATAGATGTAACAGATGGTACTAGCAATGAGCTTCTTTTAAAAGGTGAGTTGCAAATATATTGTAACAGATGGTACCAGCAGGTGGGAGATTGCTGCACTAGACACGTGATGAATCAAGGTAAGGATCCTATTCAAGTACTCATACATCTCTGTAGAAAGTCTAATTTTCACCTAGCCGATAACTATGCTCCCCTAACAGCAGAGATTAAAGTTCGGAGCATACACGCTAAAAAAAATGACAGCTTTCGGTCGAGCGCTCGAGCGCTGGATCTCATCTGCAGAGATGGATCGGCTCACCGCAATGTGTGTGCGCGCGTGTGTGTGTGTGTGCGTGTGAAAAAAAGAGTGCGCTCATGATGTCAAGTCGCGGATCTCTTTTGTCAGCACCTCTGTCATGTGTATAGCACGACCAGCCTCCTCACCGCCGATGTTCTTCAGTGCAACATGTGCTGCCTCACGTACGTGTGAGATGAAGTCATTGCGCCTGGATAAGAATACACACAGGAAAAGACGAGATAGCATGGCATTTGACCTTTTTGACGCCCATTGCCAGAGGCGATGATAGCGATGCTACAGCAGAAGCCATAGCAAATTTGTGCTGAGATTGCACCATTCAACAGCTTGCAAGGCTGAAGAAATGACCGCCACTATTCAGCCTGGTCTACACCACACAGCTATGAAGTGGCTTTTTCTGGCCAGTGTATCCCTACCGTTTGGTCTTTTTCCGTTTTTCCCCGCACACACATCACACCACATACTCCGGCATGCACTAGCTGTTGGTAACCACCTAGGAGAATGAAAGAAAAGTCAGGAGGAGTCTGAGAAAGAGAAGAAAGACGTGTGTGACCATAATCGTCGGGAATCGAACCCGGACCCTCTCGATTGGAAATCGCTGCACATACCACTGCACCATATGGGACACACGAGATTGAATGAGAGAGACAGAGACAGGTAGAAGATACAAAACGAGACAGACAGAGGGACAGTGCAGATCTCTACGACCCTTTGAGGTACTTCACACTGAAATGCCGCCTTAACATCCATATAGAAACTCACCATCGGTTGACAATGTGCGGAACGGCTTCGGCAGACTTCAAGTGTCCCAGCGAGAGGCAGCACGCCTCACGTACAAGGCGATCAGAGTCTGCCAGACCTGCGATAAGCCTGGGGATGGACTTGGCTTGTCCGGCACCCGTACGGCCTAGAGAGATGGCTGCAACTGCACGTATGTTGGCATCGGGATCGTCAAGTAGATCCAGCAAGGCTTCGATGACGGCGGCGCTACTGAATTTACCTACAGCCAAGGATTGCACGGCGCACATACACACGTGTGTAGTTTGAGTCCACAGACAAGCAAGCACGCACAAGCATGAGCACACACACAAACGCATGTACACAGACATACACACACACACACACACACACGCGCGCGCGCGCGCACACACACACACACACAAACATGATAAACATTTTGCTGGTGTCGAGCATTCCATGAGTGTAGATCAGGAAGCGTTGTAGCATTGATGATAGAAGGTTCACGACAACAACACTACATGTAGAGACAAGTGCCGTCAACCAGTAAGTACAGTAGTGGACAATAGTACAATATTATGCAGTCAATCTCAGCTATTTTGGGAACAATGCATGCGCTGCACAACTTTGCCACATATATAATTACAGTCAACTTCGCTAATAACGACTGCGGCTATAACGACAATTCGCAAATAACGACAGAATGTCCATGCCCAGAGGAAAGTCTTGCCTACCTGTGCACATATAATGGGACTTCGGGTAAAACGACACTTTTCTGATACCCCGCCAAGTGTCGATATACGCAATGTTGACTGTATGTGGTTGCAGTACATGTGCAGGGCTGTATGTGGTTGCAGTGCATGTGCTGGGCTGTATGTGGTTGCAGTGCATGTGCAGAGCTGTATGTGGCTGTAGTGCATGTGCAGGGCTGTATGTGGCTGTAGTGCATGTGCAGGGCTGTATGTGGCTGTAGTGCATGTGCAGGGCTGTATGTGGTTGCAGTGCATGTGCAGGGCTGTATGTGGCTGTAGTGCATGTGCAGGGCTGTATGTGGTTGCAGTGCATGTGCAGGGCGCTGTACTACTGATGCTACTACGTAGGCTGATCAGTATTCTATTGTCCAGTACAGTAAAAATAAAAAAATAAAAAATAAAAAACCCGTATTGCAATTCTTTAAACCTGAGCCAAGTTCCTGAGCCAAGTTCCGATACACACTGGGCAATTTTTCCGGATCAAGAGGCTATCTATCCACCCCCCGGAAGATACACATTTTTGTCCAAGCAGGGCCTTTACTAAACGTGAACAATTCCGTTGCGCTTACCAAGATTTTCCACGGCAGCCAATCTGACTGTACTGTCCATACTGAAAACGCCGTGCATTGAGTAGCTCTCCAGGGCCAGCTGTGAGATACGCTTGAAGAACAGATCACGCTCGGGGCGCCGACCGCGGAAGTCCAGGAAACTCGTCTTGCTGGTGGTGTCCTTGCCGTCGAACACCTCGCGCTGCGTCAGCTTCAATATCCACTTGATGGTATCCTGATCACTGCTAACCAACGACTCCAGCTTGGCACCGTACTCCTCCAGGAAAGCCTGGCAAACATGACAAGAGGTGAGCACAACGAGATTGTTAGTTACAACGAGAAGAAGAGCGGAGACTCCCTCGATTCAGGCCAACGCCTGTGGAGAATCCATAAATACAAAAATGCCAATACAAAAAGTAGATGAAGATCTCGTTGCAACTCCCAGTTTCACGCACAAGGAGATAATCAAACAACAGTATCGAGCACTCCATTGGACAGGCTGGAACCCTTTCTGTTTTTAGAGTGTGAGTTATTGCAATCAGGTGACATATCCATTTCACTGTGCTTTCTGATCATTCAGAGTACTTCGAAGTATTCGCAACGATATTGGATGCAATAGTGCAAAAGCATCATCCACCCCCACCCGGCACTTGTAGAATCATATTTCCTTGGGTACAAAACGTGCTGGCAGGTGAAGAGCTGTACAGGCTGCCATGGCCCTATTGGACATGGGTCTTTCAAAAATACCTTCTAAAAGTCTGGGAACACACACACACACACACACACACACACACTGTGCGCAACTTTGAACTGTTGAGTGGGAGAGCTTGTATAGCCACGCACAAATACGTCTTGGTAACTCAAATATGGAGGGGTTCCGGTTCACGGGACGACATTGCACTTGTTACTGGAAAGGGTTAGGTGACTTGAAAAGGATTGTCACCAGAAAACATTATTAAATTTTGAGACAAGTGAAGCATGCAAAAGGGAAAGGGTAGCAAAAAAGGAGCCACAGGGTCGCTGCGCATGCTCTGGCCTGAGAGCTGCAAAACGGTGCACGCGATGCGTGCAGCAAGACATCAGCATGACGTCAACATGATGTAACACATAAACAAATAAAGACATTATAATGAGCGTAACGCGGATTCGTGATGCATATTCACGACACACACACAACCACGCATACACACACACATATCAGAGTTCCAGCCAAGTAAGGAGGGGAGGGGGGGGGGGGGGCAGCGCCCTCCTACTCTGAAGGCGAACCACCCTACTCATTTTTTCGATCTTCGTGTTTTCTCAGTTGACACAGCGAAAATGCGGCCACAAATCGATCATTCCGGGTGCTCTGTGCACCCGTACGTTGCACTTTTCGGTAAAAGGCAATAGTGGAGCATGGAAAATGGGTGAACAGTTAGTTTCCCCCATCCCCCCTCCCCCCCCCCCCCCCCCCCCCCGCCCTACAGTTGTTTCATGGTTATAACCCTACACACGCACACATACACATAAACACACATTCACACATGTCTCCACAGATACACACACATTGAGTACGTACATTTTTAAACTGCTCCCACTGAACAGTGTCATGTCCTTCAAAGTGTCGGTCCCAGAATGTGCGAGCAGTGCCCGGGACATGATCCGCGCTAGCCGTTGCATCACCAATCTCACTCTCAGCTCGCACGAGAGACCTAGTGACCAAATGCACCGACACAAGCAAGCACATGAAAGGAAATAATCGCGTGTTACTTCAACAGTGTGAGTCACTTCAGATTGTACTTCCGTATTGTATGTTTGTGTGTGCTCATGCGCATATTCCCGTACACACAAACGTGATCAATCAATCGCACCCCCCCCCCCCCCAACACACACATATTCATACAAGCTACATTCGTGGCCAAAGAAATCCATGTGCGTGCCGAAAGCAGCGCCAAGGCTCATGCGGCCCTGGTTTGGTTTTTCACCGCCTGTCTCTGGACAGACTGCATCACATATGCTCTAAATCCCGATGTGGTTGTAACAATGATAGACCCATACATGCTCTTATCCTTGATTTGGCTGTAACAATGATAGACTCATGAATGCTCTCGTTCCCAATGTAGTTGTAACACTTATCGACCCATGAATGCTCTAGTCCCGATAAGGTTGTAACACTGATAGACTCAGGCATGCTCTAATTCCCCACGTGGTTGTAACACGGATGGACCAATGTATGCTCTAGTTCCCAATGTGGTTGTAAGCAGTAACACGGATGGACCAATGTATGCTCTAGTTCCCAATGTGGTTGTAAGCAGTAACACGGATGGACCAATGTATGCTCTAGTTTCCAATGTGGTTGTAAGCAGTAACACGGATGGACCAATGTATGCTCTAGTTTCCAATGTGGTTGTAAGCAGTAACACGGATGGACCAATGTATGCTCTAGTTCCCAATGTGGTTGTAAGCAGTAACACGGATGGACCAATGTATGCTCTAGTTCCCAATGTGGTTGTAAGCAGTAACACGGATGGACCAATGTATGCTCTAGTTTCCAATGTGGTTGTAAGCAGTAACACGGATGGACCAATGTATGCTCTAGTTTCCAATGTGGTTGTAAGCAGTAACACGGATGGACCAATGTATGCTCTAGTTCCCAATGTGGTTGTAAGCAGTAACACGGATAGACGTCTTACTTGTCAGTGACCAGCTTGGCTGTACGGTTCATTGTAACACGGGATCTTCTCTGCTCCACCGTGACTGACTCCACAGCTACTACCTTAGCATCCTGTAGAATACAATGTCATGGATGTGTAGCATGCATGGGCGCATACACAAACGCGCGTGCAAACACACACACACACAACTACAAGTTTAATAATAATAATAATACCACAGCACGCGTAATAATATAATTATGTGGGTATAATTATACGTTCCGCTTCTGTCCTATCTCCTATGATCAAATTCCATTATCAAGGTAATTATTAACACGGCGCACTGAGTTTAATGCACTGTTGAATTTAACTCGTAGGTACACGGAAGCGAAAAACAAACTTGCCGGTAACCTTCCTGAAACAGTACACTATAGTCTTGTGTATATCACAGTGCAATGCTGCAGCGAGTACTTACAGAACTGCCAGTGTTGCTGGCTGGCTGGTTGGCACCAGCAGTTCCTGCCTCCTCCTCTTCTATTGACTTGATCTGCTGCCTCACGCCGGCAGTCAGCTCCTTCATTGGTGTGGCCTTATCATCTACATTAGTGAAAAAAATCCAGTCCATCGGCTGAAGGGTCAGCTTTCTGCATCATCAAAACAATCACAGGCATCCGATGCAGAAGCATTGAGCAAGAGGAAGACGGGAGTCGTAACCAACATACACGCACACACACGTGAAGGTGTGGAATGTAAAATTGATGAAAACCAGTATTTCTTTATAGATCAGTCACAGAAACTAACCATTCTAAGCAGAAACTAATAATGAGCGCAAACGTCTTCATCACCACTGAGTTACCACTACAATTCACTTTTCAACTCCCTCATCCCCCTCTCCCTTCCCCTCCTCTTCATCTCCACCTCCTCTGATCATAAACACGACAATGGTTGCTTGGAACCATCGTATAACCTTTGCACACACATACACACACATATACACATACACATACACACACACACACACACACACACACACACACATACACACACACACACATACACACACACACACATACATATACGTGAAGGTGTGGAATGTAAAATTGATGAAAACCAGTATTTCTTTATAGATCACTCACAGAAACTAACCATTCTGAGCAAAAACTAATAATGAGCGCAAACGTCTTCATCACCACTGAGTTACCACTACAATTCACTTTTCAACTCCCTCATCCCCCTCTCCCTTCCCCTCCTCTTCATCTCCACCTCCTCTGATCATAAACACGACAATGGTTGCTTGGAACCATCGTATAACCTTTGCACACACATACACACACACACACACACACACACACACACACACACACACACACACACACACGTGAAGGTGTGGAATGTAAAATTGATGAAACCAGTATTTCTTCTAGAGCACTCACAGAAACTAACCATTCTAAGCAAAAACTAATAATGAGCGCAAACGTCTTCATCTCCACTAAGTTAGCACTACAATTCACTTACTAGTATCCCAACTCTCCTCAATTTACTCATCCCCCTCCTCCCCTCATCTCAACTTTCCCCATGTTCTTCCTCTCTGCCCCCCCCCCCCCTCTCCTCCTCATCTCAACCCTCCTCAATTTAATCATCCCCCGTTCTCCTCGTCATCCCAACTCTTCTCAACTCACTCATCCCCTCCCCCCCCCCCCCTTCATCTCAACTCTCCTCACTCATCCCCCTCCCCCCCCCCCCTCTAATAATAAATACGACAATGGTTACTTAGAGCCATTGAAGCCTTTGTAGATTGTGAAAAAGAGCACTCCAAGGAATATAGACAGGGATCTGTGCATGCATGGTCGTGCACAGCAACCCGAGTGCCATTGGGCTAGCGCGGGAATCTAACCCGCAGTGCGAAGCCAACACACGGAAACCATTTCCGACGACATCACTGTATTTGCACATGGGCAGGAGCGGATTCCGGGGGGGGGGGGGAAGTTCTGGGGGATGTACAAGTCATCTACATGTATTATCTATTCAGTTTTGGCTAAACTGGAACCCCCCCCCCTGTAGAGATCTCTAGATCCGCCCCCGATGTGCGTACTTCAGTACTTAGCCCAGTCTAACTTATAATACACCCATAGTACATATCGCATGCAGTAACGGCTTGAGCACCCAGCCGCAGTCGTACAACCACTAAGACGTCAAAAAGGCAGTACTTGTCCATGAAGTCAAATACACTACTGCTCAATGAAATCCGATCGAGTCACTCAAGTACGCGCCGGGCGTTGCACAACCCTAGACACTGGGCTGCGAAATGGTGCAAGGTGCAAACTTGACTCACGTCACGTGACCAGGTTTCATTGAGCAGCACTATACTTGTACAGGTCCTCCCTCATTATAACGAGTCCGGTTAGTACATAAACCCCGTTAGTAAATAGAAATCTGAAATCCCCTGGCGGAACGTGGTCTATACAACTGTTTACAGGTCCGGTTACAACATAATCCGTTAGTACATAAAATCCGTTATAACGACCCTTTGCCCAGGTCCTGGAGTGCCAAACCCTCAGTATAAGATAATGTTGACCATGCAGGACCAAGGCCAAAACATGTAGGATAAAGCAGAACGAGGAAACGTATGATGTCTATGTATTCGTGAATATGGACGATCCTTTGCATCCAAGGAAGAGTTATGTTGGAGATTTTCAATTATCTTATAACGAGTTGAAGCATCGATAATTTATGTTGTATCGAGGGTAGCCCCAGTAAGTACGAAGTAGTGCCTATTTCACCTTTAGCTGCAAGTCCTGCTACAAGATAAGTCTCGTTATAAGATGACTTTTTCGATGGCCCAGAGATTATCTACTAACGAGGGAGGACCTGTACTAGTTTTCAGTCGTGGGGCTGATTTCAACACACAGAACTGAACTATCCACAGCCCATACTGCACAATTGACCACACAGAGCAGAGTGCACGACCTCCTTGACAGCACAGGCAGTGAGTTTACTGCAAGAGATGAATCTCTAACAGGGCACAGAGTTTAAAATTTGAACAAGAACAAATCCATCGTAAACTCAAGAAAAGTTAACCGTTACGTTGTGTGTTATTCCTTCTCTCCTCCGTACTGGAGAAATAGAAGACAGGTGTGTGCTGGCAGGGTTGTTAGACTCTGCGCCTGCCGAGTGGGAATTTTGTGCAAATCGTTAAACTTTCAACTCTTAGAGTACTCTGGACACTCACAGGCCAAAGTCCATGGCTTTCTGCAGCTCTGGGTCCTCATGATCACGCACAGTGACCGGGAAGATTGGCTTGTCGGAGATGTAGGCAAGCTGCACTTCACGATTGCAAGACTTGCACTCAGCTGATGACGGACTCAAGATCAGAACGAATACCTAGGGTTTTTACAAACAGACAAACAAACAGACAAACAGACAGACAAACAGACAGACAGACAGACAGACAGACAAACAGAAAGAAAGACAGCCACACATGAATGGTCACACATGTGTGTATGTACGTAGAAAAAGAAGAAGAAGAAAAAAAAGAATCCTATCCATTATGCCGATCATCAGACCACAACAACAATCTACAATACCTCTTACCATGTCCACTGTGCGCACAATCCCTTTTACCGTATATCTACTGTGCCCCCAGTGACAGTGATTGAGCACATGTATATCTACCTACTCACACTCTGCAGTCAATGGCAAAGCTGGATTCATGTACACCCACCCACACTCTACAGTCATGGCAATACTAGACTATGAGTATGATGCGCATGCATCATGCGTCAGATGCCATACCCATGGCCTTTCCCCATCAAAATGTATGTGATTCGGAGTTACGGACATTGCAAAGTTACGGGCAGTACCCGGTCCCGGACAGCCCGGATAAACGAGTTATGCTCGTATTTCCCCAACATACACATTGCCCATTCATAAATGTTTTCAGCTATCAAAGCAGGCGGGGACGACATACTAGTATTTCCTTTACGATACTAAGTGCCATACAATACCCTTTTGAGCAACTACAGTAAAACCTGGTGTAAGCGACCTCTGGGTTTAGCGACCACCTGCTATTAACGACCGTTTTCCATGCACCGACAGTTCTACACAGACACTGTGTGACTTGGTTCTAACGACCACCTGGCTTTACCGACCGCTTTTTCTCGCACTGTGGGGTGGTCGCTTAAAAACTAAACCAAGTATTACTGAATTCGCTAAACCTATGAAAAACAATCACACCAAGGTATAATTTACCTTTGCCTGAACAATAGCCGACCCTGACTTTCCTTCTTCTTTGTCCGTGTCCTCAGCCACATCGGCAAAGACAGTCAGCTTCTGGCTTTCAAACTCACCTAAAACACACACACACACACATACACACACACACACACACACACACACACACACACACACACACACACACACACACATACACACACACACACACACACACACACGCACACAGGTAGGTACAAAGAAAGGAATTGTGTGAACACAAAACTGGTGTACATACTGAAATGCTCAAAAACGTTTCGGTTTGCAACGTGATGTGTAGCGTATGCTTGCTAGCGAAACAATGTGCCTGTCATCTTGGCTACATCCATGGACATTGAGAGAAGGTAAATGTTCCGAAGGACAAAGTTATACGGAGTGAGTAACAATGAAACAGCCCTATTGTACTTCCTTTTGTGTACCTCTTGCGGACTACTCTCTGCCCATTCCGGGCATTTGAGCACTATTGCAGGTTAAGGCGCACTGCCTCTGTGAGTGAGTACTTGTATATTGTCCTAAGATTTCTGCTAGAGAAGTGATGACCAGTAAAACGAGAACAATAATCCACGGCAACTGGGGAAACTCCCAACCATCACTTTAGGGGCCATCCATAATTATCGATAATTTTCACGAAACGAAAAAGTTAAGTTAGGACCCTCCTCCACCCACCCACCCCCATGAACGGAAAAAAGATTGACTTGACCGCTAGAATGCATTGATGTCTTACATATCAATATTTTTTAAACGAAACTCTCCTTGACTCACCCACCCAGGAACGAAACCTTTTTTCTTTTCGCGTGAAAGATCGATAGTTATGGACCACCCCTTAGATCAAATGCACAGGAGTGCTGACCTACCTTGGATGTACCGCATAAGGGCAATGTCATCGCCATGGTAAGATATCGCAACGTCACATGTTGGTGCCTTTGGTGCACTACGCTGCAATGCACTAGCACCTGCCGACTGTCCACTGCTTGCGCCGCCTGCACCTCCACCGGCCGCTGTGTTACGTAAACATACACCACACACACAGACACACACGCACACGCATGCACGCACACATACACACACACACACGCACACATACACACATGCAAACATGTCAGTGCAAATTCAGGGCACGCGTGTTCTAATCAGTTTTACAACTTACAGGAAAACACTTGACAGTCAGTGCATCAAGCATACCTATAATGCAGTTTCGTCCATCTCCAATTCAGCACAATTTATTTGACTGCATGCTGTACATACTGTCCTATATGTACCAGCAAGCCAGCACAGCCCATCGGTTGTATGGTTGGGCCCCCAGCTGATATCAAGCTCGTGGACGCCGCCACGCCGTACCACTGTGGTGTTGTCCGCCGTGTGCCTCTGCCTCTACAGGACAAGGTCACAGAAGAGCTCGCACGTACGGAGGAAATGAGCATCATCGTCCAGGAAATGGGTCCCTCTGACTGGTGCTCTCCTATGGTGCCGGTTCGTAAACCTAACGTAGTAGTAGTACTAGTATAATTTATTATTTTACTAGGGAACTCCCAACAGGCGTTGCCTTTTTACTGGGAACCCTAGACGGTCGCGTGCGGATCTGCGTAGACCTAAAGAAGCTGAACGGCAACGTGAAGCGCGAGCACTTCCCTCTTCTGAAAGTTGAGGACACACTGGCTAGGCTCGCCGGATCTACTGTCTTTTCCACGCTGGATGCCAACAGCGGCTTCTGGCAAGTGCCTCTCACGGAGTCTGTATCCAAGCTGACCGCGTTCATCACGGCTGTGGGTCGGTTCCGATTCCTCCGGATGCCATTCGGTATAACCTCTGCACCGGAGATCTTCCAGCGACGCCTGCAGGATTTCCTGTCCCACGTCAAAGGTTCTGAGGTATTCATGGACGATGTTCTGCTCCACGCCACTAACGAAGCTGAACACGACCGCCGGCTGGACACAACGCGCCAGGTCCTTGCCGACGCTGGCATCACTCTAAATCCCGACAAATGCGACCTCAAGCAGTCGTCAGTCAAGTACCTGGGACACATCGTCAGCGGGTCCGGTGTGAAACCCGACCCAGCAAAGTCTCCGCCATTGAAGACCTCAAAGCGCCTACGAATGTTCCTGAGCTCCGCCGTGCCTTGGGTCTGTTCACATACGTCGCCAGATTCATCCCGGAATTGGCTACGATCTCAGCGCCCCTCCGTCAGCTCCTGCACACCGACACTGATTGGTTCTGGGACTCCCCGCAGCAGGACGCGTTCCGTCGGCTGAAAGAGCTCGTCGTTTCAGCCCCGTGCTTAGTGCACTATAACCCCAAGCGTCCCATCATGGTCAGTGCAAATGCCAGCAGCTATGGCATTGGTGGTGTTCTTTTACAGAAACACGATGGCGACTGGCGCCCAGTAGCCTACGCCTCCCGTTCCCTGACCAAGACGGAACAAGGCTACGCGCAGATTGAAAAGGAATGCCTAGCAGCGGTGTGGACGTGCGAGAGGTTAGACCAGTACCTCTTCGACGCTCCCCGGTTCATCGTGCAGACGGACCACAAGCCCCTAGTGCCACTGATCAACACCAGAGACCTGGACAAGGTTCCCATCCGATGACAACGAATATACAAAGTCCATGCCACAAACGTTCCCGGCAAGGATTTGGTGGTGGCCGACACGCTTTCACGAGCGCCAGCATCGGCATCAGTTGACAATGTTCTGCAAGACGACATCGGCATGGTTTTATCAACCACTGCCGAAGATCTCACGAGTCCATCCGTTCTCGCTGACCTAGCCAAGGCTACGTCTGAAGATCCCGTGTTATCCAGTGTGATGCGCTACGTCATCCATGGCTGGCCTGCTACCGTCCCTGGCGACATCAAGCCGTTCCATCGTGAGCGAGGCCAGTTGTTTCACATGCAAGGTGTCCTGTGCCACGGCTTTCGCTTGGTTGTTTCGTCCGAGCTACAGCCTGAGATCCTCCAGAAGCTGCACGATGGTCACCAAAGTGTCACAAAGAGTAAAGCCCGTGCCCGCTTCTCGTCGTGGTGGCCAGATATCTCTGCCGAGTCCCGACAGTACCTGATCACCGTCGACTATTTCTCCCGTTACATTGATGTCGCTTGTCTCTCATCGACTACGTCACGAGCCGTCATTACTCACCTTAAGACAATATATGCGGTCCACGGCTACCCGGATATCTTCGTCAGCGATAAAGGGCCACAGTTCGCTTCCGACGCCTTTGCACAGTTTATGTCGTCGTGCAACATCACGCATCGGACAAGCAGCCCGAGGCATCCTCAGAGCAACGGCGAAGCAGAATGCGCCGTGTCAGACTGCCAAACGACTCTTCCGTGCGCCAGGTGATCTACAGCAGTCTCTCTTAGCCTATCGCTCCACACCCCTGGCCAACGGCTATTCGCCCGCCGAACTCTTGTACGGCCGCAGGCTCCGCACCAATCTTCCGTGCCCACCTGATCTCCTGCAACCCTCCTGGCCAGACATCACCGCTCTCCGGGCAAAGGAGCAGGAGGCTAAGCATCGTCAAGAAGATCACTTCGATCAACGCTTCGCAGCCAAGTCGCTCTCCCCTCTGCCACTGGGAGCGAAAGTGTGGGTCAATGACAAGCGCGAGGGTACAGTGGTTGAGCAATTCACCGATCGCTCCTACAACATCGCCACCTCATCCGGTCTTCTTCGCCGAAACCGTCGTGCAGTGAAGTTGCTCCAACCAGTGACTCCTCCCAGACCGGTGCCAGCAGTACCACCGGCCACGCTAGTCCCGCAACAACAGCCTGTGGCTACGTCACAGCCAACTCTGCGTGCTCGCAACAACATCCAGCCACCGCAGAGATTGATCGCTACCATGTAACTCTCTCTGGCTTCATGCTATTGCCATTGCTCTCCCGCACATTGCATAGTTCTGTTCTATGTGCTTGGCTATGTACAACCCGTACATGTATCTGTCTTGCCTTTGCTCCATAACAGTTTTTTTCCCAGCTGGTGTGTTTTCGCTCTCTTCAATTTTTTTCAAAAAGGGGAGATGTCCTATCCTGTATCACGTTATCCTTTCACCCATTCACGGCATAGTCCTTCCCCTGTCTGTCGCCATGTATAGACGGTACGTGACCTCGCACTACAAACAGGCATTCATTGAGAATCTAATCGTGGTATCAACTGCATGCTTCACTCATTAGAGTGCTCATCAATTCGGCAGCAATTGATGCACAATTGAGAAATTGACACCTTTTGGTGTTCATGTCTGAGGAGCATTCGCTGGTTCCTTGCTGGTGGCGTGGCGCTATGTGGAACAGTGATTGGACATCAAGAACATGATTCTAGTCTGGTAAAAATAGTAGGTGCGGGCAGGGGAAACAGTTACTCTTTAGTACCCAGCAAGGCAGTAGCCGATTTTCCATCCCCAAAATTGTCTAGCCACCCAAAACGCAACGTACCCGAATTCACACCAGGCACACATGTGCCTTTATGAAGCCTCTGTTACTGACTATCGACTGCATTTTTGTTGAATGGCACGACAAAAAAACCAAAACATGACAAAGCGAGTAGGGGGCGCCACTTTTTCACAGGGGGGGGGGGGGGCTCAATCAGAGTATGGGGCTCAATCAGAGTAGGGGGGGGGGGGGGTCGGGCGCTGTGCCCCCTACCCCTTTGGCCAGAACCCCGAATAATACTAGTACAATGGAGACCAGGTCGACGGCCTATAGAACAAATATCTCACTCAGCATGGGATCTGAAGTGCTTGCAGAATTCTTCAACTACACTGGTATGGTGTGCATTCCCAGTGTTCATTGCAAAGTCGTTTTACCTCAGTAGTAGCCTGTTTGAAATGCTTTGATAAATTGCCCATTCAATAATGCTCTGTTACGCAAGACGACATGCCACAGTACTGACAGGTCAGTGTCAACGCTGGATCAAACTCTTTCATGACATTTATTATTTTTATATTCATCGAACATCTCATACAAAATCCATTTTTGTTCATGTATTCCAATTTTCAGGAAGAACCACCACTCAAAATGGCCAATGGATTTGAGTACGTAGAGCAACTGGGTGTGTGTCGATTCATCGTACACAACGATAACATTCCACGCTCAAGATGGTGGAATTATTTTAGAACATTGGACATGAAATCCAGTGGACAATTCGCTCCTACAAACATAGAAATGTTCATGTGCACAGCCCGTTAGTGGAAACTAGTTGGCATTTTCTGTAAGACCGTAGCCAAGGATGGTCAGGAGCTAGGCACCTGCGCTGCACGAATCCACAAGTGCAGCACCATCTTTACTACCTCACGCCCAAGATTCAAGAATCATTTTCCTGGTCACTGATGCTACCTCACCCACTGGGTTGACTACTGAGCAGAGCAAAGACCTCAACCGCTAGATAATGGGCAACGCGCTAACGCTAACGTACTGTTCTTCCGTTGACCTAAAATCCATAGCTAGAGTAATCGTACTAGGAGTAAACAGCTAACGTAGTCTACCACAAACGTATAAATGTTTGTAGAAACGCGACAGGGGTATCATGCGAGACACACTCCAAGTGCGTTAGACAGAGAATTATGAGCCATCGAGTCATAGCGTAAAACACCCCGAACACACCCGTAACCAATCAACCTAGTGGCCCGCCTCCAGGTTACATGCTCTATAAAGAAATCACCACGGTATGTAGAAGGAAAATGAAAAGCCAGGCCAGGGGACGGTAATTTCTCCGTAAAGGAATCCACAGTCATTGCAAAAATAGTGGTAGCGACCTCGGGGAATCCACATTGTCAGGAATTTCCCGGTGGTGGAAGCCAAGTGCAGTCCCAATGGTGGGCCACACAACAGACACAGTTAGTTCTCCTTACCTTCTCGCCTGCGACTGCTCCCTGTACCCATTGCTGCTAGTTCCTCTCCAACTGCGCCAAACGCCGACTTGCTCACTGAGTCAGCGAAAGAAATTATCCGAAGCCAATGCAAGGGGCTGAATATTTTTTCATTGACACTGCCGTGTGAGTAGTGGCAGCAGTGCTGCACTGTACTGGTGGCATGCAGTGCAAGTGGCACTGAAAGACTAGACGTGAGACCTTGCGTTGCCTGCCATGCCTGTCACTCTGTGGATCTACAAGACTACATGTACCCACTGCACATGGCAGTGGCTATGGCAAAGCTGCTCAATGAAATCCGATCAGGTGAATCCAGTTCGCCCCAGGGAGCCCTACACATACCTGTATGTGTAGGGCTCCCTGGTTCGCCCCACTTGCGCCAGTTCATCCCAGAATTCGCAGGTCTACGTCTGGCGCCGCACAGCACCCGGCGTGGCGCTGCGCGCCTTCGGGATGTGAAAACATAATAATCCCCTCGGAACCGTTACGTGCCATGTTTAGCAATTAATCGTTCACGCTATTTTCGGTGGTACATGCATGGTAGGCCTGCACCGTGTTTTGTGTGTGTAGACATGGCATTTTACAGTTCACGCGCTAGATCCAACGGTACTCGTACCCCAAACCCAAAATACCGTCGGTTTGGTACAGTTTCGACGATAGAAAGCTCTTTTTAGCGGGAGAACGAAACGGTAAGATTCTAACTAGGGTTACCTCACACGTCTATCGTTGCGTCAGGAGTCAGCCTGTCAGGACTCAGAAGCCGAATGGGTTATCTGGTTATTTTCGTGAGTTTGCACCCCGTGTTCATGAGTTGTTTCTGCACTGGTCATGCCCATTTGTCACACTTACTCTTTATCTTAGCCCTCACTTTTTGTAATACTTACGCGTCATGTATCACACTTCTTTGGATTTTTAACCTTTGTTTTTCCCTTGACCACTTTAGTTCCGTATTTCCACTGATGATCGATCGGAGCTTGAAAATCGATTCTGGAAACACACAATCTAAAACCTTGAACAAATTGTCATGGTGCGTGGCGATGTCCGCGGCATTCATACTTTTCATAGCTAGAAGAAGCATTCCTGACACTTTCACGAGGATTAGCGCCAAACAACTGAAGTGACAAAACAATTTCCTTCTGAACACATGCATTGTACATGTAGTTCAGGGGACAACTTGCGAATATAATAATTATAACGCTTCTGAATTTTTATTTTTTCCACACGTACATGTACATGTATAATTGTATAGCGTGAGGTTCTGAATCTATGCTTTTGCTGTAGCTCTACATTGCATAAGTAGCCTGTATTTGACATTTTGACATTTTTCTATTTTTCTCTGTACATTACCCATGATGAGAACTTGGGGGAACGGAAACGTTCGGTTAATAAATTGGCTTACTTGACTCTGTGGATTGCGTCGGTGCTGACACCTTTCTCTCGAAATTGGACACGCCTCCAATATTTTCTTTTTTATTACCGTTTACCATTGTTTATGACTCGTATTCCCTGATGTGGACCAATGCCATGGCAACGGTGGATTGTCCAGGGAGTTTCCCTGCCCTGGTACATGTACCTCCATGGCCCATGGTGTGGACTTAGAGGGGAAGTATACCCTAAAATCAAATTTTCACCAGTTGTAGTCTTCGGGGTGCTGAGTCGAATGGTCTTGGTCCGAGGAAGCTGAGACGCTCCCTTCCTACTTGAATCCCAATCGAACTCGCGCACTTCCACCGAAACTGGGTGACTGCGCCCTACTAGATGGGGATTTGTATGCAAAATCTCACTAAAAGCGCCATTTCGTTCTTATAAAAGCACCGATGACCGCGATTGGCCCATATGTTGTAGTCTTTTGGACGCTGAGTCGACTGGTTTTGGTCCGAAAAGGCTGCGATGCAGCGTTCCTCCTTTATTCCCAATCGAACATGGTTGAACAAGCGGTCACGTGCTCCTGCGTACACCAGTCACCTGGTCACCGTGCCTGCAGGGTACAACTTACTAGCCTGTTTGACCTTTTTTGGGTGCAGTCCTGTCACTCGAGTTGCACCTTGGTGTGAAAGTTGTCGCCTGCTGGCTTGGTGACCAGGTGATTTGGGCACCCAGGAGCACGTGACCGCTTGTTCAACCATGTTCGATTGGGAATAAAGGAGGAACGCTGCATCGCAGCCTTTTCGGACCAAAACCAGTCGACTCAGCGTCTAAAAGACTACAACATATGGGCCAATCGCGGTCATCGGTGCTTTTATAAGAACGAAATGGCGCTTTTAGTGAGATTTTGCATACAAATCCCTATCTAGTAGGGCGCAGTCACCCAGTTTCGGTGGAAGTGCGCGAGTTCGATTGGGATTCAAGTAGGAAGGGAGCGTCTCAGCTTCCTCGGACCAAGACCATTCGACTCAGCACCCCGAAGACTACAACTGGTGAAAATTTGATTTTAGGGTATACTTCCCCTTTAAGTCTAAACAAGAATAAAGTCTATTTGTATTTTTTGTATTTTATTATTTTTTTTAAAGGATTTCCCAAAGGCTTTGGGCCTGTCGAGGGGATCTCCTGCAAGAAGAATGAAATGACAACTTTATGTGGAGGGAGCAGTTAATCGAGGATAGGCAAATAGATCGAGGCATACAAAAAAAGGAGTTGGGATACCGTCAGTGTAATGAATATATCGGCGAAAATGCTGATAGAGCGAATGCTTGGATTCGGGGAGGCTGGTTATAGAGGTAAGAGAAGGCGGTAGGCAATTCCATAGCATTGCAGCTTTGTTGGAAAAGAGGGAAGAAAAACGCACACCGTGATAATTGATGATATGTTTGCTTGGTCTTCTTGGACTTGAAGACAGTGAAAGGTGAAAATGTTGGAGGTGTTCTGGAGATATTATGTATAAGTAAGAGTAAGAGTAACAAGAGCTGATACTTGTCTGCGAAAGTGCAGCAATGTCCGGCGGAGTAACAGCACAATCAGCGCGTGCATGCAGGGTAGCTGTAGTGTAGGCTGCTCGAAAAGCAGAACCAATAAAAACTGAACCATACAACATTATGGCAAGCACTTCCTTGAACTCTGCTCCATTCCTAGTAGATCCTTTCTCCAGCTTGTCTCGTGTCGTCAAGTTGCCCATCTATCTGCTTTTGTTTCGCTTTGTAGTGTAAAGAGCATTTTAAACGTTAGGGTTCCCTATAACAAGACGGCAACGTCTGAGGGCCTTTCCTATCAAAACAAATACAATTTATTTCTCAGCGTAGTACCCACCAGCTGGACAATGTTCTTCGATGCACGAGAGCACTCACACGACATACATGTACAGTCATGTACATGTACATACTAAAATCTGCGGGCGTTGTCCGCCAAGGGCTAAGGATAGCATTATATACTGGCACTTTTGCTACCCACTACTACTTGTAGGCACTAGGGGTAAGCGGATTATGCCGGCATAATTTTTGGCATAATCAGGTCCTTTTTGAGAAGGAGCATAAAATGGCATCCGAAAAACAAGGGCAGATGTAGCCTGACCAGTACCATGAGTATTATTAGTGCCTAGTAGACTACCAACAAGTAAGTTACCAAGGTAGCGACAATCTGCTGCTCGCTCCGATCCGCACACTGTATGACACAATGCCATACTGTAGTCCAGTACTGCACATGACAATTAAATTTTGTGCTTTATGTACAATGTCATGTGCATGTACATCAATTAGTTAGTTTAGTTTTAGTTTTATTCCAAGCTGGGGTAGCCAATGACCACTTAAACTCTGCGTGGTGATTGCAGGGTTTTATTATCGCCAACCACGGCTAGTGGCACGCCGGATGAGTGTGTCTGTGTGTGTGTGTGGGGGGGGGGGGGGGGGGGCTCTCTTTAGTCACAAGTGCCCTCTAGCTCCTGCAGCAACTGTAAGAGGCCACTTCAGGTCAGGGCGCAGAGCAGACTCAGTATGTTTGGAAACACTGTGCCTCTGGATAATGGTGCATAAATTACATTACTGTGTCATGTATCTTCTGATCTGGTGAAGAAACAACACACTCGTTTAATACTTCGAAGTACAATGACCAATACCGTAAATTAGCCATTGATTTCGCAACCATCTTCCCCACGTGACGAGCACGCCTGTTTGTTTGTCATGGAAGCTTCCAACAATCCAAGGCCACACGCCAAAGAATGTGCTTTTAATTTAAGCACATTAAAATACATAACCTACTCGTCAGAAGGGGAGAAGACAACAGAATACTTAGTATACAATAACAAAACTGGCAGCAAGCCGGAGAGTATGGGGCTGCAAAGCACGTCTGTGCTGGTGAGGCAAGCCCACAACCGACCTATGGTCTCAGCGTTAACGTGGACTTGCGCACTATAGTACGAAGTTGGTGATTTAGTGCGATAAAAGATAAGAGAAGGTGAGGTAGAATGGAGGAGAGAGAGAGAGAGAGAGAGAGAGAGAGAGAGAGAGAGAGAGAGAGAGAGAGAGAGAGAGAGAGAGAGAGAGAGAGAGAGAGGGGGGGGGGGGGGGGGAGAGGGAACACTGAAGAAGAAGAGAGAGAAATTCAAAGGTAGTTCATAATTATTATGGTTGTGAACATGATGCATTACTTGGGGGGGGGGGGGGAGTGGGGGGGGGAGTGGGGGGAGAGGGGGGGGGGGGAGGGGGAGCTTCAAGATGGAAATAGTTCTTAGAGGGAGTCTAAAAAGTCATCCACAGTAGTACGTGTGAAGCAGCTCTGCCCCCCCCCCCCCCCCGTCATATCGTGCACTAGCTGCACTGGGAAATTGTTATCTTCCTGTCATTGGCGAAGAAGCTTCCTTTTGAATGATTTCAAGAGGGGCAGTGCACTTCCGCTCGATCGGGCGCAAGCTGAATGCGTCTACCATACATGGTCTACCTCAATCAGCTGATCACAGTGATCAGGCTCAAGGATCTAGGAACGACATTACCATGACGTCGTTGACTCAGATCGGTAGAAAAACCTAGAATGTCAGTCTTGTCAAATCCCAATCCCGATCCTGTCTACATGGTCTATGTTACATGTCATGTACATGCAGAGTGCAGACCTACCGTAACCGTACTTGACATCGACGTCATCGTAGGTTGCGTGGCCAACGATACGATCGAGTCGTAGATCTACTCGTAGTATGCCGTAGATCTACCTACCGTATTACCGTAGATCTGCTCATGAATCGGATCTGCATGAGCTCCACGTTCCGGTACGGTAGATCTACGCATGCACTTGAGCAAGCTCACGCGATATCTGTACGGGACACGCGGAAGCGGCAGTGGACGGCACGAGAGACGAACATTTTTGTAGCTGTTTCTTGAATCTTCTTTCTCCAACAAAATAATTCAAAAATCAGTCTTGTTCATCCAGGCCGAATGCTGTTCTCTGGTTTTTAGAATGTCTGCCACCTCAGAGAGCGTCAATGGAGGAGTACCGTCATCCCGCTCTGATGGGAGCATCGGTTCGAGCGAGAGCCCAGAGGTGGACCTTAGTAGCTTGGAGTTTCGTCTTCAGCAGTTTCGTAAACATACTGTGGACACAGTCAATGAGGAACTAAAGGATGTCACCAAGGACATGTTGAATGAAGTATCTCGCACCATGAAGGGACTGACCTCCGTCGACAATGATCGTGCACATGGACAGAAGGTGTTTCGCGCTCGTGATTCGGTGTTAACGTATCTGCTGCAGTCAACTCACATCCAAACACTCTACAATATTTTTGTGGCAATTCTGATAATTTTCGCAGTGAATACGGTGATCAGTGATTACTTAGAGCACGGCCGATTAGTGCTGAACTTCTCCATGCTACTGTGGGCGTTCGAGCAGATGCCAATCGTCATCACCACTTGGATTGTGATGAAATCGACAACGTTGGCCGTCTATCCTCTCTTCTTGGGCTATGTGGACATCAGAGGTTCCGCTCGGGGCACCAACCGCAGGCTAGTTGACGGTGCGTATCTGTCGGGCTATATATTCTTTCTCGGCGTGTTCTTGGTCGGCCCGGTGTTCATCATTGCCCGTAATCAAATCCCGCCCGGCTCGGCTCTGATCATCCTGTGTGAGCAGGTGCGTATGATCATGAAGATTCACTCGTTTATCCGCGAGACCGTACCGCGCGTGCTGATGTTCTCGCGGGAGAGCAAGGCCAACGCCAACGTCCACGACGTTCTGCCGGGCTTCTCTCAGTACTTGTACTTCCTGTTCTGCCCTACGCTGCTGTACCGTGATAACTACCCGCGCACCGAGCATACACGCTGGACCTACGTCATCTCCAATATGGGGCAGGTGGCCGGGTGCCTGTTGTACGTCTACTACATCTTTGTGCGCTTCTGCGTGCCGGTGTTCAGCGAGACGGGCCGTCAGCCGTGGAACACGCGCACGTTCATCCTGGGCGTGATGAACTGCATGCTACCGTCCACCATGGTGTTCGTGCTGGGCTTCTTCTCCATCCTGCACTCGTGGCTGAACGCTTTTGCTGAGATGATGGGATTTGCCGACCGCATGTTCTACAAGGACTGGTGGAACTGCCGCAGCTGGGCCGACTACTATCGTAAGTGGAATGTCGTCGTGCACGACTGGCTGCATGCGTACGTCTATAACGACGTGCAGATGTGCGTGCCCGAGACGTACAAGAAGAATCGCCTGGTGGCCATGTTCACCGTCTTCATTGTCAGCGCCTTTGTCCACGAGTACATCATCGCTGCCACGTTTGGATTCTTCTTTCCCGTCCTCCTCCTCATGTTTGGCGGCATCGGCGTGTCGTTTGTCTTCCTGACGCATCAGCGGCAGTCGCGAATCTGGAACATCTTCATGTGGGTGATGCTGTTCTTCGGCAATGGCCTCCTGATGTGCCTGTACAGCATCGAGTTCTACTCTCGTCAGAACTGTGCCGACAAGATGGAGACCTGGCTGGACATCCTCATACCCAACATGCTAACCTGCGATTCGTGGCCGGATGTCTCGTAACCAGCCGAGCGCTAGCGTGGGCCAGGGAGGCTGGCAATCAGAGCCACTTGTTGTAAGTGCGCCTGTGTGTGTGTGTGTGTGTGTGTGTGTGTGTGTGTGTGTGTGTGTGTGTGTCTGCTCCGTTGATAAACATTCGTAACAACCCTGTCCCTTTTCTTCCACTCTTCCACTCTGACACAATATTGGCGTCGGGAAGATCCAGCGTTAACCTTCAAGTATGCTAGCATTACTAGAAGGTAACAACGTATCGTTGTCTCACCACAGTCCACACCCACCGTGCCTACCGTGCATACAGTGCTATTCTCCGGTAATGCTGCATTGTCAGCACTATGCAGTCCTTCCTGCTATGTGCAGTGGACATACACCGCTATTCTCTGCCCGTACACTATATGCACTGAGTCGTTGATGCACGGTTGTGCCAGCTTCACCACTCCTGACCCTGCCGTTGTCGCCATAACCCCCGACACGTTACACTATCACCCATTCACAAATACCCATCGTCAGCCTTTAGTTGATTCCTCCACCGTTCAGTGAGATGTAGCAGACCATCGGTTGTGTGTTCAACCACGGTGTGTGCTTGGCAATTTGCCATTCAGTCAGGCCGCCATACTCTAACTGACCTGACCTGCCCTATTTTTGATACGTTGCTTTTAAAAGGATTAAATTTTTTACCGGCCGTGTTTGAGATGTGCCTATACCTGTAAACTGGTTTATCCAGGTAATAGTGTTTATTCGCCGAGGTCCTCGCTAGTGAGGATGCTGCTGGAGCTGTGAGTGCTCATACGTGCTCAGTTGTCTCTTCGTTGCCTTTGTGCAGTGCGAGTTTATATATTTTAGAAAGGTGCAACGCTCCCTTTTCTTTTTTACCGTTGTAGTGATCCGTGCAGCCAGGCTGACGAACAGCCTAGCGCAATTAGTCTCTTTTGTTTTAGCATCCATCCATCCATCTGTCTCTCTCTCTCTCTCTCTGTCTCTCTCTCTCTGTCTCTCTCTCTCTCTCTCTCTGTCTCTCTCTGTCTCTCTCTGTCTCTCTCTCTCTCTCTCTCTCTCTCTCTCTCTCTCTCTCTCTCTCTCTCTCTCTCTCTCTCTCTCTCTTCCTCTCTCTGTCTCTCTCTTTGTCTCTCTTTGTCTCTCTCTGTCTCTCTCTTCCTCCAGAGTTCTCTTCTGGTGCCTCACGTCTCACGTAGTATTTTCATTTTACTAGTCTTCTTTATTATGTATTGTGTGTGTGTGTTTTAACGCTGGAGTCGTGCACACTCTCTTGATGCGGACAAAGACTGCCTGTGTGTTGTAGTCGCTTGTGTGAGTATGTGTTTGAAAGCTGTCTATATGAGTTCAGTACTACAGTTTTCACTAAGGCCCAAAGCGAGCAGTTGTAATCTGCTCCGTGGCACTCAACCATGACCTATTTTCCAATGTCTACTTTGTTAGTTATTTTTAGCCAAAAATATTGACTGCATAAGTTTACGAATTGTTTCGAATGTGTTTCGAATGTTCTCAAGGTGTGGTTTTATGAAACTCCGGCATGGTCTTGCCAAGCTGTGTGTCTGCGAATGCGTGCAAGCATATGCATACCGGTAGTTTCGTTATAGGGATGGGGTGTGTGTGTGTGTGTGTGTGTGTGCGCGCGCGCGCGTGTGTGTGTGTGAGCAAGTGTGTGTGTGTGTGTGTGTGTGTGTACGTGTGTACGTGCGTGCATGAGTGCATGTGTGTTTGGAATTTTGGAAGGGGCCGGTGGGATGCCGGTATAATTATTATGTACGCGTGCATGTTAGGTACTGCAAGTAAAGTTGCACTCACTGAAATCCGACCTACAGTGCGAAACTGGCGCCCTGGACCAGTTCCTATTACATCAATATGTGCATCTGTACGTCCAGGCTCGTTCGTACGACTTCCAGGGCGTTGAGGTCCGTGCAAGTTGACGGCGCCAAATGTGGAATTTTGCTGGAGTTTCACCAAGTGCGACTGTACATTATGTGTGTGTGTGTGCGTGTGTGGTGTGCGTGCGCACGCACAAGCAAGTTCGTGGATACACACATGTGCATGCACGCTGCGCGAGCGTCGTACCCTCACCAGCCCTTACCCCTACACACACCAAAGCCCACTCCAAAAATAATCAACCACTAGTCACTAGTCCTGAGCAGTGCTGGACATCAGGAACATGGTAGTCTACTACGAGCGTGTCAGCTGTCATCTAACTGGAGGTGTGCGTTCTCTATTCGGACACATCGTCATTCTGCTCTTTTTTTTAAACCACTTTGAAGTAAAGTAGTTGGTTTCATAGGAAGTAGTTCTTAGAGCTGACCTACTCTTTCCCATAACAATATCGAACTCAAAGAATAGAAAAAAGGATCAGGGAACTATAAGTTACGCTATAATGTCCACTAACACCACCAGTTAATAAACAATATCGATCTCGTTTATCAATCAGTCATGACAACATTTCGGCAAAATTGCCCTCAGGTATACAATGGTATGCAAGCTTTCAAAGCAGTAGTCATTATACATGCAAAAGGGATTTGAATTATATATTTGTAGTGGTGGCGATTTCAGCAATGCATTAATGATTTGTTAGGAAAGGGTTTCACAAATTACTAATTTAAAAAATCTTCCTGTTTCAACATAAAAAGTACTGCAGGTATTATAATAAGCAAATATCACATGTCCAATCATAGGGGCTCAACGTGTGCTATCTGAAATGTTTTACTGCTAACTATATCCAGTCCCTCAACCAGTGAATATTGCTAACTATAATTTCAAAAAATAGCATTCGCTGCATCAAGTAGACAGAGCAGAGTGGGGTCTCAAAAAACGTCTCAACACAGTCGTCATGAACTACCGTCGGAACAACACGGTACGATTCGTACTTTGGTAGTATTATAGAGTCTTTGTATCACGCAAAAGCTGCCAGCATAGGCGGCAACGGTGAAGGCTGAGCACAGGCATGTATATCTCGGTTAGTAAGTGTGCTCGATCTCTGATCAAGGAGGGTGGACGCTCCAGTACGCCACACTAACTCAAACCCACCAGTGGCAGAGAGCTTGAGAACGGAGTAGTTGGCTCGGTTGGTGACAGTCCACAGGGGAGGAATCATGTCAGCGCTGCGAGTGAACCAGCACTGGTCCGTGGACTCCTCGTCACTGGCAGAACCTCATCTGCAGGTCTCTGTGCATATTCTGTGATGCCTGCAGCGGACTCCCGACTGTGTATGCTTGCTCGGGTATGCCAGCAGTCCGCTGCTGGGCAGCTAGGAATGGTGACTTTCGCGAGAGGCGGTGTGTCAGCTGGTCAAAGCGTGGTCGCAGTCGATGGTCCGGGTGCCTGAGGGATGGCAGGAAATGAAGGGTATATTGCTAAGTTCACTCTCACGACATGGCACATACGTTAACGTGAAATCATAGACTTGCGATAGGTGGCTCGCCTTTGCACATGGGACAGCCAACCAGACGCATTGTGGGAAGATTTTCACTCGGGCACTTCATACAAGTAGCAGGTTTCTGATGGAGGGTTAGACGGCTGACTGTGTAAGGGGGGGGGGGAAGGGGGGGGGGAAGGGGGGGGGGGAAGGGGGGGGGGGGGAAGGGGGGGGGGAAGGGGGGAAGGGGGAATTGCACAGTCTACTACGTGATTGTAGACTGTGAAGTATTGTCGTGCAACCAACCTGGACAAAGCAGTAGCCACATCAACAGTGGCATACCCAACTCAGGATTACCCTAAGATCATTCTAGTCCAACGGTCTTACGGTCTGCTGACTGGTAAGATGGTGCAGAGCAGTGATGGTACACACAAGTAGGTATGATTTGGCCCAACCCAAGGGTATGGTTCGCCCAACCGCAAAGGGTATGATTCAACCCTACCCCAAGAGTACGGTTCAACCCTGCCCCAAGCGTATGGTTCAATTTTGCCCCAGGTGTACGGTTCAGCCCTGCCCCACGGGTATTGTCAAGTCTTGCTCCAAGGATATGGTTCAGCCCAGCCCCAAGGGTAGTGTTAGGTCGTGCCCCAGGTGTACCGTTCAGCCCTGCCCAGGTGTATGGTTCAGCCCTGTCCCAGCGGGTCAATGCTTCTGTCCTGCCCCAAGGGTATGGTTCGCCCTTCCCCAAGGGTATTGTTCACCCTGCCCCAAGGGTATGGCCCGGTTCACCCTGCCCCTAGGGTATTGTTCAGCCCTGCCCCTAGGGTATTGTTCAGCCCTGCCCTAAAGGGGCTATGATTCTTCCCTGACCGAAGGGTGTATATGATGAGCAACAGGGGAGTAAAACCCACATTCTTTAAAACAATTCCCACGCAGCCGTGTCATCTTCCTAGGTTCAAAAAATCACATGTCACAGATACAAGTAATGTTACTTGACGGGCACTGTAAAGTAACACACAAAGTATAATTGATGACTAGCTTACCAACAGTCCAGCATGACTTTGTATAGTTCTGCATTCACACCAGGTGGTGGAGGCAGTCGCCTGCGCTCTTCAGACACAAACGATATCACCTGCGTGCAAGCATCATCCAGGAAAATGGGCATGCGTGTGTGTGTGTGTGTGCGTGTGTGTGTGTGTGTGTGTGTGTGTGTGTTTGTGTGTGTGTGTGTGTGTGAGAGAGAGAGAGAGAGAGAGAGAGAGAGAGAGAGAGAGAGAGAGAGAGAGAAGGAAAGAGACCGGAGGGTGTGAGAGATGGAGAGAAAGGTAATGAGACACAACAGTTTCACGCGTCATAAGTGGAACGGCTAGATGTGACCTGTGTTGCAAGTTATGCTTGTCGACGACTTGGACAAAACCCACAGAGCGCAAGCACAGACACCATGCACCGACCCAATGACTGCAAGTAGCAAGTACTGACCTGCTGTGGCTGCATGCCAAAGTATGGCTTCTTGCCCAGCGTGAAGATCTCGTAGAGCACTATGCCATAGCTCCACACATCACTGGATAGTGAGTACTTGCGATATAGCATAGCCTGCAGATGCACAGGCCCAGCACATTATCAACACAACACGGGCAACGTGAAT